TCCAATGTCGAGACGCAATTGCTAGTTGTATCGTAGAGCCGCTTGAATAATAGACGGCCTCCTCTGTATCCCCATCTTCTCTGAGTCTTGAAGCACAGCATCATTGCGGAGGCCAGTTCAAGCACGCATCCATCTACACATGTGTATGTACGGAGAGGTATGTATTATACTACTACTAGTAACTTCACCCAAGCACCGAATCCGACCAGTCATTCGAGAGGTGATGACAGCTCGGGTAACAAGATATTCTTATATGCGGGCCAATGAGCGCCGCGCGAAAGGCGGGCATGCACGTGTTAGTCATCACAGGTCCGAACTGCGTTTGATTGCTCCAGATGCTTCATCGGCCGGCCATTGAACGCATCCCGCATATCGCAAAACAGCGACTATCAATCCAATCTGCCTGGTAAGCTCCCCCTCCCCCCCTTGTTGTCTTTCTAGCAAGAAGCCATCACTCCCTTTGGCGATCGAAGACAAGGAGGCGCTGACCTTGAACCCTTAGGTATTCCCGCCCGCATCCGACGACCCTTGCCTCGAACACTTGAACTGAACAAACTCCCCAGGTGCAACAGTAAACCCGCAGCAGCCATGGGTCCCCCGAAGCCTCCCGTCCCTCATGTCGCCCCGATCTACCGAGTAACTGCCACAGCTCTTGGTGCCGGCATGTGGTTCTGGGTGAGTCCAATGCCCCCCTTGACGGCCTGAACCTTTAGCCGCAGCGAACATACCATAGAGGAGGGCACCGTATGCTGACAGTTCTATCGCAGCTGATGTACCGGGCAAAGAAAGATGGTAAAACACTCAATTCCTATGCAACAAGCCTCTTCGACCGAGTTCTAACGTATAGGTGAACGTAGGCCCCGCATTGCTTGGGTGGAAGCATCCTTGGGACCACTAGACGATTCGATCAGGCCGAGAAACGAGACGAGGAACTCTGTCGCGAGAATACCAGCCATCGGTTACGGATTGAGTGGAGCTGTGGCTCAAGAGGTGCTATAGAGGAATGCTAGGGCAACAATAGTATAAGCCGAGCCAAAACCTGTCAATATATCTACGTTACGATACAGCGTCATATACCTGCAAACAACATGCTCACGATATCGAACATCTTCACCGAAGGTCCCGTGATGTGTTCAATCTGCCTTCTAAGACAGTATTGAGATGAAGTCGACAAGTGAGGAAACCTAAGCTCCGGGCTGGCCCTTGCCCTGCTTCTTTAAGCTCCTATTCCCACACCCACGCCGGGGTCGCAACAATGATAAGGCATAGATAGAGGCATTGTCGCTGGATTACATCTCATTATCATAGGCTTACTAACGACCTCATCTTGCATGATATGATTGCGTGGTTCATTCGTTCTTGGCACCACCAACATGTACATCAACTACTACCTTACACGTACAACAGCGAAGTATCTGTAGAGGCGCAGACAAGGCGCATGTAGTTGTTGAAGTATTTCACGCCCTAATGTTACCACTCTTCTCAAACAAAGCTGTACATTTATATATACCTACAAGGCTTCTTGAAAGCCTTGGAAAGGAGACGATGCTGTTGAATCTGCTATCGAATACCATGTCGTCAATACCAACCCAACTGTTGAAGCAAACAATTTATGCCATTCCCATATATGTTCATTTCAGGCTGAGAGTGTCCTCTTGCCTGTTTTATTTTACCACCATGATGACCCCAATATGCCAAAATCTTTCATTAATTGCAACTGACAACGCATCACCGTGGATCCTCTAGTAGAGGACTCTCGTCATGATGCATGCTGTTGTGTTCTGTTAGACATTGCAATGCGACGACAGCATAGGGTCCGAAACTTACAGCTAAGGCCTTCCAAGCTCTCATAGATATCCTTGATCTGCTCATATCTTACGTTGCTGATGTCGGCCATCAGGTAGGCCAGCTGCAGGTTTTGTTAGCTGCTGGGTCTAAGGTGGGACAAAGAGGCGCGCTTACATCTCCCTTGCTGTCACTGATCTGCTTATCGACGTTGTGGTCGCCGAGAATTTCGTTGACTGAGCTTGGTCAGCATGATGCACTCCGGAGGGGTCGTAGAGCATTGGACAAACCTTTGCGCAGCACACCTGGTACGTTGCGATGGATATAGATGACCTATAGCGAGAAATTAGAATCGATCCATGCCACGGTGAGGTTGCGAGACAACTTACACGAGCGTGGTCGGGCTCGTCCAGGGTGAGGGAGCGAAGCTGAGCTTCCGGAAGGTTGACGCTTCCCAAAGTGATACCTTGGTTGATGTAACGAACCAATGCCTCGGCAACTATATCCGATGTCAGTATGCTTCGATTTCTTTCCGCCTACGGGATGCTGCGGGCTCACCTTCAACGCCAATTGCACGCTGTGCTTCCTCTGTGCTTCCACCAATGTGGGGGGTGAGGATGAGGTTGCTCAAGCTGCGGAGCTCTTCCGCCCACGGGTTCAGGTTGTTTGTGAAGTAGTCGCCGTTGCCAGCGGGCTCGTTGGGGTAGACATCAAGGGCGGCGCCCGCAATGTGACCTGAGCGCATCGCCTTTACCAGGGCAGGGATATCAACAACGGTTCCACGGCTCGCGTTGATCAGGTATGATCCCTCCTTCATGCGGTCCAGCTGAGCGGAGGAGATCATGTTTCTCGTCTCAGGCAGATCGGGCACGTGGAGAGTCACAAAGTCGGCCTCCTCCAAAAGGTTGTCTAGTGAAGGCACTTGGCGAGCGGTTCCGAGGGCCATCAGCGTGACGACGTCATAGTAAATGACATTCATACCCATGGCTTCGGCGAGGACGGACAATTGAGAACCAATGTGTCCATATCCGACAATTCCTAGTAGTTCCAAGTTAGGACACGAAGACTTGACCCCAAATGCTTCGATAGCCCGGGGTAACAGGTACGGCTGAAGAAGAGCATACCCAATGTCTTGCCACGAATCTCCCAGCACTTTGCGCTGACCTTGTTCCAGGTGCCGCGGTGCATCTCGATGGATCGGTCGCCGAGCTGCCGCGCCAAGGTGATGATCTCGGCGATGACCAGCTCCGCAACACTGCGAGAGTTGGCGAACGGAGAGTTGAAGACGGCAATACCGCGACGAGCAGCATAGGTAAGATCGACCTGGTTGGTGCCGATACAGAAGCATCCGATGACGAGGAGGTTCTTGGCTTCGCTGAGGACTCGCTCGCTCAGCTTGGTCTTTGAGCGGATGCCGATAACATGGATGTCACTGGCATTGGCAAAGGTCAGCGATGTTCAGGAGCAATGGCCAAGGAGAGAAAAAAAATCTTTTGCAAAAGTCAATTGGCAGACAACCAGCCGCAGCAGTCAATTCGCAACAATTGACTCAACGGCCAGTTGCAATGACCCATTGCGACAAGGGCTGCTTACCGGATCTTCTCAATCAGCTGATCTTCGGGCAGCGAGGACTTGAGGGCTTCCACTTGGTAGCCCTGGGCCGTGAGAATGTCCCGCCCGGTCTGGTTGACATTTTCTAGTAGTAGGATCTTGATGTCCTGTGTGTTGAAGGGCTTGAGCAGCTTCGGCACGCTCCTCCGGGGCAGCATTCCGCCGAGACTCGCCGTGGGCGACTGCAGCGTCGCGACGGGCGAGGTAGAAAGATTCTGGCCCCAGCTGGAGACGACGGTTCTCGAGCTCGGGGCGCCGGGGTTGATATCGCGAGCGGACGACATGGTGACAGTTGGTTTGCGAGTGGTGTTTGTCTGTTGTTGTCCGAGGCAGGTTGTGAGGTCTCTGGAGATTTCTGGCTTACCTATTTATCCCAACTACTAGGAGAGAAGTAGTCCTCGACTTGACATGACTCACTGCTCCCTTAGGTTAAGCAGGTCCCGACGTAGCATCTGAGAAGTATATAAAAAAAAAAACCGGGCTGATACTTTTCTGTCAAGAAGGAGCCGACACCGGCTTGCGGCCAATTGCGGCCACTTACACATAATTGGTAGTAAAAAGAGTGGCTACGGCCATCGCCCGGTCTTGGCTACCTATCAAGCACTGAATCCTACGCTTACATGCCTTGTAGGAGGAGATTGCCTGAATAACCCGTCTTGCTAAACAGGCATCTTGGTCCGTGTTTGTCTGTCTACAGGTAGATAAAGTACGAGTAGATGCGTTGGTATATAGTATCTGCCGTCTTGTTTAAATTTGAGCAATATGAAAGCGGGTGGATGGCCTCAAGTCGGTATACTAGTCCTACTAATGTGGAAAACCCTCCCAACGGCTTTCACATGTAAACAGCCTAGGAAAGTGATGTGCACAGGGGTAACATAGTTCAAGATTGAAAGTAAACATACCTAGTACCTAGGTAATATTTAGTGATGTGCATGTGCAAGATGTTGATATAGAGAAACTTTTCATTTCAGTTCTGTCCATCACGTCTTCCAGGCTCATCTTGTGGCATCTGGAGACAAGAAAAAGGCAGCCGTCTGCAAGACATGAAACGGTACATCAGCATCAACTCCGAATCCCCCATGCTCACATCCAACAAATTCCGACAAACCCCACGTTGGGTGAGTATAAGCTGCGAGGCCATGCACCCCGTTTCTGAGCTATTGCTGCCGCGTCTCCGCTAGTGCTCCCAGAGAGATTAGGAGACAGTGTTGGTGGCCTGTGATAGGGCGTCGATGAGGAAATTTTCACTTCTCTGCCATTCTATCTCGCAATATGTTACTGTAATAGCAACCAACATGCTCCGGCGACGCTAAGGCAATGCTTCCTTACTTCATGACGTCTTCATGCTTATTTTGAATTTGGCCTGTCATATTCATATGAGTTACATACCGCACTGCAGTGGCACAACCTACCTTACTACTACTAGTAGTACTAAACTTACAGTACGACTAGCACTGCGATCCCCATCCAATTCTAGTGGCATCCATCTACCGGCACTACCTACCTACTAAGGTATTACATACTCGCCCAAGGCAGTGGGAGCGCACTCCAATCAATCCTCTCATTCATTCCTTACTAACACCTTTTGACGCTCACATGTAAATATGCTTTCTCCCCTGCGCTCGCGGCTTGTGAAAGCCACATTCCTGGGCACATGTCGCCAAGTGCGATTGGCCTCTTCAGCGAGATATCCCCAGGCCGTCTCGCCTCTAGCCTTTGACCTCCATTCGCCTTCCCACCCGAGTAAAGATGAGAAGACGGCTCCCATCATCTTCCTGCATGGTCTCTTTGGGTCCAAGAAGAACAACAGGGCAATCAGCAAGTAAGCGATGATTCATCGTGTGCTGTCATGGTCTCTAGCTTACAATATCGTAGAGCCCTGGCCCGAGACTTGAAGACTCATGTATACACGGTGGTAGGTGAAGTCTGCGAGGCTGTTCAAGCAAGTTTCATCAGCGACTAAACAGGAATGAAGGATCTGAGAAACCACGGAGAATCTCCCCACGATCCCCGCCACGACTATGTCGCCATGACCGAGGACCTGTTGGCCTTCATTGACCAGCATGGTCTCAAAGAACCTACTCTGATAGGCCATTCCATGTACGGCTCATCTGAGACTGCGGGAAGCCCTGACAGCCGGCTGATGTATGGATTGCAGGGGCGCCAAGACGGCCATGTCGGCAGCCCTGCGCTCGCCAGAGACGGTGGCCAAGGTCGTTGCGGTTGACAACGCACCTGTCGATGTCACGCTGAGCAGGACGTTTGCTTCCTACGTCCGGGGCATGAAGAAGATTGAAGAGGCCAAAGTCACTCGCCAGTCCGAGGCCGACGCCATCCTGCGAGACTACGAAGAGGTCAATGCCGCCGCTGCTCCTTGATGCGAATCATCGCCGAGACAAGAACTGACAGTGTCTTGCAAACAGTCGCTCCCGATCCGCCAGTTTCTGCTCGGAAACCTGTATCGCTCACCTGAAGACGGCATCCAGAGGTTTCGCGTCCCCTTGGACATACTCGGTCGATCACTCGACCACCTCGGAGACTTTCCCTACAAGAACCCAGGCGAGGCACGCTACACAAAGCCCGCCCTCTTTGTTCGAGGCACCCAGAGCAAATACGTGCCGGACGACGTGCTGCCCATCATTGGCCAGTTCTTCCCGCGCTTTCAATTGGTGGACATCGATGCCGGCCACTGGCTAATATCGGAGCAGCCTGAGGCCTTCAGACAAGGTAATTTAAATCAAATCACAAACACCAACACACTTGTCCGGATCTGCGTTAATGACACACACCCACAACAGCCGTCGTGAGCTTCTTGCAAGATCCTGAAACAGCGCAATAGAGAGAGAAAGGTGAGATTGTTAGACCATTATAGAGCACCTTACTTTAGACGATTATATAATGTGTATCTTGCGATTTCCATCACTTTTGAATGCTTGACCCCATACCTAGAATTCTACTACCTTCTACACTATACCAAGCTGTATCCAGGTAGGTTTTCATGTACCCGTACTCGTACCTTGCTAGTGTTGGTCCTGCATTCGGTCACAGTGTCAGGCTGCCGTTCATCCTCATACCAGATTGCGATGTTGCAGCATCTCTCCTAATTGCCAAACAGGCCCTTTGCCCCCTTTTGGTGAGGGAAACCGCATATCTCGATTCCTTGGAAGCACTCGAGCAAACAAATGCCTTGTACCCCAAAGGTATTCCTTGGCTGACACATCCCCCCGCACTGTGTACATGCAGCTTGCATGCCCGAGTAACGCAGGCGTTAGCCAGTGCCACCCACTCTACATCATACCCCCCCTGCTTGATTCACCCAGCCTCGAGGCTCCCTAGCTCAGCCCGTTTGTCACTACTACTGCACGCTTCCCTTGCCTTGCTCGAAACTCCATGCTGCGTCTGCGTCTGCGTTTGCTCGTTTGCAAGGTAGAGATACAGTACGGCGCACAAACCCGGACCCGGTACCTCGAGAAGCGGCATTAGACTGGCCGACGGGAGGGTAAGTCAGTGTCAAGTCACGTCCTCTACCTGTGCCGCTGTTGCAGCTGCTGGCCCCGTGCACATCAGCGCAGCGCCTCAGCCCCCGATGCCTGCCGGCGTCCTCAGCCATGATGTGAACGGCATCGACATTGCTGCTCGTCCGCAAGTGGTTCTGCTTCTCGCTCCTTGACTCGACCTAGAGCCCGCGCTCGCCTTTGTCCTCGCCATCGCCATCGCCCTCGCCCTCGCCCTCCAAACCCTCGCCCGCCATCGAACCCGCCGCTACCATCCGTCGTGGGCATGTTGCCCCTAGTCCAGACGCACCCGCGCGTGGTGCCTGTTCCCCTCGACTTCGAGTCTTTTGGAGCGCCGGCTGCCAGGCCCGAAGCTGACAGACGAGCCGTCGCGTCGCCCTACCATCGCGGCGTCTCTCACTCATACGGCGGCCCCGTCAGCGCTGCTCCCGCCGGCCAAGGCTCGCGAGACCACGACTACCATCTGCGCCGCAAGACGCCTCGGGGCACCATCGACGCCGGCTACGATGGGTCGCCGACGCAGCTGTCGCCCGGCCCGCCACCGCTCAAGCAGCTGATCCTTCCGACGCCCTCTGGCATCTATCCCTACGTTCCTCCAAACAACCTGCCCTTTCACGCCAAGCCTCGTCTCTCGAACACCGACCCGATAAGCCTGGGACAAGCTCCTGCGGTCTCGCCGTGGTCCCTCAGCTATGGGGGGCAGAACTTCGTTCTCTCCAGCGGATCCCCCATGGTCCCCCAGCCGGGACCATCATGGCAACCCTATGGATACCCCATGTTCAGCCAGGTTCCAGGCATGCATCAGCCGCTTATGAGGGCGGCAGAGTACAATGTGCGTGCCTTTTGTCCGCCCCCGGCCTCCGCCCCTGATGCCGCGACATTCAATCAGTTTGGCTGGCAGCTGGGCGCTTCGCAGCAGAATCTCGGCTACTTCGATCAGTCCCAATACCCTGAACCGAGGTCTATGCTGCTTCCTGCCAGCTTCTCACACCATACGTCAGATGTCCAACTCCCATACAGGCCCGTTCCGGATTTCAAGGCCGGCCTCGAAGTAACTTCATTTCCCTCACAACCATTGGTGCAGGGGAGCTATCTGGGCCAGAGCTCGCTTGTGGAGGATGTTCCCGCCGGCGAACAATATGCCGTCCAAGCGAGTTTTACGGAAAAGGTCTACTCAAAGGCCCAGGACCATTATGTTGAACTGCTGGCCTACCTGCAAACGGCTAGGAGGCTTGATCAGATGAGTACTGGCGGCAATTCCAGCTCAAGGTTTAAAGTTCTGGTATTTCCAAGGCCCCCAAAGTCTAGAAAGGAGCATTTTGGTACCTTTCGAGGTTTAAATAACCGTTTTGAGCGGCCTACTGTGTCGGCCATCATGCCAACCAGCCATCCTGGGGCATTGACATCGAATATCGAGGATACTCTGAGCAACAACACAGGGCCATCGATGGGACAAGATGTCCATGTGGAAGCTCATCGGCGTCGTACCTCGGCAACACATTTTCGTACCTCATCCAACGTCTACACCCCATCCTCGTCATTTGGCGCAGTTGGTCCGGTTGCCATGGCGAAAGCGTTACCAATTCTGAACGCAAAAAGCTCGTTTGACATGTTGAAGAATCTATGTGAGCAGAGTAACTGGAAGTGGATTGATGGAATCTTACTCGGTGGGTGTCTGTTATATGGCCTCTCGCGGTTCGAGGATGCCGTGGAGTGGTTCTCCAGAGTTCTTACTCTAGATTCAAGGTTTGACCTGTTCCAGATGAACTATCAAGTGGTTGTTCTCTATCTGACTCAGATTATAGCCATGTCGAGGCCATCACGAATTTAGCCGCTACGCTCTATTGCCTGAACCGCCAGGAGGAAGCTGAGCAGCATTGGCTGAGAGCCATTAAGCTGCGCCCCGACCATCTAGAGGCCACGGAACAGCTCGTCGGGCTGCTGTACAAGAAACGGAGCCGGGAGGCGATCGACATCATTTGCTTCGTGCAACAAGCGTTGAGTTTGAAGAGAGGAAGTCCAAACCGGACGAGCTACCCTGCCTCCAGCGATGACTGTCTTCCTAGCCAACAGCCATCGAAATTTGCAGCGCCCTTTAGCTATCATTACGAGACCGCCTCTACGACGAGTGGCCATAGCTCCAGGCGCTCTGATTTCGGGTCCAGCGGATATGCGCTCCCCAACAGTGAAAACGGCCGGATTTTGGCACTGGTTCACGCCAAAGGCACAATACTATATGGTCTGAAGGATATCGAGAGGGCTTCGGAGGCGTTCGAAGAAGCTGTGCTGATAAGTGTTGGGGAGCGCATACGAAGCGTCCAAGACTTGGTTAACCGGATCCATGCTGTCCTCGCGCCGGCAGGGTCACACTCGACTGGCAGTGACCGTAGACCGGTTTCTCGGCGGCCCCTCTTGCTCCCCCCTGAGAAGGCTCGCCAAACTGCCCATCTTGTATTTGCTGCTGATGGCGGAGGTAGCGAACTGCCCGGGCTGGCGTTCGTTCCCGAAGGCGCAGCAAGGCGGGTCGCCGTGCAAACGACGAGCAATGCTCTGCTCTCCCTAGCCAAGATTTTCCAGGACGCAATGTCTGGCGGGAGCACTGTGCCCAGTCTGCTGAGGCAGCCCACGGGTATTGGCGACATCCTGGCGTTGTACTATCTTTCGCTTTCCCTCCAAGAGAGTCCCTCTACAGCAAACAATATCGGCATCCTCCTTGCGGGCGTGCAGCAGACGGCACCAAGCAATGTCACGACGCCAGGAACGGTCCCTCCTCGGCCCAGTCTCCCCGGCGTCGTACCTGGCAGCGGCCTTGCTCTCGCCTTGGCCTACTATAACTACGGGCTGCGTCTCGATCCGAGACATGTTCACCTGCACACCAATCTTGGCAGCCTTCTCAAGGACGTTGGCCAGCTGGACCTCGCAATCCAGATGTACGAGCGGGCGGTGTCATGCGACAGGACGTTTGATATCGCTCTGACCAACCTAGCCAATGCAGTCAAAGACAAGGGTCGCATCAAGGATGCCATTGCCTATTACAGGCGAGCGGTGGACTCGAACCCCGATTTCGCCGAAGCCGTCTGCGGGCTCTTGACGGCCCTCAACTCCGTATGCGATTGGCGTGGCAGAGGTGGAGCGCTGCTGGAATCGGGCAAATATGACCGATGGCACGTTGACGATGAGGGTACCCTGGTCGACGTGCGGACGGCCATGCATGGCAGCGGCCTCACCCAGCGAGTGATTGGCATTATAAGTCAGCAGCTGGACGACGCATCGCAATGGGGCCGCGGCATACTGCAACAGCCGACCATCCACGGGCTGGTGGAACAGCTCCAGGAATTCTGCCACAACCCCAAGTTTGACCTGGAAAACGCCATCCGTGCCTGGGCTCATAAATCGTGGGAAGGCTCCCGCTTGGTTCGCCTCGTGGAACGGGCGACAAGGGTCATCTTGTGGAAATGGTATCATGATCGGCATGTCGCCCAAAGGAAGGCGACGCCCTCGCAGTATTATCGGCCTCAGCTGCCCTCTTCTCTCACCATACCATCTGCGCCAACTGTGCTTCCCTTCCACACCTTCACGTACCCGCTATCTGCCAAGGACATACGGTCCATCTCCCAGCGCAATGCAATGCGGATATCGTGCTCGACGCTTCGGGCCCCTTGGCTGCCGCCCACGGTGTATCCGCCACCACCTCCGCCAAACCCTTATCTGAACGTTGGATACGTGTCGTCAGACTTCAACAACCACCCGCTAGCTCACCTGTAAGAAGCATCCCTCTTGCGTGTGACGCCTTGGCTCGTGAAGCACAGTATGCTAACATGCTTCGGCACCATCACAGGATGCAGTCGGTATTTGGATTCCACAACCCTCAACGTGCCCGGGCCTTCTGCTATGCCACCACTCCCAGTGACAAGTCCATACATCGGCAACAGATCGAAAGAGAGGCGCCTGTGTTTCGTGATGTCAGTTCCTGGCCGGCAGAGAAGTTAATTGAACAGATTGTCCGCGATGAGATTCACATACTAGTTAATCTCAATGGCTACACCAGAGGTGCTCGGAACGAAATATTCGCTGCTCGCCCGGCCCCTATCCAGATGTCCTTTATGGGATTCGCCGGGACGCTTGGTGCGGAGTGGTGCGACTACCTCCTCGCCGACACAACGGCCGTCCCCCCGAGCACTTTGCGCCCTTGGAGGAACAACACCACCATAGAAGACGTGTTTCAGGACATGACCGAGGGGGATGAGCGCCAGTGGATGTACTCGGAGAACATCATATTCTGCCGAGACACGTTCTTCTGCTGTGATCACGCGCAGTCGTGCGATGATAATGAACGCGACATGACGTGGGAGGATGAAGAGAGGCGTCGCTGGAAGATGCGCAAGGAACTATTTCCGACAATCGCAGACGATGCCATCATCCTGGCCAACTTTAATCAACTCTACAAGGCAAGTAAAGCTTGCATGAAATGGCCAGCTTGTAGTACTCTTCCCAGCTAACCTGATGGTAGATTGACCCGACTACATTCCGATCTTGGTTACGAATCCTCGCCAGGACTCCCAAGGCCATACTCTGGCTTCTACGGTTCCCTGAACTAGGAGAGACCAATTTGCGACAAACGGCCGAGGCCTGGGCCGGGGCAGAGGTGGCCAGTCGGCTCGTCTTCACTGACGTTGCGCCAAAGAACCAGCACATCAACAGGGCTAGAGTATGCGATCTGTTCCTCGATACTGCGGAGTGCAACGCGCACACCACTGCCGCCGATGTCCTGTGGTCGAGCACTCCTCTCCTCACCTTGCCTCGGTATTCGTACAAGATGTGCTCCCGGATGGCGGCGTCCATCCTGCGAGGCGCGCTGCCCAAGTCGGCAGAGGGTCAACAGGCAGCACTGGAACTGATCGCGGATGGCGAGACGGAATACGAGGATCAAGCCGCAGAACTAGCCGGGGGGCTCACTTACGTGATGACGGATGAGGGATACGGTCGGGGCAAGGGGCGTCTAGCAGAGCTACGAAAACTGCTTTGGGATAGCAGATGGAGCTGCGGACTCTTCAACACACGGCGGTGGGTAAACGATCTGGAAAGGGCTTACGAGGAGGCATGGCGACGGTGGGTTGCGGGCAAGGGCGGTGACATATATCTGTGAAATTGGTTGCAAAATCTAGATGGCGCACTTTCGTTGTGGTAATGGGATGGGATATCACGGCCATCCCGGTGGTTTGGGTTCAGGGCTTTTTTGCATGGATATTGGGCGTTGCATCTCTGGAGGAACGCAAGTACCCTCCGGATGCCAATGGGATTTTATTTTGTAAGTATCCATCTAGCTGGCTAGTGGGTGCCACGGACGGACGGCTTTATACCATTTAATGGACTTTTCAACTTTCTTTTTTCTTTTTTATCTTTGCAATTCTGTCTCGAGACGGCCCAGAGACTGTTCATTTTCAGATGACAGTGGTGAAGGTGGGAACGGATGCTCAAGACCAGCAGGATATCATGTCAGCCGGGGCGACAGACGAGGTACGAGCATGTGTTACGAAGCAACTCGAGCAGCTAACTGCTCTCTTCTGTTGAATTACACCCTTCTCCCTTCTCTCCTCACTATCAAGAAGCCAGTAAGGCTCCAGGCAAAAAGGCTGTGTTCAACACTGATCCACGTCAGTCTTGCGTCCAGGGCTTCTCCTCGCTCAAGCCGCTGTCCTGGTCCGGCCCCGGGTTCGTAGGCCTCTGAGGTGATGCTAAATGGATCAGGACTGGACCTTGTCGACGGCTGGGAGAGGGGCCTTTGCGGGAGGCGGAGGAGGAAGGATCTAAGAGGTTGTTTTCGGAGCGATGGCGCCAGAGCTGGCGGGTTGTGGTGAGGCGGGTTGTTGTGTCGACGATGTCGCAGAAAGAGGCTGTACATCAATGGAGACGCTGGTTAGTCAAACTGGTCAACGCACAGAAGAAGGGCAGATCCGCGGGCAGACGGCGACCTGGAGCACGACTTACACGTTCGTCTGCTCTGACCATCCTCGGCCTGCAGGCAAGGGGAGGCAAGCCCAAGCTCGTCATGCTCAGACTCATTCTCGTCCAATACCAAGTGGCCCCTTTCCGCCGCCGCCGCCGCCGCCCCCTTCCGAATGAGACTCCCCGACCTCGCCAGCGCAACGGCCTCGACGCCCCGTCCGGAGACCTTCTGGATGATGAGCTCGAGGCGCTTAATCTCCGCGCGGTACCGCGCCTCCTGCGCCGCCCACTCGGCGACGTGCGCCTTGCTGCGCTCCTTGTCCTCCTCCCGCGCGGCCTCGAGCCGGGCGACGTCGCGCTGCTTGCCGGCCAGCTGCGTGCGGAGCTTGCCGTAGCCCTCGATGAGGTGCAGGACGTGCGAGGTGTACTGCGGGCCGAGCGTCGGCGGCGTGGGCGCGACCATGATGGTGGTGCGGAGGATGTCGGCCATTTCGTCGACGGACGGCGTGTTCTGGAGGCGGTCTGCTTCTCGGACGAGGATGTCGTTTGCCGGGTCCGAGGCGGAGTGGTAGAAGCCTGCCAGGGGCCGTGGGGAGATGCGTAGATGGTGAGGGTTGCTGGATTCGGGGGTGTCTTCGCTTGCTGGGGGAAGTTGATGATGATGATGATGATGATGATGGTCGTGAGGAGATGGGTGGGAGGATAGGGGGGTGCGGCAGCGTTGGCCGGGGAGGAGACGCATCCAGCTTGAGTCTCCCATGATTGGGCTGATTAGATGATTGCAGGTATCATGTGTTTGTGTTTTGTGGTGATGATGCTGCTTCTTTGGTGTTGAGTGATGGAGCGTGGTTTGTTTCGTTGGAATCCAGATGAATGTGTGCAGTTGGTGAGGTTGAGGTTGGAAGAAGTTCTGTGGGAGAAGGATTCATGTGACGAGTGATGGAAGATGGAGCGAAAGCTGTTGGAAAGGCACAGCTTATGATGGAAGAATGTTGTTTCTGGAGCCGAGCGGTGAGTTGTGGCAGCTGGCCGGCAGCTGGAGGAGTGAATACAGGGGAAAGGCGTTGTGACAGCGGTGGGAGCAAGTGAAACTGGCAATCCCGTAAACAGCCCCGGATGACTTGAGGAGTAGAATCATGGTTGAATTATGTGTACATATGACTATCATCTTTGAGTGTTGGCCTTGAGAAAGAGAAGCCTCGATAATAAGAGTTGAGAGGAGTCTCACAAGTGACCGTTTTCCTCCTCTAGAGCACCTGATACATCAAAGTACGAATATTGATCTGGACATACAGGAACTTTACATTTACTAGACTCTTCGGCCCTATGGTAGCATCGAATCTCCATCAAATGAAATAAACCCCCCTGAGCGCCATACTGCAAGCATACAATCCCTCTCCCACTCCTTTTCTCCGTCACCCCCGTTGTCACTCTAGTCGCGGCACCTCATTCACCGTGGGCAAAGGTCGGCGGAAGCCCGAGTAGAAATGCTGGTGAGCATAGAAGCGCTTCGTAGATGCGGACATCGTTCCGCGCTCTGGTGACTCGTGAGAGTCTGTGAAGACGTCTTCTTCCATGACCGGCGGGAGCAGCATCAGCCTCGTCGTTTGGGCATATGCGTGTGAAGAGGTCCTTCTTGTTGGTCTCGTTGAAGAGGATGAGGATCTCCTGTGACGGCGACGCTGATTGTTGTTTCTATCTCTCATGAGAAGTGTCTCCTCGTCCACTTCAGCAAGACTAGTGAGGCGATGGGAATCGCCATCGAGACGTGATGAAGGAATTCGAGTATCATCATGTAGAGTGACTCGCACCAATTCCATATCAGTGAGTTCTGTCCCCAACTCTTCTCTCGGAACTTCATGGGCTCCCACATGATATCGCTCTGCTCCCAATCTCTCGTACAGTCTGTCATCATGTAGCAGAGCGTTGCCATCATCCACGACGAGATTTAGATCCCACAGGTAGGACCACGCACGATAGTGGAAGCAAAACGTCGCGTATGGTGCGTCTACTGCGTCTTGTAGATTCCATTCGTAGTAGATGGCGTCTTCTGGGTGCTCAAGGAGCCCTGTTGAAGGCGATCTGAGCCACGCTCATCAGCTTGGGCCTTCACACGCAGCACGGCACTCTCCAAGAACCAACTCTCTCGTGATTGCCCAGTGTTGAAACCTACATTATGCCATATTGCTCTTGGTCTCGGTATGGCGCCAACTGAGGCGTGCTCCTCCTCCGGCTCTTTGCTCGAAAGACTTGAATCTCAATGAGGCCCCCGTCATCGGCCGCGGCAACCGCATCAGGCCCAGGGGCGAAGCAGAAAGACCTCGACTCGATCCCGCTCCTCTTCAGCAGCACTCCATTCTGCTGCAGATGCCATTTGTCGCTCGGCTCAAACAGGGCTCGCGAGATGATGCCTGCCTCCGCTCCAGGCTTGATTCCGCAGCTGGTGATGCTGCGCCCGTTGATGAACAGCTTGAAGTAGAGATAACATGCCGGTTCTGGATGGCGATGGACCGAGTATTGCACCATGAACTGCGACCCTGGTGTCGAGGGGACATAGACGGAAGCCCTGGGTGCTGTCTTTTGAATTCGAGGCGAGTCTGAGCCAGGAGAGGCAGCGTCAAGGTCCTGGATGGTGGAAACGGCATCGCCAACAGACGCAATGCGGACTGAAGAAGCATCAGGGTGTGGGAACTCGGGGAGCTGTACCGAGTCTGGCTGAACGACGAGGGACAGTTCGATTCCTCGCAAGCAGGGCATCTTTGCGGAGGGAAGATGAATGATATGCCGGCGTGAGTCTGGAGGAAATGACAAAGTGGCAGGGAAATGGAAACGACAGCTGCCAGATTGCCAAGGGAATGCTGGAATGAGGTGAAGACGGTCTGCAGGCACCACGTATCAAACCTCTCAGGGGAAGCAGGGCAAAAAACGTGGACCATGCAGCTGGCAAGTCAGTGAATGGACTGCGGCCAGCAGTCATCACTCGCTCACTGTGTTGAGTGCTGGCGGCTGGTAGAATGGAATTGGTGTCTACCTTGCAGTGAGCTCGTCATAATCTAAACAACAACACTTGGATATCCTGTTAGAGTCTTGCAATAAGGTGAGGGTACGAGTTAGTATGCGCACATTGCTTGATGATTCAAGCTGGGAGCTCCTCAACGACAGAGCTGCGAAACAAGGCCAGGGAGCTGCATCTCTCAGCCCTGCTCTTAATCAGGTCTGTGTTGGAAAACTACAGATCTTCGCAAAGGCTGTAAAATCCGTCTTCCAACCACAACCCGAAGAAACCACACACTGCCAGCGTCAAGGCCCAACAGCCCCCCAGCCTCACAGCACAAGTATCGTTGCCAATGCACAGCCACCGGGGGAAACAAACCCAAGGCACACACTCCAAATCCGCTTGATTCTCCTATATTGAATCTTGCTGCGCTATCTATGCGCGCCAAGGGGTTCAGGTTGTAGTTCACGCCGAAAAGATCGAAGCCCGCGCCGTGTCCATCTTCTCAATTCCCCTGCCCAAGCACCGCTTTTGTGTCCTCCGTCTTCCCCAAGAGCCCCAGGTTCCGGATCTGGCTCGCGCTCGGCGCATCGTCTCGAGCCGTCGCTGATTGAGATCGGGCGTACGCAGCCTGCAACGCCAGCGCTCTCGCATGCTATATCCGGTTCGTTAGCACCGTGAACCCCCCCGGCTGCCCAGCACCCGTCTTGCTCTCCCAGACAGAAACGGACCTCCTTCTTGTGATGCAGGCACTCGTAGTAGTCTTCTAGTACGGGCGAGCACTTCTTCTTGCCCGAGTCGTCGGAGGCCGAGGTGTTGACAACATAGCAGGCCATGACCTCCTGCCAGAAAGGAAAGCAACGGCCGACGCCTGGGAAACGCAGAGTCAGTCAATATGCCTCAGCAGATACCCGCTGCTTCAGGGCACATACCGCCATGCATGCCATATCCTGAAGCCATGATGTGCCGAGTCGTTGAATGTTGCGACGCCTTGGTTCGCCGTTTGCTGCAGCCAATGATGCTCGTCAGGATCGGTACATCGGGATAGAGATTACTGCTCAAAAGGAGCGCTAACAGCAGTACCCGGCTACCGCAGCGAAGAGGTATGGCGCTACGAGTACCACTGGATAGATGGCCTTGCCCCGTTAGTGCTTCGGCCCCGTTATTCAGCTGGAATGCCCCCCATTGGCGAATCGGGACGGCCAAGTCCCGCTAATTCAATAATGTTCCTGATGACAGCATCAACAATGCTCGCAGTCGTCGCCAGTTCCAAGTTTACATCACAGCTATTTTCGTCATTGAGAAGCAGCCAGATTCGCTCGCCAGGAGGCATCTTCACCTTCATCATACCGGCCCTCACGGCCTGGACGGTCCGCAGCCTCGTCTGCGGCAAATCAGCCCCAAGATGAGCTCCCTGCTTTCACCCGGAAAGGTGTTACTGCTCGCCGCTCACTATGCGACACACGGCGACATCGAGAGCCTGGCCCGTCTGGCTAGTCGGCGGGCCAAAGTGCTGCACAAGGAGCTTCTCTTGAGGATTCTGCTCACTTATCTGCCGGAAACTGTGAATCCTTCGACCTATGCTGGCTTCTTACTCGCACTGGCCAGGGATAAGCTGGAAGGGTATGCCGAGGGCGAACTGGACACAACTCCCGTTGAGGACTTGTCTGAAGATGAAGCCGCCAAGCAGGCAAGGAAATTGCATCTACAGCGGCTTGTGTCGGCAGAGATGCCAAGCGACTTTCACGACAACCCCATCAGCAGCTTTCTGGTTCTAAGGTCTTATAAGATGGATAGCGAAGCTGGTCTCCTATCACAAGTACCGAGTCTCATAGCTCCATTTCTGTCACAATCGCCAGCACTTCGTCTGTGGGCAACGTCCATCGTGGTCCCCTACGTAAGAAGAAACGTGGAGTACTACGCCGATGAGAATCCGGCATACTCTCTCCTCGAATTTCAGAAGCTCTCGGATTCAGCCGCCGTGCTATATCTGCTGTCCCGGACGGGAGGTCGTGAGGAAGACAAAGGCTTCATCGGTCGTGATATCAGAGGAATGGTCGGGCCGTGGCTCTATGGAAGAAGTCGACGGACATCGACGCCTGCTGGCGACAATCAAAGTGCTGCCCACGACGTGGAATCGTCGCATATTTCCGCCGGCTGGACACAGTTTCTCAAATGGCTCGTTAACCAAGCAGCAACGTCTTGGACGGTTGCCGTCGCTGTAGCAGACCAATGGGGAGGGCCCAACGACATAGATCTGGGGGAGGTGGACGACCTGGAATTCACCAAAACCCAGCACGAATATCTGCTACAGAGCTACGCGCGAGCGATACTGGCGTCTGCGTATCTGATCCCTGAAACAACAGCAGAAGCGCTTTCTGGCACCTATCAGATGGTATACAAGATACGGACGATGCTTGGCTACAGTGACATTCCTCCCACAATGGAGATGGCGCTCTGTCAATTGCCCAGCTTGTCCGGTACTGATTTGCCCTCGCACATTGGCATGAAGACTGCGACTTACATGAGAAACGATCTGCTTTCGGAACAAAATACATTAACCTCCCCTACAGAGGGTGCAATGGCGTTACTGACGGCCTTGATACTAAGCGCCGCTATCTGTACCAGCCTGGGTGTACCATGCTGTATTAGAAAAGCCGGCGATCTCACTTTCATCCAAGATCAACGGGAGCAGAAGGGAGAAGTTACCAAACTTATTCGAAGCGCCTCCGCTCAGGTACACGGGGACGAGGACAGATACTGGTCACAAGTAAGGGACAAGCTGCTATGGCTGAACACTTGGGGCCTCGATGGGCATCAGTCTACCGATCCCGAAACAAGAGGCATGCTCGGAGCTGTACCCAAAGAGTTCGTCGAAACGGAGATTCTGAAAGCTCTCCTCTCCAGTTCACGTATGAAGCAAATAGCCCGTCCCCATCAATGCCCACTATTCTAACTTGCTTGTAGGGTATAGCCTTGCTAAGAGCATCTACGAGGACAGTCCAGAGCAGCCACTTGCTGCTGAAGTCATACAGGACACGGTCTATCAGGCGGCCTTGCGCGCTTTCGACAACGCTTCCAATCCTAACCGGTCGAGAGGTGGGCTGAAGAAGTGTGATGAGATGTAAGTCTTACGGCTTCGCGGCACTCAAACGGTCTCAAGAAGACACCATGATACTGATATTCTCCTCAGCATTCATTCGTTCCCAAAGACATTAAACAAGACGCATCCAGCCACCAAACGAGTGGAGGCCCTGTTGCGATGCACACATGCCCTGAGCGAGTACCGACTCACGCTCAAGCAAGGCGAGCCGTTCAAGCCCGTCGTCCTTCGAGTGCACTCCGACCCCATATCCATCATCGAAAAAGTCCTGGAGCAGAATCCAAAAGCATACACCCGCCTCCCCGAGTTCCTGGAAATGGCAGCCAACATGGTCCGCGCGGGAATCACCCAACAAGCCCGCTCCGTCAAATTCGACTCCCCGGCGGAAGACAACAGCAAAGAGCTCGTCCGAGCGGAGAAGCTCATCATCTCGCTGTGCATAGAAGCCGCGCTGAGGGAAGACGATTTTGAGACGGCGTACTCTTACGTGGTTAGTCGCCTAGAGGCGCCGGCCTCGGGAGGAGGAGGAGCAGAAGGAGGAGCAAGCCAGGAACAAGACGAGTGGTCCTGGAAGGCCGCCCTCAAAGCAGGGCAGTACGTCCGCACCGACCGGACCCTGCTGCCAACGCACCTGGGCATCGCGAGCGGCAACCCCGAGATCCGGCACCTGGAGCAGCGCATCGAGTGTCTGGCCACTGCCCTACGCGTCGCACCCACGTCCCAGCTGCTCGAGATCCTCAAGACGTTCCGCCGCTGCGAGGAGCAGCTGGACTCCGCCATTGCCGAGGAAGCCGCCGCGGAAGCCTCGTGGGCCGCAGCCGGCGAAGTCCCTGGAGCTTTCGAGGCTACGCCGCCACCCGGCCTGCAATCGTCGAGGAACATGACGGCCACCGCCGCGTCGAAACAGGCCGAGGAGGCACCCATGTCGCTGTTTGACCTATCGCGGGCGACCGCCAGCGTGGCATCGCGCAACTTCACGAAGCTGTCCAGCCTATCATCGTCGCTCGCCGGCGCGGCATCTTTGGCGTCGTCCGCGACCAGTAGTACAGCGGGCGACCAGGCGCCACAGCGGTTACGCAAGAGGGATCAGCTCAGAGAGGCTGCCACGGGGACCCTTGTTTCAGGGGTTGGTTGGCTGATTGGGGCCAACGTCAATCGAGAAGCAACCGAGAGTTGATTGTTTGCGATGGAATAATAAATTATTAATAGTATACGATAAATTCTACAGCTAGGTACCTAGCTTTACTGGGGAACAATGAATGGCAGGGCTTGGCTTATGTACTACAGATTAGAAGCAAAAGGGCAGAAATGGATATCAGGAGGGCTTTTCCTTGTCAGCATGCAAGATTAGACGCCCAATTATGCATCCGTACTTTGATGTACAGCATATCGACGCAAGGCATGCGTCTTTACCAAACTATTAGTACTCCTACCGTATGTAATGCCACGCGATATCAGCAGCAGAGATTGGTCTAAATCTAGGATGTTGTTCAGCCTGTCGAGCCCAGCAACTGAATGAAGCAAGCTCCTCGTCGTAGCAAGCCGAGCTGCTGGTACCGTGGGCTCAAGCAACGTCATCTTATGCTTTGTACGCGGCCCAAAACCGCTGAGATACGAGCCGAGCTTTCGGGAGAGCATGTTTCGAACAAGAACAGAAGCCTGTCCCCTGTTAGCATGTCAACCATACGGAAAGGAAGGGGGGGGGGGGGGGGGGGGGGGGGGGGGGGGGTTTTGCGGGAAGTAGAATGATATGACGGCATATGACGATGAAAATGCCGTGTTCAAGTTATCGTCATGTCATCCAGAGGCTCCTTCCAATGTCGTCGTTCGGAGCAAAAGAGGGCGAAGCATGTTGAATCAATTATTGAATTTGATCGAGAGAAAGAATTCTGCCAAGGCTCAAGTCGGCCGGCAGAAAGGCCCCGAATGCTGATCAAACAGCTTTGCGTGCACGGAATTTGTTTCAGTGGTAGTTGGATAGGTAGCTGCATTTTGTGTGCGGCGGTAGTCATTACGGCGGCTGTGCTGGCTCTGGCGTAGGGTGATGAGGTTTTTACGTTGGCTACTGGTTTAATCGGCTGGTAAGTTAGCAGTCTCATGGTGTTTTTGTCTTCATCATCGGCTGGTAGGCTGAGGTGAGTCCAGAGATTGTCCGTCGCCGGCCAACGCAAAATGTCCGGTTTCTTAAAAGCTGGAATTCAAAAAACCTGGGGACATTTGCACGGCCGGCTTCAGCGGTCCACGAGGTTCACTTCGTCTGGGAATAGATATTGCAAGGCTCCTGAAGTTGACATTCTGGCGAGCTGTTGAGAAAGGTTGTTAAACGGTATCAAAGGGGGTTTTGGCGCAAACGTGACGAAAGTGATTGATTCTGCAAGATCCGGAAGCTGCCCATAAACGGCCCATGCGCAATTCCGTAGCCGCAAGACCGACCAGCAAGAAAAAAAGTAATATCAGCGGCGACGGCCGAGAACCCGAATTTTGTTTCCCCTTCCCTTTGCTGTCGCATATCGCACGAGACTCCTAATCGAGCAGATCCTGACGAAGAGTCCGCAGCCGTCCAATGGAGGTCGATTGACAAACTGCGGACACGACAAATAAAACAAGAACAACTAGGAAAAAGAAAACGTAAAGAAAGGAGAAATAAGCAGCAACAGGCAGTCCATTAATGACAAGGGCGTCTTGTTCGTCAGGGATCGGTAAGAGGGCAGCCGAGAAACGACGGCGTCATCAGTGCATAGCCGACTCGGGACCTGGTACAGTTAGCGCCCATGCCCACGGATTGCATTCATCGTCAGATCGAACCTCCATAGGACTCGCGTGCCTCGGGTCGCGAGGCAGGCTCGCCGTATGCTGGGCCACCGCTGGCGGCGGGCTCTCGAGATCGACCGCCGTCCCGGTCACCGGTACGCTCGTATCGGTCGCGGTCGTAGCCGCCGCTGCTGTTGCCGCCACGAGCGCCGTAACGGTCGCCGCGGTCGTCGCGCGAGTTGTTGTAGCGGTCGCGGCCGTAGTTGTCGTCGCGGTCGCGACGCTCATAGCCGCGGTCGTAGCTGCGATCAGAGTCTCTTCCGGCGTAGCCACGGTCGTCGTATCGTCGATCGTCTCGGTAGTTGCGATCGTAGCCGGCGCCGCTGCCGCTGCCGCTGCCGCTGCCACTGCCACCGCCGCCACCACCACGCTCCTCATATCGCCGGTCGTATCCTCGCTCATAGTTGCGGTCATAGCCCCTCTCGTTGCCGCGGTATCGGTAGTAGTCATCACGAGAATAGCCACCGCCTCCGTAGCCGCCACGGCGGCGGTCATCGAAGCGAGAACGAGGGTCTATCACGGGAGTCTGATCAGCATAGGAACAGCGAGTGGGAAGATGGAAAGGTCTCGACATACCTCGCTTGGGAGGGCCAAAGTACTTGCCCGGTGTGGGAGTACGAGGGCGGGCACGACGGGCCTTCTCAATGCTCATGGTGCGGCCCTCAATCACCTCGCCCTGGAGACCCTCCTTGGCGGCTTCGGCCTGCTCAGAAGTGACCATCTTGACGAATCCAAATCCACGGGACTCTTTGGTGTGAGGGTCGCGCATGATCTGGCACTTCTCAACCTCGCCATACTTTTCGAACATCTTGGAGACCTCAGCCTCGGACAGGCGAGGGTGGATTCCGGTGACGAAGAGGTTGGAGCCGGGGTTGATGGCACCATCATCGTCGTCCTTGGGAGGAGCGTCCTTGATGTTGCTGCAGAACCAGGTTAACAGTGCGACAACGAGACAGGGCAGGGCAGGGCAGGACATAGGTAGGTCAAGGCTTACGAATCGACGAGGCCAGAGGGAGACATGGAGCGGCGACGGCTTCCAGCGTCGTCGCGCGCAGGTCGAGGCGAGGCGCTTCGGTTGTCACGCTCGTAACGAGGAGCCTCGTCTAGCGAAAAGGCCATGTGTCAGCGACGGTCCAATTCATCGAATGCACGCGGCACAAACGCGTCGGGAAAAGAGCAGAGGCGACCATCGTCATCGCCCTCGCAGCTGAGCAGACGTACCTTCGTAGCGGTCGCCATTAGCGGCTTCGTAATCCATTGCAGTGGTCGCCATGCTTGCCAGGTGGTTCGAGATGGACGGGCGTGAGTAGAGGGCGAAGACCGGGAAACTGGGTGATGGATTGGCGGTTGACTTCCCACTTGACAGCAGTCGAAGGGAGAGGTTGCTTGGTCGGAAAAAAAACCTGGTGGCACACGAAAAGATGTACAGTGACAAGAGAGAGCCGATGATTAGGCGAGTTGCTTGGAGGGCGAGGCGAGCACAAACGAGGCCAGAACAACACCAGCGAGGCTCGTCGGCGGTCAATGGCAGGATGGACAGGAAACGTCAGATCCGGTGCTTCGTTTGGTGCAAATGAAGGGATGAGCTGGCTGAGAGAAAAGAAGCTCGCAGCAAGGGAAACCCGTCAAGCCAGTGTCAGCTGTGCGAGGCTAAGGTGAGAGGCACGGCCAAGCTTGGGCCAACCGGGTGGCGACTTTGCTGTGTTGGTGTTGGAGTACCTTGACCTGACCTGACAAAGAGAGACCTCCTCAGCTTTGATAAGCTGAACAAAGGCCATCCATGTTTCACCTTGCATGCCATCCTTCGAATAAGGTGATGCCTGGATTTATGAGCTGCTTGCCAATGAGCAATTGTCAATATAATAGTCCCCAAATTTCACAAGTGTCACAATTATCTGGTACTTAGGTATCTTTATGGAGTACTGCTGAAAGGACAGATCTTGTGTGAGGCGGTGCGAATTCACAGCATCCCAGGTGGCATCCTAACCTATACCTCGCCGATATGGCCCTGCTCGTATATGCCTATCTAGTACCTAGTCCTGCCTGTCTCATGGATGCCGTCGCCGCCCGTTTCTCTATTGCTCTTTGTACCAATAGTCCGGTGATGGCTTTCAAAATCTAATTGCGCGTCGCAGCAGCCGTACGCAAGGTAACTAGCCGTGGCAGCAACTCCTCTCACATAAGGACAAACAAACGGGACAACAGATGAACCCCCCCCCCTTCTTTCTTGCAACAAAGGACATATCCCATCTGGTCAAAGGACCTCTCAAGAATCACAAGCCCCGTCGATGTCGTGCCGAGACCCTCCTTAACCTCGCGGATATCACCAGACATCCTCTGGGTGTACCTCGTGCTTCTCACCATCGTCTCTGACGTGCTCGTGCTTTGCGTCCCTCTTCATCGACTTGCGCATGTCAAACGCATCCTCGCTGTCCTTGTCGGGATCGGTGGCGTGCTCTCCATAATAGTCCTTGACCACTCGAAAGACGCTGTAGCCCAGCTCCTTGTAGAACGCTATGGCCTTTGAGTTGCTGCTGCGGACAAACAAGTCCATGAACCAGGCGTTGTGGGCATCGGCCGCAGCTTCAAGCTGCTCAACCAAGATCTTGCCAATGCCTTGCCTTCTCGCCTCCGGTGCTACCGTCAGGGCTGTGATGTGGGCGTGCCACGGGAGGTAGTGCTCTGAGTATTTGTATGCGTCTGGCGATGACTCAACCTTGCCCATGACTTTTGAACAAATGCATTGATTAGCAAATGCGGCACAGATTGTCATGGAGAAGGGGGAGACAAACTGTATCCAACAATGTTTCCCTCTGCATCCTCGCATACTTGGAACAGTGAGGGCCATTTCGCATAGTATTGGAGATAGAAGCTGAGCTCATATGTCTCCGTCAGGGGATCCAGGTTGCACTTTGAGAATTTGTTGACATCGTCAGGCCGAAATCGTCGAAAGGTGGTCATCGTTGGCCGAAAGCCTTTGCTCTTAGGGCCGGCTACTATTCGAGAATAACAAGTTGTTTTTACTGACCAAGATTTTGGCAGTTATCTCTCAAGTAAAGTGACTATAGGTGCCTGTTATTGAGGGTAGAGATGGATTCCCGCAAGTGGCCCGCTGTTGAGGTGTTGAGTTTCTCTCAGCCCCGGTACTAATAGACTGAGGGAAGAATTGTGGTGAGCCCACTTACACTGGTCAAAGAGGCACCAGAGGTCGAAACTCTCCACGACTTGACGAGACAATATATAAAGAGAAAATGTATTTTTATATACTAGTCAAATGCCTTCAATAAGCTCTATATGGATGTTATTTGTATTTCTCGATCTGAACGTGTTGTTGTTCCCTCAACTGCTCCGTCAAACGTAGCACCACATTTTGCCTGCTTAGCCCCTCCTATTAACGCCACAGCAGCTTAAAGGTGTGCAGAAAGCGAGGCCAAGACGCATGCGAACCTCGGAGTACCCATAGGGTACCTCCCGACAGCTACACCGCTGCCAGACTTTCACGCTTTTCGAGTTGCCACTGATGTAACGTCAGGTATCTGGACACCCCGTCAATCTTATCACGATAGGAGCTGGCTTACCGTATCTTTGGCTCTGGTTCCTGACCAGGGGTTCTGTGTTTCCTCTGCTTCCTGGTCCTGCATCTCAACGGCTCCGAGTTCGTGCCTCTGCTTGATGCCAGTATCCGAACTGGAGGCCATCATATCACAACTTGAAGATATATCGTGCCTCAGGATAGGCGAAAAATACAGATTCCCTGGCCCCGAAAGATCCCGCATTTGTTATATATATATTCCCAAGAGGCCTCCTCACCAGCCTGCGCTCAACCATTATGCCCGGGTCGCCGCGAACTCCACGACACTCGCGCAACTCTTCAGCAGTCGACAGCTTCGCCGGGTCGCCTCCTATTCGGCGGTTCTCGAGATCCTCTGCGCAAGATGCAATACCGTCGTTCCAGCACAGCCCGAACCAGCACGATGTCCTGGATCTTGCGGTGCTAGGCGGTCCCGGAACAGGGGCCGGCAACGGAATGGGCAACCTGGCTGATGAGCTGGCGGATGCGTTTTCCGACTCAGGGGACGAGGGCGATTACGACGCCGAGGGACAGGAGTACGATAAAGCGGCAGACCAGGCGGGACACAACGACGGCGCAGCGCAAAACCCGTCGGCAAACGGCGATGCGAAACGAAGTGAGGGGGACGCAGGCCTGCTCTCTCCGCGCCCAAAGGGTCATCAGGGCCACCAGAGAAAGTCCAGTCTATACGATGGCAGCGACTACGGTTCAGACTCAGACCTCGACATTGCCGGCATCCCTCCGAGTCTCATGGCCAAGATTGACGCTGTCGAGAACCTCACCATCCGCGGGACGGATAACTACGCAGGCACAGCGGACGATGTGCTGAAGCGGGTGATTCAGGAGCTTCGCGACTTGGGGTCGCAATCTAGCGTCGAGGGCAGCGCTTCGAGGTGAGTCTGGGCGTTGGCGACGTTGCTGTGTGGGAGGAGGCTCGTGATGCTAATCCTGACGTTTCCCCCCCCTCTCTCTAGGCTTATAACAGCACACTCGGCACTGACGACGCATCTTGCGCACCAAACCCGCCAGCTTCACAGCCTCACTTTTCCCTTGCTTTCTCCGCCTGCACCCGCGCCCGACGTCGAAACGATCGACACCCTCATGCCGCTGCTCGTATCCCTGACAGACGACATGCCGCGGCCATCGACGTCGGCCTTTAACTCGCTGACGGCGCTGCACTCCATCACATCAGAACTGATACAGTCGCTGAGTTACCTTTCCGACACGCTGCACATGTCTCGGCAGACAACCGCCGCCGCCAGCCGGAGACTGAAGAGCGCCAAGGAGCTCGTGGCCGAGATCAGAAAGGAGGATGAGCTGAGGGAGCAGGGCGAGGAGTGGCTGACGAGGGGAAACTGGAGCGAGCGGCTGGAGAAGAGGGAGTGCGCAAGTGTATGCGGAGAAGTCATTGGCGGCTTCGAGGATGTCTGCAACGGCTGGAGGGAGCGACTGCTTGCCCAAGCAGAGCCCCAGGCGTAAATATTACCATACCCATGGATATAACGAGGGGGGAGGGATGGGATACAGATGATGGCGGCGGCTGCACTGATAACATTGAAGCGAACAGCACCTTTTTTTTTCTCTTGTTAATTTTCGCAGCTTGTTTGATAGATAGAAACCATGAATAGGACATGGAGCATGACCTTTTCCAATAGAAACCCTTATCGATTAATCCAAGAATTGACATTGAAGTGTTGCATGGCCATGTACATATGGCTGGCTCTATGTTGTATCAACCAAGTAGTGAGTCTAGGGGGATTCGCACATGATATGCCAAGAAGAAGATTCAAGATGAACAACTTCTTGCTGGAGTATCCTGGTGAAGGGTTTGGCCACATCTCTGGACTTTGGATGTTACAGTCTAGATAGCCCCCTTGAACAAGCATACTACTACGTAATGTTGATTGAGCAGTTGGGCGTTTTGTCTTTGACCAGACGAGATCTGGTCCCCATACTGATGTCAAAGCATGCCCCTTGCTTCAGGACATCTAAAGCTCTATGTAAGTGTTCAGCACAACCCCTGCCCTGTTCATCACAATTCACCAGACGAACATCGCGAGCATCATGATTACTCAGCGGCCCCAAGACACGAACCAACATCAATTACCTACTATTAGTAGACGGACAAGTAAGAACACTGTACGTCAGCGTTGGAAGTGGGCAGATGGAGAGGTGGAAGCGAGCGAGTGAGCACACATTAAAACGCTTGACGCGAAACTGGTGCGTCCGGCGAACGCAACGCAACGCCTGGCACGAAAAAAACGCGCCCCTCGTGCAGCTCGCGGGGGCGCCAAAGAAAGATGGGATGCGTCCAGGGGTCCAGGGAGGGCCACATGGGGATCGCGGGCGCTCATTGGTGCGCTGCTCTTCTTTTTTCTTTTCAATAGAGACGAGAAAGCACTGACAGGCCACTGGGCGCGTCATGAGAACTGTAGTTTTTGCGGGAGAGAGATGAGGATGATACACACGCCCCCCCGTCATGTCATGTTGTTGACCAGGTCAGTGTTTACATATTATCCATGGAAGGCCCCCCATGCAGGTCTGCGTGTAGGAGATGATTAACGTCGAGAACCTCAAAACAAACAACAATAATAATAAACAGCTGCAGGGACGGGCGGCAAATGGCGATGCTGCAAGTGGTGATGCGTCGTTTTCTTCCTGCAGCAGCGCCCCCCCCTCCTTCAGCGTGCTGCGGTGACAAGCATGGATGATTCTGGCATCTTGTCACATCTATGCTGCCATCAACAAGTAAGGTAGTATATCAATCAGCCATCAAGTAGGTAGATGCGTGCAAGGTCCCTGTACATAGTGCTTGCACGAGGCACGTGTGGCCACATACAAGCACTCCGTCTGTAGGAACCAAGGATCCAGCGCTGCAAAGCACCAGCGCCGTGACAGAGACGCCCGATGCAGACAGACACCGCCGACTTCGCATTGTTGATTTTGTTTTTGTTCGCGGCGTTGCAGGCAGATGTTGTTTTTCTTGGACATCATGTGAGTTGAGTTTGATGGCGTAGAAGCCGCCCTGCTTAAGGCCCAGCAAGGCATATGGATTGGCTGTAGGTCATTTTGGCACACCGGGTTTCGTGTCCTGGGCCATATTCGCACCCGTGAGATGCTATTCTAGCACCTGGCCACGAACACCATAGTATCAAGCCAAGGTGAATAGAATCTGAAGAGAAAGTAAAGGCGACGTTGAACAATCAATCCGTTCACATCGCGTCACCTCAGGATAAAGTAAAAAGAAAACACCCTTGTGACGACCATCACAGCCAAGCCTCGCAGCGGGTGGGCGAGACGCAATATAATATAGATCATCACATCAACAGACGAGGCATCGCATCACCTCCGCCCTGCTTGTTTACCACCTTCACGACGCCCCAGCGAATGGCAGCAGCGCAAACTGGCGTTGCGGTGCGCATTTGGCAATATTATTTGTTGTTTCGACGCCGCCCGCGTCGTTCCTCTGCGCCTCTCCCGCCAGCAGCACTCCCGGCCTCACAGTGTTATTATTGTTCCACCCCCCTTTGGCACGTCAACCCCCCCCAAACCAGGCCTAGCCTCCAGCTCTCCCCCAGCTGCCCGCCAGCACGAGGCGCACCGCCCGTCAATCAAGCCGCTGCATCTCCCCAGCAGCGCCAGCAGCAGCTCCAAACCTCCCTCAGCAGCCCTTCTGCAACTTCTCACAGCCCTCACGAAGCCCGTCCTCAACCGCCCCAACCCCCCTCGCTCTGCCCGCACGGCGGTTTATCAGCAGCACGCCGAACAATCCGGGGCCGACTGGCTTTCGTCTCTGCTCTCTCGACCTTGTCTTTGCCTCTGTACCCGTTCTGGACCACTCAACGCAGCCGGCCCGTGTGCGATCGCTGTTGATTCGACGCTGAGCAACAACAACATCAGCGCTCCAGGTTGCATGCGATAGGTCGCCAACCCGCCGCAGCCACTCGCCCTCTCCCTGGCTGGCTTCTGCTCCATGACCACCGGCGTCGGCCTCGCCCTGTGACTGGATGCGCGCTCGCTCGTTTCCTCACGGTCGCTTGCTAGCATAACACTGTCCGTCTCTTGACTACAGGTTCCGCAACCATCAATTCACCCCAGCCAAATTCAATCTTTGCCGCCCCCCCGCCGCACAACCCACGACCGAGCATCGAGGATCACGGCGCCCCGACAAAACGGTGCCCGCCTCTCTTCGCCTGGAGCAAAACCCGCCGCCAGGCTTTGCGCTCTCCTCCGTTGACGACGTTCACAGCGCTCTCGCTGCTCCCGCCAAACCACGCTCAGCATCGCACCCCAAGGAGAGCAGCCAATCGCCCGTCGATGCCATGGGTGCCTCCAAGAAGACCATGGGCGAATCAAAGCCGCCGTCATCAACCTCCGCCCGCATGTCGACTCCTCCTCCCCCGTCAGATCGCGCCCGTCTGGACTCGAAGCCCAACGCCGAAAGCAGTGGCAGTTCGATGCGCCAGCTGCGAAGCAGGACCAGGGCGAGCGACGTGGCTCACCCGGCTGCCTTTGACGTCGATGCCGTCGACAACCTCCTACGCAGAGAGCTGCAGCACCCTCAAAGAGAAAGCACTCCAGGAGCAAGTCCGCATCGCAAACGCCAGCGAATAAACGGCGATCGGTAGGTTATTTCCTTGCTGAGGCAGCTCTGCCCGCATCTAGACGCCCTGCTAACAAAAGTCTATGCAGTTTCATCCCTACTCGCACTGGTCAGGACTTGCAGGCCAGCTTCAGTCTTTTGCATGAAGACGCATCTCCCGCTACTCCGTCAAGGCATAAGAAGAGGACGCCGCAAGGCGAGCTCCATTTCCAGAAGAGTATGCCCTCTCCGCGATGCTTTGATGAGAGAGCCCAATGAACTGACCTGATCATAGCCGAAGAAGCCAACCGCACATATTCAACGCTCTTGCGTGCGGAGCTGTTTGAGGGATCAGTGCCTCAACTGACGCCCGCCCTCTCGCCGGACAACAACCTGCCGGCCACATCGCTTGTCGTTCAGGACGGCACGCGATCTCACACTCCCCCCAGTCACACCTCTGCAGTCACCCTCCCCTCATCACTGACCCCTTCGACTCCTCACAAGAACCTCTTCTCATATCTCTCACCACGCCATCATGGCCATCCCGTCGGCCACCTTACTCCCTCCAAAACCCCCCAGAGCCGGCATGGCCCCAACTTGGACACAAGAGCCGAGATCTACAGCCTCTCCCCCGTGCGCCTCGGCAGCCAGCAGATGCTCCTCAGCCCGCGTCGCCAGCCTCGGGCAGTCAGCAAAGTACCCTACAAGGTCCTTGATGCACCCGAGCTAGCTGACGACTTTTACCTCAACCTCGTCGATTGGGGCAGTGCGAATGTACTCGGGGTCGGGCTCGGATCCAGTGTGTACATGTGGAATGCCCAGACCAGCAAGGTCAACAAGCTGTGCACCTTGGAAGACGATACCGTGACGAGCGTATCCTGGATACAAAAGGGCACACATCTGGCCATAGGGACCGGCAAGGGTCTTGTCCAGATCTGGGACGCTGAGAAAGCTAGAAGATTAAGAACCATGACTGGACACACGGCCCGGGTCGGATCGCTGGCGTGGAACTCACATATCCTTACGTCTGGCTCGCGCGACCGACTGATATACCACCGCGACGTTCGAGCACCAGACCAGTGGCTCCACAAGCTCGTCGGGCACAAGCAAGAAGTGTGCGGACTCAAGTGGAACTGCGAGGATGGGCAGCTGGCCAGCGGCGGCAACGACAATAAGCTGATGGTCTGGGATAAGCTCTCGGACACGCCGCTGTGGAAATTCTCGGACCACAACGCTGCCGTCAAGGCCATCGCCTGGTCACCTCACCAGCGAGGCCTGCTCGCGTCCGGTGGCGGCACGGCCGACAGGCGCATCATCTTCCACGACACCGTCAAGGGGACCGTTGTTAACGAAATCGACACCGGCAGCCAGGTCTGCAACCTTGCCTGGTCCAAGAACTCGAACGAGATCGTCTCGACGCACGGCTACAGTCAGAATCAGATTGTCGTGTGGAAGTACCCGTCCATGACGCAAGTAGCCAGCTTGACGGGACACACATACCGCGTTTTGTACCTAGCAATGAGCCCCGACGGGCGAGTCATTGTGACGGGCGCCGGCGACGAAACTCTGCGCTTCTGGTCGGTATTTGGTCGACGGCCGGGCACTCGCGAGGATGGCGAGACAGGAGGCGGCAAGTTTGCCGACTGGGGAATCATCCGATAGATCTAACCCTCTGGCTGCATTCAGTCATGAGCAGGACATTGAAAATCTGGTTGAATTCACGTCTCTCCTTTGACAAGGCGCTCTATTCCTTATGTTTATACATACCCGGGGCGTCTCGTTCACTTCGTTCGACAACAGACTTTACTGGGAAGGTCTTTGCCCCATTTTCTTTGCTTTCCTCTTCGATCATATCTTCGCGAGGAGTTGAGGGTGTCGTTTTAGCAAACGCGTGCGAGCCTCGGACTCGGCGTCGGTCTGGGATATTGAAGGGTGCCAGGAAATGAAACGCGATCACGGCTCTCCTATTCATTCAACTGTAACATTTGGCATAATCTGGCGCGGTGGCTGAGAGGGTTCTCTTCCCTTTCTTCCTTTTCTTCTTCGTTCTTCCCCTCTCTCCACAATCTTTTTCTTCCACTCTGTATCGCTTCATGCGTTACGGCGACTTATGACTTTTTTTCTTTCTTGTTTTTGGGTGTCTTTTGGGTTTGATTTGGGGGAGGCTATATATACCGAGTGCTGCCAGAAAGCGGACTCGTTGTGCTTTTTAGTTTTGACGTTCACGAAATGCCTCTTTAACCTCTTCCCCTTTCCCTGTCTACTGATGATCAAGGAATGAGGATGGGAATTGGGATGGAAGACAGGAACAATGACGGCCCTATTTAGCGGTTCTTGATTTTTGTTGTTGTTGTTGCTTGCTTCACGGCGGCTTTAGCGGATTTATAGAGAAGACGGGAGATGTTGTCTGATCATGGAATCGGAGTCCAATATATCACGTATCTACTTGATGATCTTGACTGGGTGGTGAATTGGCTATTCTTGGTGTCGGTGCTGATGATGAATTCTTCGGGATACTATGTAGGTATTGATGATGATGCAGATGTAACCATTTTGGGTAGATGCATGAAGAATACAGATGTATACTTAGCTACCTAGAATGTTCATTATCATTGAGCATAAAAAACACGGCAAAGGTGCGATGAAGGGCAAGAAAACTCCGTCCATCTCTTCATACAAGGAAGGATCCCTCCATATTCTAAATCCAAGTAACAAAAAACGAGGATAAAGATAACCATTAACATAAAAAAAAGAGAACTTGACAGGATATCATACCAAAGATACATTAAACTCCGACCTCGGACTTTCCGCCTCGTCATGTCATCCACGCAGTATGCTTTCACAGGTAGGACATGATTCCACTGCCGACTCCATCGTCCTTCTATTCCCTTATGCCCATCCTTCGAGAAAGCGTCAATTCATCCTCAGTCCTGACCCGTCGTCTTGCGCTCCCTCGCAGCGCCCTCATCGCCCCTATCAACACCCGTAGCCCCCATCTTGAAGTTGTCATCGAGCATCGGTATGTGATCGAGGCTGACAGACCGATTCTTGCCCGCGTCGGGCCTCATCGGCGACGGCGCGAGCTGCGCGTCCAGACTCGTCGCCTGCGCGGGCGGCCCCCCGTCGACGACGACGACGTGGTGCTGCGGCGCCATCTGAGGCGACTGGAGCAGCGTCTCCGGGCTGTTCTGCCACTTGAGGACGTCTGCCTTCATGGCCTCGAGCTCCTTCTGGAAGCGCTTGCCGAAGACGTCGATGTAGTACGTTGCGCCGTTGTAGATGCTCCACCCAAAGACGACGAGCAAAAACGCCGTCGACGCCCACCGGCTGAGGAACCACAGCGGGCAGGGGAGCATGGTGAGCACGGCGTACAGGTACTGGATCACCATAAAGGCCGGCTCCTGCAGCGCGGCCGGGCGGGACAGGACGAACTTGCCGAGCCACGTCTTTGCGTACGACTTGCGAAGCCAGGTGAAGGACGTGGGGCGGCCGGCGGCAATCTTGTCCCTCCGGCGCACGGTGATGAAGAAGTAGTAGCCCAGCTGCCAGATGGCGTAGGGGATGGTGCTCCACGCGAGCATGGACAGGACGTTGGCGTACGCCGTCGGCGACCCCGGCATCGCGTGCTTGATGGTGAAGATGGCGGGGAAGCGCTTCATCTGCTCCTCGGGGCGGAAGAGATGCACGATGCAGTGGAGCGTGGCGCAGGGCATGATGTGGATGAAGAGCGACGTGACCTTGTCGAAGCTGTGGAAGACGAGCGAGTTGCGCCACATGATGATTGCCACGGCGTTGTTGCCGTAGGCCAGGCAGTAGGCGGCCGTGAAGAGGCGCTTGGACTGCGGGAAGACCCAGATGCTGAGCATGAGCAGCACGTTGACAAAGTAGCACAGGTCGGCCAGGAAGTAGTGGTATCCGCGGCGGTGGTAGGTGAAGAAGCGGATGGGCATGAAGTAGAGCAGCTGGACGGTGTACCAGATGTGAAAGTACTCCGGGTAGCCGCCCATGAGGTATCCGCTCGCAAAGATGTTCATAACGCCGCAGATGAAGGATATCTTCTCCCGGAGGCTGATGGCCTTTGTGTCGTTCCACTGCTTGCCGAGCTTGTCCACCCGCTGCCGCATGCGCTTCCGGTACCGCTCGAGCTGCTCGTCGGCCGAGGGCACGCGCCGCCTCCATTCCTCCACCATTCGGTCGCGGGCGTTTTGCGTCTTTGACTTGAAGGCGTCTCGGGACCGCCGCACCTTGTCCGTCTGGGCGGAGATGCCCCTTTGGAGCTTCTCCAGCTGCTGCGGCAGGGCAAAGTTGTCCAGGAGGTCGAGCACCGTCAGGCGGTCGAGCGGCGGCAGCGCGTCCCAGTCATCCTGGTAGGTGCTGCTGCTACCTGAAAAGGAAGGGTTTCTCGACAGCCCGCGGCTCTTGGGAGTCGTGGCACTGAGCGTGGGAGAGTCGAGCATCTCGTTGTCCACCTGCATCGAGCTCAGGGGGGAGGCGAGCTCGGCCTCTGCCATGGCGGGCGGCGAACGGTCTTCGTTGGCAGACGAGTTCGTGTCTGGCGTCGACATGGGAGTCGAATTTGCTTCTTCTTCCATTTTGGCGGGAGAGGAAGTGTGCAGGGCTATGACTGCAGCCTGTTCATGGGTTCCGTCCGTGTAAGCCGGGTTGCACGACGATCTGATACAGCGAATGGTGTAGGAATCAACACCCTTCCCAACAGCTTGGACAGATATATCGTATCAGATATCGAGGTCCAGAGCAACGAAGTTGGTCGTGTTTATCTGCAGGTCGGCAGCGGTGGCAAAATTGGACAGCGCAGAGTGATGACAATGAGCTGGCAGCGGATCGACGGATTGCGTCAGGATAACAGGGCGAGTGCTGAGGAAGCCGAAAAAAGGGCGATCGTAGTTGAAGGATGTGAGGGAGAAAGAAGATGGGAGGAGGGAAAAGAGACGTCAGGACTGTAGGAAATACAAGGCCGATGATGATGGAGATGCTTAGAGAACGGTTGCAAGAGTTGAATGGAAGATAAACAAGGTTTTGGGTTGTGAAGGATGACACGAGCCTAAAAGCTGCCGATGCTTCCCTCGATGATCATCCGCGAGACGCCTCGAGTGGTTCCAAGTTTGTTCCCCAGCCTTTGGGGGGGGGGGGGAGGCCCATGTGATGCGAGGTACGGGGAGAGTACCTTGAAATACCGAGATCAAGCCGTGCAAAATGAAGATTTACTGTATGAAGTGGTCGAATTCTGGTGCAATATGGGCGGAAAACGTCATGAGTCTTGACGGCCTAAAAGTACCGCTGGAGTGCCTCCTAGAGCTCAAGCTTTGCACTCCACATGCGCCAGCTACACTAGCGGCCCCAGAGACCCTGTATTTCAGTGAGGGAGTGTACATGCATTGCGCCGCTGTTCCCTGTGGTCATTGTTGTACTCTTCACGGTTTCACATGCCACTCTGGATGGCTTCATCACCAGCTTTGTTGACATGGATGCTCAAAATGTTGAGCTTTCTCATGCCCTACCGCAGAGTTGAAACAACGTGGTCCCGAACGGACACTGTGTTCACATCAAAGATAGGTACAAGAGGCCGAGACCCTTTGTATTCCACGTGCTGAATCTCTCTGTCTTGCGAAAACCACGCTCTCCGGTACAGAAGAGATATTACCAGGCGCTTAAAAGACAAGAAGGAACGTGGTTCATCCACCTGACTGACAACCGAAGGCTGGATTTTCCTATATTTTCTTTTCTTCCAGAGGGTTAAGGTGAACGTACGAGAGCCATTGCTGCATAGCAGGTGCCCCCGTTCGGGCTTCTGGTTGGAGGAGACACCAGACGGTCCGTGGGAAGCTTGGGCGCTAACAAGGCGACAGACAGCTCTGCGCTTGAGTCAGCTGTGGGCGGCATGAGCTGCTGCAGCAGCATTGAATGAACTGACGAGAAGTCGAAAGTTGGTCGAATCGGGCGCGAAGTCACGTGAGCTCATACAGCACTCAGCGGACCACGGAGAATGCGTTAATCCATGCTTCTTCACACGAACCGTAACACCCCACCACCGGTTACCGCTCCGGTACTAGCCTGAGCGCTGTTTGTTAGTGGTGTTGCTCGCTCCAGTCCAGCCCAGGCCAGTCCAGTGAGCTGCTGGTATTATCCATCTAGAATCGCAAGTTCGCGACGCGTCAAAGCTGCATCCCGCATTTGCGCATCTCCAGCAGCGCCGCTTCCGACTTTTGAGCATGACGGCCTGCGCCCTCACGGACTGTGCGAGATACCTGTGAACCACGCGACATCGCCTATGAGCAACGAGTACCGAACCGTCCCCCTCGAGCTTGAGTGGTGTAGTCAGCATCTCGAATCGTGTCCCGCGCGTGCTCTACATAGGTCGCAAGAGTCGGAGCGTCGCCAGCACTCGGTTGGCCTGTTCATCTTTGACTTGTTAGGGTACTCAGCTGCCGGCGCAGCTACAACGAGCTCATCATGGGCAAACTCATCCGCCTCGAGCTGCACAGTATGTCGTCTTGCGTCTTTGATCCAGTCCGCTCGCTCTGCCCAGCTAACGATGCGCTTCAAAGACTTCAAGTCCTACAAGGGCCACCATGTCCTCCTGTTCGGCGATTCCTATTTCACGTCAATCATCGGGCCCAATGGATCTGGCAAATCCAACTCGTGAGCTGCTCTCCTCCAGCCCAATGCGACACCATCTGGTGTGTATACTGACAGTGGGTCGTCAGGATGGACGCCATCTCCTTCGTCCTTGGCATTAAATCTTCACATTTGCGCTCCACGCACCTCAAGGAGCTTGTCTACCGTGGGCGCGTGTTGAAGACCTCAAAAATCAACGACGATGGCTCAGCCGAAGCAACAACCGACGCCGCCAACTTTGCCGACGACGACAAGGCGTCTCGAGGCGACCCAAAGACCGCCTGGGTCATGGCGGTCTACGAAGACGATGCCGGCGAGGAACAGAGGTGGAAGCGGTCCATCACGAGCCAGGGAGCCAGCGAATACCGCATCAACGATCGACAGGTCACGGCCCAGCAGTATAACGAGGCCCTGGAAGCGGAAAATATCTTGATAAAAGCCCGCAATTTTCTCGTCTTCCAGGGTGACGTCGAGGCCATCGCTTCGCAATCTCCGCAGGATCTCACGCGACTCATTGAGCAGATTTCGGGGAGTTTAGAATACAAAACCGAGTACGAGAGGCTCCAGGTCGAGGCAGAGCAAGCCGCCGAGAACCAGAATTTCCAGTTCCACCGCCGCCGTGGCATCAACTCCGAAATCAAGCAGTACAGAGAGCAGAAGAAAGAGGCAGACAGCTTCCAAAAGAAGACGGAGGAGCGAGATGCGGCCATTGTCACGCACTGCCTCTGGAAGCTGTACCATTTCCAGAAAGCCATGGACGATTCGAGCAGCGCCATCCAAGAACACCACGAGGAGTTGAAGGAGATGCGGAGAAACGTCGAGGAATACGAAACCGCCCTCGAAGCCGCACGAAAGGAACAGTCTGCCGTCCAGAAACAGGTTAGCAAGGTGGAAAAGGACATCAAGCGCACGGAAAGAAGCATCGAAGACAAGGAGAACGCCCTGGTTCCCTTTGACGAGAAGATTCATGAATCCTCGCAGCAGATTGAGAAACTGCAGACTCAGGCGCAGAAAGTCGGCAAGGAGCTTGAGGAACAGACCGACATTGTGCAAAAGGTTCAAAAGGACATCGGAAGCGTCAAGAAAGCCCAGGAGCTGTTCGAAAAGGACGTCAAGGAGCAGATGAAGAAGACCGGCCGAGACATTAGCGACGACGACCGCAAAGAGTACAATACCCTTCGAGCCCAGGTTCTGGCTCGTTCTGGCCCCAACCAGGCAAAGTTGGAGAACCTCGAGCGACAGCGCAAGGCGGACGAGGTCACCGTCAACAGCCTCAAGGGCAAGGTCGACAGTATTTCTGCGGCTATTGAGAAACTGGAGGCCGAGTTCACCAGCATTGGGGAGAGACGAAGCTCTGCCGAAGCAGCGACGCAGGAGATTTCCAACGAAATCGCCGCCAAGAAGAAGGAGTTCAACCAGCTTCAGTCGGAACGAGTGCGGACCAACCAGAAACGGACCGAGCTCGAGGAGAAGCTGGAGGATGTCGCAAGGAAGCTGAGAGAAGCCGATGATGGCCGCCGCCAGAATGACCGAGAAGCACGCATGAAGGAGATGGTGACGACCCTGAAGCGAATCTTCCCTGGCGTGCGCGGCCGCGTCGGAAACCTGTGCACGCCGAAGCAGAAGAAGTACGACGAAGCCGTTATAGTCGCCCTGGGACGAGACTTTGACTCTGTGGTGGTGGACACAGAGAAGACGGGCGTGGACTGCGTTCAGTATCTCAAGGAGCAGCGATTCCCTCCCATGACGTTCATCCCCCTGGACAACATCAAGGTCAACGCCGTCAACACCGCAGTCAAGGGATTTGCCGGCGCCAGACTGACGATTGACACCATCAACTTTGATGCGTCCGTCGAGCGGGCCATGTCGTACGCATGTGGCAGCTCTGTGGTCTGCGATACGCTCGACATCGCTAAGCACATTTGCTACGACAAGAAGATCCCCGTCAAAGCCGTCACACTGGAGGGATACATTATTCACAAGGCTGGCTTGATGACAGGCGGTCGCGGTCCCGAGCCCAAGGGCGGGAAGCGCAAGTTTGAGGAAGCCGATGTGCAAAATCTCCAGCGAATGGCAGCCAAGCTGAAGAGCGAGATTGACCGTCTTCCCAAGGCGGATCGTCGGGGTACTCAGGAGGAATCTCTTCAAATCGAACTCAACGGACTTGAACGGCGGCTGGCGGCGACGAGGGACGAACTGGCGGCCTTGAACAAGAATTGGACGAGCAAGAAGCGCGAACTGGACAGCCAAAGGAAGCAGCTCCATGAGCTTCAGCCCAAGTACGAGGAGCAGGCAGCGCAGTTGGAACGCACAAGGCAGACGGTGCAGGAGTTTAGGGACGCCATTGCGCGGGTGGAGGATGAAGTCTTTGACGGGTTCTGCAAGAGGCTCGGTTACAGCGACATTCGCGCGTACGAAGCCTCTCAGGGCAAGTTGGAGCAGGAGATTTCGGAGAAGCGAAACCAGTACGAGGTGCAGAGGCAGAGACTGGAGAGCCGACTCAAGTGGGAAGTAACGCGCCACAGCGATACAGAAGCTCGCATCAAGAGGATACAGGAACAAATACGACGCCTGAAGCAGGACCTGCGGACGTATAACAAGGAAAAGGCTGACATTGAGGATTCGATGAGCCAAGACAAGGACGAGCTGGAGGCCCTTCGAGAGACACTCGAGGAGTTGAAGGCTGAGCAGCTCGAAAAGAACCAGAGGGTCAACGAGGCTCGTGCCGAGCTGCAAAAACGCAGCAAGGATATCGAGGCCTGTCAGCGAGAGATTAACGCCTTGGAGACGGTTGTGCAGAAGAACAGCGCAAGTAAATCCGCGCTGCTGCGGCGATGCCGGCTGGAGCAGATTCAGATCCCGTTGACCGAAGGCGCCCTCGACAATCTGCCAGCGGAAGATGATTTGCTGCGGCAAGATCCTGACGCCATGGACGTGGATGGCGGAGAAGACGACATGATGGACATTGCGCTGGATGACCATGGCATCGAGATCGACTTTGATGGCCTGGAGCCGGGGTTGAAGGAGTCTGGCGAAGCCAGTGTCGAGGAAGCACTGACGGAGAAGATTTCATCCCTCACGGCGGAGCTGGAGAAGCTCAATCCCAACATGAGAGCCATGGAACGGCTGGAAAGCGTCGAGACGAGGCTCAAGCAGACGGACCAAGAATACGAGGACGCCAAGAATGCTGCTCACAAGGCCAAGGAAGCCTTCAACAACGTCAAGCAGCGGCGATACGAGCTCTTCAACAAGGCCTTTACCCATATTCAAGAGCAGATTTCAAACGTCTACAAGGATCTCACGCGGTCAGACGCTTACCCGCTTGGTGGCCAGGCCTACCTGGACATTGAAGAGGACACGGACATGCCGTACTTGTCAGGTATAAAGTACCACGCCATGCCGCCACTCAAGCGATTCCGGGACATGGAGCACCTGTCGGGTGGTGAGAAGACCATGGCGGCGCTGGCGCTTCTGTTTGCCATCCACAGCTACCAGCCAAGTCCATTTTTTGTCCTGGACGAGGTGGACGCTGCCTTGGACAATGCCAACGTGGACAAGATCAAGAAGTACATTCGCGAGCATGCGGGTCCCGGCATGCAGTTTATTGTCATTAGTCTAAAGGCCGGTCTCTTCCAAGACAGCGAGAGTCTTGTCGGCGTATATCGCGACCAGGAGGTGAACAGCTCCCGAACGCTGACATTGGATGTAAGTCGCCTGTTCTGCACATTCTCACGCTGGTGGCCAGTAAAGCTAACCTTTTTTCTTTTCTCTCCTCTACTGTAGCTCAGGAAGTACGCTTGATCCGCAGGATAACCTGGCATTCTTTGTTCATGTATCATTATTTACGACTGGAAAAGGGGGTGGATGCAGCAGGTAGAGAGCAAGGCGGGCTGGATAGGGAAACTCAGGAAATCAATGAGCGATGCCACCATCTCGACCGTTGGAGAATGAGCTATAATTCTTGGCGCATGGGTGACTATAGTGTCTTTTTCCCTTCGGTTTGTTCTGACTTTTGTTTTCCTCTCATGCATCTCTGATGCCTCTGATTGGGCTGCTTGTCTTGGACCCGTCGTCTTCAATTGGCCCCGATGTCTCTTTGAAGCATCACATCACAGAGGCGTATGGAGCTTCGTCGTCCTATGTATATACAGTCTTGAAAGGGAGGTCCTATTTCCGACAGACAGGAAAGGGGGCATATTGTCTTGTCCGAACCGCAATGAATGTACCTATGAAAGCAATGCGACGCGATGTCATTGGCTGCCAGAGCAAGAGCGCAGTTCACACGCGGGCTTACTAATAATCCGCATCCCGGCCTCTTTGGAATCGCGATCGTTGATAGGCAGAAGAAGCGCAAGAATTTCTGACGCGACGGCTTCACATGAACCAGCCAAATCGCACGCAGACTCTGCTCAGCGTCCATGAAAAGAGCATAATTGAACTTGCGCGTGCCTCGAAGACGCAGCCTTGTTGCAGCAGAAAAGCCACAGGGCTGAAAGGGAGAACAAGGTTTGAGGCCGGTGTGCGCATATTCTGCAGATTAATCCGGATCAAAGCGAGAGCCACACAGGCGGCCGACACTTAAGTCATGCTCTTTTCACTCCACACACGATGAGCAGTTTCTCTCCTCTCCACAAACCAAGACAGCGTCGTTTTCTCCATCTGTGATGCTTCCTCAATCCCTCAGTAACCCATAATCACCGCTTCTTTTGTCGCCTGGAGCCTGCCGCGTCGGTCCTGCGAGGCGTCGCATCATCTCATCGAACTCGATCGAAGCCACCACAAAAACGACCTTGCGCGAGCCTCTTGGTTTGAGACGGCTGCGTTCTCGACCGAGCCTCGCGATAATCCGTTACATTCGCTGCCTCGATCGCACCAAGAACCTCTTGTCGCAGAGAAGACGGGCGAAGCTATCTTTCCGACACCATGGATCTCGCAGTGACATTGATCAAGGCCGTGATGCGGGCGTTCTACTCGACGCGAGACATCCTCGTCGTGGACGCACTGATTCTACATGAAGCGTATGCCTCCTCGACGGGTTAGTTTGATCTTTGCTAGCAAGAGACATGAACTGAAAAAAAGAAAAAATCATGCAATAGTCTTCGCGATGACGACCTTGCCTACTTGATGGCCATCAACACCAAGGACTTGCACAAGATTTGCGGAAAGCTTAGAGAGGACCGTTTCTTGACAGTGTACGCCCCCAATGACTCACGCCCAGTGGAATTTCTTTTCTCTCTGTCGGAGGACGGGAAGCTTACTTGCCTAGTCACACGAGATCAGAACTGCGACCGGGCAACCCGCGACCGAGCAATCGCACATGGTACTACATTAACTACCGACACACCATTGACGCCATCAAATGGCGAGTGTACAACATCGACAAGGAGGTCCAGGGAACCACGGTGCCGGTCAACGAGAAGAAGGAGTACTTTTGCTCCTTCTGCAAGGCGGAATGGACGGCGATGGAGGTCCTGGACAGCGTTGGGCCAGAGGGCTTCCTCTGCCATCGGTGCCGCCGGCCGTTGTCGTTTGAGGCGGATAGGAATGCTGGCGGACACGAGCAGTCGACCCGACTGAACGACCAGTTCAAGTTTATCAGCGAGCTGCTGCCCAAGATTGATGCGGCGCATATCCCGGAATGCGACTTTGATCGCGCCTTGTCCAAGGCCCGGCCAGTGGTCCGCGATGCTACGCATCAGCGCGCAGCTACGATACCCGTCGACGACGGCTCATCGCGTCCCATGGCAGTGCGAGGACTGGCCAACGTGGGGCCACAGTCCATTGCGGTCAACATCTCTACGTCAGACGGGCCATCAGAGGCCGAGAAGGAGGCCGAACGACTTCGCAAGGAAAAGATTGCGCAGCAGAACGCGCTGCCGTCGTGGATGTCCAACAGTACCATTACAGGAGAGTCGTTTTCTGCAACGGCAGAGGCCGGCTCCTTGGGGCTGAGCAAGGAGGCTGCTGGAGGCGAGTCCAAGAGTAACTTGGTGGACAACAGTGCTACCACGCAGATTGATGACATTTTCGAAAAGATCAAGGCAGAGCAGGCGGCCATGCTGGCGCGAGAAGCAGATGCGGAAGACGAAGAAGAAGAGGAAGAATACGAGGAGGAGGAGGAGGAAGATGACGAGTTTGAGGATGTCATGGCGACGGGTAACAACTCTGGCATGGGCACGCCCGGCATCAAGGTCGAGGCCTCCGAGGCGCCATCAGGCGATGCATCACGGGGCGAGGACAGCTCGGACGACAGGGCGAACAAGCGGGTCAAGGTTGAGGAGACTGGGGCTGCCAAGGCCGACAGCGGCAACGAGGACGAGGAGGACGAGGATGAGCTGGAGTTTGAGGATGTTTGAGGTGACGGGTCTGCTCTGATGTACTTGCGAACCATATAGTAGACAGGCAAGGCGACTTGATCTGGCAGAGACTGGAGGCAAAGGAGAGATGGGATCTATAGAAAGGGGTGAGAATGCCCGATACTGTCAGCGTTGGTCGGCTTAGCAGTTGATGTTGGTACAATCACCACCAACGCATTCAAATGGAATTATGTATACGGAGGAAGGGGTTGCTGTATCAGGCTATAGCAATGGAGCTCCTCGATCTCAGAGCTAGGTAATGCTAAGTACCCAAGGTACCTTGATCATCATGTTGTTGTTGTCAGGTAAAGTGTTGGTACTGGGGACGCTTGCATGTAGTTGAATAACATCATTGCCTTGTCATGACTTGATACGCGTGATAATCATTGCTCTTCTTTCCTTCTTTTGCCAATTCAGCTACCAACTTAATTAGCCCCATTCAAGAAAGAGCGGGGCGGTTCGTTGCCATATACGTACCTATACGTGATGATGAGCCAATTGGGAACCGGCATCTCATACCAAAAGTGCACGACAAGCACAAGCACCAACCGTGAACACTGCCAGTGAATTAAAAGGCAACCTTTCACTCAAATCCCCCTTTCAAATCAAGGCTTGAGTGCTTCGCTCCGTTGCTCAAAGCAATGACTCTTCTGTCGAGCTCATTCGAGGCCCCGCGCCATGGCTCCTGACCTGCCGCGCATATTCCTGCTCCCCACGCACTTACAAGCCGACGAGGTGCGCGAGCTGCAGGCCAAAGTGCCGGGCTCCCTGACGCAAGATGCTCACGAGGCGCGCGTCATCGTGGGGAAGATCTCGAGGCCGGAGCGCGCCTTGTTTGAGCTGAGGCGGCTGAAGCTCGTGACGGAGCCCGTGGCTGTGGAGGATGTTGAGGGAGAGAGAGAGAATGGAATTCAGGGCGAGGGCGAGGGCGAGGGCGAGGGTGAAGGTGGCAAGCGGGGGAGAAGTGATGCTGCTGCGGTAGATGTGGATGTGCCGTCGAAGCGACAGAGGCTGATGACTGGGCCTGAAAGGGGGGAGAGTCGAGATGATGAGGGATATGATGGGACGTTGGATCTGTTTGGGGGGCCAGAGGATGTTGTTTTGGTGGTGAAGCTGGCTTGGCTGTTGGATAGCCTTGAGCGAGGCGTTGCGCTGCCCGTCCAGGACTATCTGCTCTACCGAGGACGAAAGATCTCCTCTCAGTCTCTACAAGCTTCAACTCCCGCGACTCCCAAATCACAAACAGACGAGGAGGCAAGCCGCTTATCTCACGCAGCCAAATCATCCCCCTCAGCAGTCCTCGCCCGCGCAAGACAAGACCAAAAGATGGCCCCTGACACCAGCCCCTACTCAAAGCGCACATCAAGGCCCGGGATAAGCTCCTCGACCGCCTCCGACAGTGCGCGAGCGGGACGGAGCGAGCCGCCGACGCTGTACCACGAGACGACGTCGGAGCACGACATGCCCCTGCCGCCGATCCCCGAGTATCTCCACACGACGTATTCGTGCCAGCGGCCGTCGCCCGTGAACCCGCCGAATGCTGCCTTCATTGCGGAGCTCAAGGCGATCCGGACTTTGAGGCTCTTGCGGGGCGATCATATTGGCGTGAGGGCGTACTCGACGTCGATTGCGTCTCTTGCTGCGTATCCGTATGCGATACAGCGGCCGCAGGGTGAGTTCATCATGGCCGCGTGTCTGCCTCCTGCTGAAAAAAAAAAAAAAGCTAATGTTGGGGACTTTGATACAGAGATTGAAAGATTACCTGGATGCGGTGTCAAGATTGCGAGACTGTATCAGCAGTGGACACTTACAGGCTCTACGGATGATACAAGAGCGGCGGAAACAGATACCGAGATGGCTGTGCTCAAGATGTTTTACGAGATATGGGGAGTCGGGGATGTCACGGCTCGTCAGTTCTATAACAAGGGTATGTCCGCCATTTATCAGATGGCTCCAACCATATGCTAACCCACTGCTTCTCCTCGTGCTTCAGGATGGCGAGATCTCGATGACATTGTAGAGTATGGATGGAATTCCCTGAGCCGAGTGCAGCAGATTGGCGTCAAGTTCTACGACGAGTTCCAGCTCCGAATACCGCGCCAGGAAACAGAAGCCATCTCCAGCGTCATCCTCTCCCATGCGCACCGCGTCGACCCAGGCTTCCAGATGGTCGTCGTCGGCAGCTACAGGCGCGGCAAGCCGACGAGCGGCGACGTCGACGTCATCGTGAGCCACCCGGACGAGGCGCAGACGCTCGGCATCATCGAGAAGCTCGTGTCGAGCCTGGAGAAGAGCGGCTTCATCACGCACATCCTGAGCATCTGGACGCGCAACAGCGAGCGCGGGCAAGCGCCCCTCGTGTGGAAAGGCGACGACCGGCCCTCGGGCTCGGGCTTCGACACGCTGGACAAGGCGCTCGTCGTCTGGCAGGACCCCGACACCAAGGAACAGGGGGGGCCTCACCGGCGGGTGGACATCATCGTCAGCCCCTGGAAGACGGCCGGGTGCGCGATTCTGGGGTGGAGCGGGGAGACGACGTTCCAGCGGGACCTGCGGCGGTACTGCAAGGCGAGGCTGGGGCTCAAGTTTGATAGCAGCGGCGTAAGGAGCCGGGCGGACGGGGCGTGGGTGGATCTGGAGGGCTCCGAGGGCAGGCCGGCGCCGGATATGGAGACGGCGGAGAGGAGGGTGTTTGAGGGGTTGGGGTTGGAGTGGCGGCCGCCGGAGGAGAGGTGTACGGGGTGATGGCTGGATATTTCAACGTGGGCCTGCTCTCGAGGTGTGATGGTCTGTTTCGGGGGATGGGCGATTGGGGCTTGGAGAGGACACTTGGTCTTGGGGGGGAAGATTCGAGTTTCAGGGGTGGTGGTGTCACTTTGGCTTGCGATATGCAGTTCGACTTCCAGGGAACGGCATTCTTAATGACAGCAATTGGACAAGTGAAACTGGATTCTCCATGCCGGCATTCCTCCTGATCAATGCCGACGTGCTGTGCTTGCTGCTGGTACGAGTCAAAGAAAGAAAGAAAAAAAAAAAAGTTACGAAGCCAGAAAGCGGACTTTTGATGCCTGGAGCTGCGGACTTTTGCGGGCCACGGCTCGTCAGGAAGAGCGAAGGATCGCGGCGCCGGCGCAATGCAATGGCGCAGGCCTCTTTGTACCCTTTTTTTTTTTTTTTTTTTTTTAGCGATGCAATGGTACTAGTATGGCACTTGCTGCAACATGAGGCGTACGTATGTAAGGGAAAAGCTGGTGATGTCGTTGCTGTGATACTGACTTGGGTGGTGTATATTGAGGCAACCTGGGACTGCGTGTAAGTGAGATGTTGGTGTGTGTGAGTGAGTGAGTGAGTACTTGTATTACTTGTATGTGGCTGCGGAGGAAGTGGGTTCTCTAGTAGTTAGGCGAAGATCCGAAGGGGAGAGAATACGGACCGTCGGCGGATGTTGAAATGCCGGGGCTGGAGAGGGAAATTTTGCAGGCTCGGCTAATGAATCTGATGGGCATCAGAGAAAAGAGAGAGAGAGAGATTTGATTACTGGTCGTTTTGGGGTGATTAATAATACGCATTTTGCGTATTGAAAGCGTTGGAGGGATTTCGTTGTTTGGGCTCAGGTGAGGCAAGCTGTTGTTGTATAAGTTATGTTGTGGGTACCTACTGCTGGCTGAGTTGAAGTAAGTATACATGTAGGATTATGCTGCTGGACAATTCAAGTTGAAGTCATCCAGAACTGCAAGGTAATGATTTACAAGATCTACCTCGAAATACATTTACATGAGAAGTGAGGAATACATGATATGTTTGCGTATCAGGCTTTGTTCTGTTGTTAACAGCCCTTCAATGTGTGTTCTCGGTAGTTGAACCTAAGCATGTCTAAGCAGGTTCATACGCCCACAACCCGATACAACACAAGAATCCCTGCTTACCAACACACAAATTCTCCCGTCTTATTATTATCAAAACAAGACTGCCATCTGAATCTCCGTCACTTCAACAACTGCCTATAGTCCGACGGTTCCTCTCACAGAACGACAGTACGTATCCTTCTCCGCAACAGTTGAGCCTCCATCAAACACATTGTTATCCACAAAACACTCCCAAAGAAGAGCGGCATTCGGAATTGCTCATCGCGCCGCTACCCACTGACTAAAAGACACGCCCCCAGGTCGCAGAATCCCCAACCCGTAGCATGATTTACTATAGGGGTAAATAGTACAGTTCCTAGCAAGACAGAAAGAGAAGAGTCCACGTTTCGCGCTTCTTTGGCTAGTAACTGTACTTGTGGTCCGCTGCTGCTGCTGTTAGTGGAGAATTCCAGTCTTTCTCTCCTATTCTTTGGCGTTCCCCCAGCATGATATACTAGTACTAGCATGAAGAACAAGTCGTTTGTGTCATGGCTGTTCTTCAGCCAGGCATTGGACCCGGATAGCCACTCCGTATCCCGTCCATGAACCAACCTTGCTCCGTACCGAAACAGACTACTTGTCGTAAGTAGTCTATAGTTGACTCCCATGCAGTCGATCTAAACTGCCTGGGCAATAATATCTGTAGCAGTAGCGGGTGGAACACAATGGACACGTCTCCGTCTCCTGCGTCACTGGGGGGGTTTTTTATCCCGAGTCCCAGCCTTTCAAGGGGGTACATCACCAGACGCTTAAATTGACCACTGCTCCCACGGCTGGAATCAACTCAAAAGACTCTCATTGACCAGACAAACTCCTCAATAAATCACACAATTCTCATACTCTTCTCATCTCATCTACTCTTTTCACTACAGAATCATCCTCTAAAAGCTTCCAAAATGGCCATCACTCTCGCCGTCCCCGACACCTACGGGTACGTTATTACCAAAAAAGAAAAAAAAAATCCTCCCTTCGTCTCTACCAACAAGCAATGAAAACACCATGAAACGGAAACATCACAAATGAATTAAATCATAAATACTGACTCAATTCAAAAACGACAGCCTCGTCCTGGCCGCCGCCACTTCCACCTTCTTCGTCAACACCTTTCACATGTTCCGAACCGCCAAGCTCCGCAAGGCCAGCAACATCCCCTACCCCAACGCCTACGCCACCCACGAGCAGGCCGAGAAGGACGTGAACGCGTATAGATTCAACTGCGGTAAGTCAAGTTTCGGTCTCAATCTCAATCCCAACCTCAATCTCTAGTCTGCAGCCTCGGTGAAGATGGCATCATCATCATCATCATCATCATCATTAGCATCATCTCAACCCTCCTCATCCTCTGCTTCACTCACTTCACTTCGTCCACCAATCCACCCCTTATTCCATTCTACCCCTGGACATCCACCAACACTCAACACTCAACACCAACAAACAAAAAAACTAAACAAACGCTTCGCAGCCCAACGCGCCCATGCAAACTTCATCGAGAACCAGCCCTCCGCCCTCGGCGCCCTCCTCATCTCCGGCCTGCACTTCCCCGTCGCCGCCGCCGTCCTCGGCGCCACCTGGTCCGTCGGCCGCACCCTCTACCTCTACGGCTACACCAGCTCCGCCGGCCCCAAGGGCAGGACTTTGTAAGTTTTTGCCGACCTTACCATCATCCCGATCCTCACGACGGCCTCGTCGAAATGGAAATGAACCTCAAGTGAACTAACAGACGATCCCCCCCCGTTTTTCTAGTGGCGCATACATCGCTGGCGTGGCAGACTTGAGCTTGAAGCTCATGGCGGCCTACACCTCCTACCTGCTTGTCGCGGGCAAATAAATAAGCTCACTTCACCTTTGTGTAATAGTAGCAGTAATGAAAAGCTTTTCCTCAATTAATAGAGTCAATATTTCCCCCTTTCAGTAAACGCTGGATAACAAAACGCTCTGACGCCCCCCTTTCCGTTTCCCTTAAGCCTGTGAGAGAGAAGCTCCTGATCCACGCCTGGAGAATTGTCTTTCTGCAACCACTGAGGCTGTCCACTTGTCAATCTTTGGGGCGGCCTATCGGCGGAGGTGCGTGCTCACCCCTCGTGTGCTGGGGAAAGAGGTATTATATAAAACAAAGGATATCACAATATACAAAGAAAGGAGAGCCTGGTAAAGAGGCCTGCTCATGATACAGGCCTCTCTCTACCTTCGCAACTTGCGTCGCCGCAGCTCTGCAAACGTTTCCTGCGTGTCGTCGAATCCCAGACTCGTGACATGCTCCATCTGCTCCCTCACCGACTTCTCAATGCCATTGTTCCCCAGCAGAAAGTCGCCATAATACTTCATGGCGTCAAACATTTCTTCTCCCGTTGGGACAATGTACTCCTTGGGGAGGAGGAAGCCGTAGCTCCCCGTGTCCCGGAGCTTGATCTGATAGCTGTAGTGCGCGCCCAGCTCGTGGTAGAACCAGTCAATGGCGGACCCGCCGCCCGACTCGATGCGAGGCCAGACGGGATGGCGGTCGGGGGAGTCCTTGACGGCCACGGCGCCCTCGCAGGCAGAGGTGACCGAGTACGACTCTCCGTTGGACAGGCGAATCGCCTTGGCCATGCCCATGGCCAGCTCCTCCAGGTTCTCGAGGTTGGGCGGCTCGGTGGAGCACGTGTATGCGTAGGGGAAGAGGACCTGTTGCGAGTACGAGTGGAGATCCACCAGTCCCACGACCTTGACATTGTGCTGCGTCTCGTTCTTGGCCCATCGGGCGAGCTCGCTGGCCTCGAACGCCTGGAAGGGGGCCTCTCCGCCGTAGCTCTCCGAGCACGGCTCGCCCGAGGCCTCGGCATGGTCCCAGCCAAAGCCAAAGGCGTGGTCTAGGTCCATGCCGCGACAGAACTGCATCTTGGTTGGCTGTCGGTTCTTGCGCCACAGGCGGTCGACCTGCCAGCTGTACTCGACACCGTCCGGGTTGACGACGGGGATGAAGACGACGTCGAAATGGCTGAGGAACTTGGTGATCATGGGCTCGTTGCCAAACGACGTGATAAACGACCACGCCACATAGTTGACGGAGCTGGTGGAAATCCACTCGCGAGCGTGGAGACCGCCGGTGACGACAATCATCTTGCGCGGCTTGCTGGGGTCGGCCAGCTCTGGCACTCCGACGCGGAGGGCGGGTATGTCTCGCCCCTCAAACGACTTGCCTATCGTGATGTATCTGACGTACGACGGGAACATGGCCTCCAGCAGGCGCATCCAGCGGTCGATGACGGGCAGGGGCTGGTAGTCTTGGAAGAAGAGGTTGTCGACGGACCGCGGCTGCTCCAGCAGCGCCCAGGACAGCTTGTCCGAAGCCACGGCGCTGTCCTCGGCAGACGGCAGGGTCCGGTACATGGTCGTCGCCAGGTTCGGGATCAGGATGGACTGCGAGTGGTGGAGGGACCGGGGCAGCAGGCTGCGCAGCGGCGCCACCTGGCTGGCAGCCAGCCGGATGTCGACATATTCATCCGTAAAGGCCCAGATGTCGAGCAGCAGCCGGGCGGCGGCCTCGGCGAGCGCGGCCTCCTCGTCGGCAGTCGTGACGTTGAAGCGCAGCACCAGCTGGTTGGCGTATCGTGCGGGCGAGAAGCTGGGCGTCGTCGGGGCGGCCTTGGAGGGGTGGCGGCCGAAGACGAGCTCAATGGCGGCGTCGCGCAGCCTCGTGAGGATGGGGAAGACGCTGCTGCTGCCGCCGCGACCGCCGCCGGGCGAGGGCATCCGCTGCGTCTGCGCGCCAATGCCGGCGCCGAGGGCGGGAGCTGGACCCAGGAGAGCCAGCGAGGCCACCACGGCCGCGAGCGAGGGCTTCATCTCGGCTTCTGGTGAGCGGCGCGGCTCGGTGGGGTCGGTGTAAGATGAGTGCTGGAGCAGACGAGGATGAGGATGAGCGGGATCACGGGCAATTTCAGGGTGAATCACTCTCTGCGCATGGCGCTGTGCCTGGTGATGGGCTTGTCGTTCGTTGGAGTTGGGGAGGCGATCTTTTTGGTCGTTAGCCTCGAGACTGATGAACGGTCCAAGTATTAACAGCACTGTTGGTGACGGGCCGCTAGATGATAGCACACCTCAGCGGATAGTGGACCGGGAGTGCTGGCGAGGCTATGCTCGTGCTGATTCTACAGCAGGTCTAAGGCGCTGGGATTCTGCTACGGTACAGGTACCTGTAGCGTCCATTGCATTAGGCGGTTCGCTGCTGCGCATGGAGCCCCGGAGAATATTGCGACGGGAGGCTGGAGGTAGCGGCGACTCAGGGTTGTTGTAGCCTCGCGGGTGGGCGACAACCCCAGTTACCGATGGCCGGGGTGCCCCAGAGGTACCCAGTACTTGGTGGCGGGGCTGTGCCCAGAACTTGCGTGAGCTTGCAGAGGTGGCCTGAGGGCATGTAAGAACTCGTACTGTAAGCGTTGAAGCGCACTCACGGGCAAAGAGAGCGTCTACATCACAAAGAGAGCTCTTGAGAGGAATCAATGAAAGTGTAGGAAGGGGAGATTTGTAACTGGAAACTTGTATTGGGCTTGTCGAGTAATATGTTCTTTCGGGCAGCAATGGACCAGGGCAGGTCTTGTTAATTTGATTTCCATCCATGGGTCAAGGTCCCTCGAGGCGGGATTGCCCAAATTCTAGAGCGCTGTAATGCAGACGTAAGGTACCAGGTAGGTACATTGGCCCATCACTGTAGTACTAGTAGTACGATACATAGAAGAGAGCTTCCCTTCTCACCCGCCATCAGAGGCATTGTGTGTGGCACGTCATATCACAAGACGGCATGTCAAGAATATGAATCGAAAGAATCGAGAATACGCCCTTTTCCATTTGCCTTTTCCTGCGCTGACGGATTCTACTTCGACCACTTCTGCCTCCCGCTGTGCTGCCGCCATCAAGTGGAAGCTTACAGCACCTTGTCCCACTACAGCATTAGCGGCTCTCCGCCAAGTTCCATGGACCATCTGCGAGTGTTCTGGCCGCGCGGATCCACTGGCGCATCAGCCTCATGCGTGGGCCAGGTACCGACGAGTAGCGCCGCACCCGGCCTTGGGCGCCGTTGGACGAGGGCGGTACCGAGCACACGCGCGTACACCCATCCACCCCGACCTCTAGCAGCTTAGCTCCCCCCCAGCGCCCCCTTCGCCAGAGCCCAGGAGCCCTGCGAGCGTGGCCGTGCAACCTCGTGCATGCAATCTCGGACACCCTGTTTGGCGGGCTCTCTTGCTGCATTACTACATGTACCTACTGTATGTACTGTCTGTACCCTGTCTCCAGGTCTCCTCTGCTCTGCTGCGCTTCTGCCCTGTATGTAGTACGAGGATTACATACAGGCATCGTTACAAGTCCTGTCCCATCATAATACAACCCAACTCGACTGACTGATTGACTGCAGAGGCTATGGCGGCGTCGATGCGCTTGTGCTGAGCCAGCAGGACCCTCCAACTGACCTCCCGAGGCCCCCTCCAACCACCACCCCTGGGGCTGTTCTCATCAATCAGTCACATTACATCTTCATTTCCAGCACAGCTCGTCCAGCCCCGTCTCGAGTCTGCCGCTCTGCTCCCGCCCTGCTGCTCCCTCGCTCAATGCCCCTTCTCGACGCGCCCGGCGCATCCAGCTACTAGGCCTCGACCCTCGACCCTCGACTCTCCGCCATCGTCGCCCATCCTCGTCGGGCCTCGTCAGCTCCCGCCCTCCTGCTCCCCGTTCCCCCCCAGCGGCCTCGCCGGATCTCCCCCCCAGCGGGCCAGCCGTGCCCTCGCAAACCATGAGCATCGGCCGCCATGCCGTTCCTACGCCGCCGCGGCAACATGGCCAGTGAGACCGACATGCGCCGCCTTACCACTGCCTTTGCGCCGGCCTCTGACGACGTCCCCGAGCTGCCGCCGCCGCCGCCGCCCTCCCAGCCAGACGACGAGGCTGCCGATCCGCAGTCACGGCCGCAGAGCCGCGAGTCCGTGGCGTCACTCGACCGTCCCTCCACGCCGCCCGTCCAGCAACAGTCCAACAAGCACCGTCGCTTCTCCGTTCTGCGGTTTCGAAATGCTTCCGACTCCCAGCTGTCTCTCCGTGTCAAGCAGGCAGCCGAGAAGCCTCCTCCCGTTCCTCGACGTAATGAAGCCCGCCCCCCCATTCTCTCTTTCCCTTGCGCCCTGTCCTCTGAACCTGCCCCTCTCCCTTCTTGTCTACACGATCCAATCTCGGATATGAACCCAGATCTATATCTGCATCTGTATCTACCTATATTCAGGTTCAGATAAAGATGGAGATGTAGGTTGAAATTAAGATGAAAGATTGCAAACGAAATCCCCTTCGCTCTCTCCCTTTCATGACCACTCAAGTCCTCATGGCGGCTGACTTCTTTGTTCTTTGCTTCGTCTAGCTCCTGCCATCATCACCACCGCTCCCACCATGAACATGGAACCGAACAGCATCAGAAAGTCATCCTCCCGCCTCGGGCTGGCTGCGATGCTGCGTCGATCCGCCGACATTCCCCGCGACGATCCCGTGTCCAGCCATCGCCGCGACCCCATGCCCAGAAAGTCCATGGGCGACCAAGGGCGACCTTCGCTGAGCGTCGCAGACGATCCCGATCCTCAATCCCCGCGGCCTTCGACCCAGACGACTGTCGATTCCACCGGCACCGGGCTCAACATCGCCCCTCGACCATCCGAGTCCTCGAGATCAGACGTTAGCTCCACTGATCGAGTATCTCACAATAGCTTGAGCTCTACCCCCAAAAAGTCGCTATCGTCCACGTCCTTCTTCAAGCTGCGCAGGAACAAGAGGCCGCCGGAGCTTTTGTTTCCCTTTGCACATCTTCAACAAAAGGGCGGCGCGACGCCGGCAGACGGGAACTCGACCGCATCTTTAGGCGTCGAGGCCACGCCACGCCCGGTTTCCGCCCAGAGCACTGGCCTGCACAAAGCCGAGACTGACCACGGCCCTCACCCGAACCCGGCCATTGCCCTGTTCAACGCAAACGCCGCGCCTCGCTCCGACCACTCCTCTCCGACCCGGACCACCCTGCTGCGCGGGAGGTCGTCCACGTTGAGCTCGATAGGACGAGACTCCAACGATGAGCACCTCGGGCCGCCCGCCAATTCGCGGACGTCCACCTCGATTGGCCGCAAGAGCTTCGGTGACCTGCTGGGACTGACCCGGCTTCGCCAGAACTCGGACCTCAGCCGGCAAGGCTCCTTCACACCCGCCACGCCAGGATCCACTGGCTCCAAGAACAACTCGCTGCAGCTGCCGAGAGATTCCATAGTCCTCCCCGAGCGCCTCGAGGACGAATCCCCCGCCAAGTACATTGCTCGAATAGAAGGCATGGTCAGCCGGGGTGCCATAGCTGCGGCGCTGTCAAAGGGAACCGACGCCTTTTCGACCGCCGCCCTGAGGAGCTTCATGAGAACGTTTAGCTTCTTTGGAGATCCCATGGACATGGCCATTCGCAAGCTCTTGATGGAAGTGGAGCTGCCCAAGGAGACGCAGCAAATTGACAGGTTTCTGCAGGCGTTTGCGAACCGCTACCACGAGTGTAACCCCGGCATCTACTCCTCGCCCGACCAGGCCTACTTCATTGCCTTTTCTCTCCTCATCCTTCACACCGACGTCTTCAACAAGAACAACAAGCACAAGATGCAAAAGGCGGATTACCTTAAAAATACCCGCGGAGAGGGCATCTTTGATGAGATTCTCGAGTGCTTCTACGACAACATTTGCTATACCCCCTTTATCCACGTTGAAGACGACTTAGATTCGAACCACGAGCGCCACGGAGGTCTCAAGTCGAAACGCAAGATTCTCCCGGCCCCTCCAGGTGACCCGGCCAAGCGAGCGGCAAAGGAGCCTCTCGATCCCTACACCCTCATCATCGATGGGAATCTAGACGTGCTGCGACCAAACCTCAAGTCCGCCATCCCCCTGGAAGACCAGTACCGCTATCTGGGGCCGGGCCAGACCCTCAACCTGAAGGACCTGCAAAAGACCTTTTTCAGGACAGGAGTCTTGCAGATTGTCTCTGCGAGGTCCCGTCCAGATGCATTCATGTCTGATAAGCCCCTCAACAACCCAGATGACGCACCGGGCATCGTCGACATCAAGATTACAAAAGTTGGGCTTCTTTGGCGCAAGGAAGCCAAGAAGAGAAAGACACGATCTCCCTGGCAGGAATGGGGCGCCATCCTCACAGGCGCTCAGCTCTACTTCTTCCGCAACACCGGCTGGGTCAAGAGTCTCATGCACCAGTACGAAAACCATGTCAAGTCTGGTCACGACGGGATACCCATCACCTTCAAACCCCCTCTGGAGGAGTTCAAGCCGGATGCTCTCATGTCTACCAAGGGCGCTGTGGCTCTCCTCGATACGTCCTACAAGAAGCACAAGAACGCCTTCATCTACGTCAGACAAGGAGGCTTGGATGAAGTCCTTCTTGCTGACGACGAGCAGGAGCTGCATGACTGGCTGGCCAAACTCAATTACGCTGCCGCCTTTAGGACGTCGGGCGTTAAGATGCGCGGCGTTGCTGGAGGCACCTATGACGGCCACAGTCGCCGGGCTTTCAGGAGGCTTGAAAGCTCGGACGCCACGCAACTTGTCGAGACACCCACTGGTCTTGTGTCGATTGCGCGGAGCCGAATCGACCGCAAGATGGCCGAGGATATCCAGCAGGCGAGACGCGAGATTATGCGAGAAAAGATTGCCGAGGCGGACCGCAAGATTGAGGAAGCCAAGAAGGCCCTGGAAGACCAGCTGAGGAATGCCCGCCACCTCCAGATACTCGCGCCTATCCAGCCGAGGACGAGAGAACAGCTCCTCCTGGCCGCGGCTCGCATGTCTGCGCAGCTTAGGTGGGCGCGCATGGAGATCTGGAAGGAAAAGTGCCACCGTGATATTTTGGCCTTGGACCTGCAAGAAGAAGGGGAGCTGATCGAGGAGAAGCCTACAGCTGACACGCGGCCCTCGGTCGAGGAGCGTCGTGTCTCGTCAGCTCCACACCCCTCCGGTTCCGTGAGTAAACGACCCGAGTCCAAGGCAATGTCCGAGAAGCTGCCCCAGTCGCCTCTTGTGGAGGCTCATCCAGCCTTCTTCTCGGACAAGGATGACTTCACGGTGGAGTTGCAGGATCCGGCGGCGCGGCCAACGTCGCCGCCTTCAACGCGCCCAACGAGCGAAGTGCACCCGCAGCTCGAGGTGCAGGAAACGCCCAAGCTGGACATTGGAAGTGTCAGGCATGGCTCGGTTTCGAGCATCACGCCCTCCCCCGTGCAGCCATCCACGGGTACGACGCTGGGCAAGCAGCAGCTCGAGCCGCACGATGAAGACGAAGCGGCCGATGTCAAGTCGAATCACACGCATGACGAGGTGGACGCTGATGAAAGGCACTTCTTGAGGCAGGCGGGCCTGTTGGAGGGAAGAGTAGGGCGGGATCCGTCAGACAAGTCCATCACGTCCACGGCGGGAGAGGCCGGCGAGCCTTCCTCGTCAGCAGACAAGTTTGAGAGAAGCAAGATTCGGCGCAGCCTTCAACGCACCCTTAGGGAGAGTGCTGGTCACCTCTCGCACCATCGGAGCCGGAAAGGCAGGGAGACGGGCCCGGCGGCGTCAACAGAGGACGCCGCTCGCGACAGCACGCTATCACGAGGAACTGGAAGCTTTGTCGTCCACGGAAAGAAGGCTTCCGTCATTCAACTCGGGACAGAGCTGCAAGTCTTGAACAACGAGGAGCAGCTTCTGGCCCGGAAATCGCAGCAGCAGAGCTACCGGCAGTCTACTGACCAGCCTGCCTTTTCCCCTCCGAGCGAGGAGCAGGAGGACGATTTTTACTCCGTGCTCGAAGCACCTTTGGAGCACAGCGAGTCTCGTGAGCGAAGAGAGTCGGCAGCGAGCGCCAGTACGGCCACAGCCAGGAGCTTCCGAGAGCTTCATCGCAAGTACTCGTCGGCTCAGGCAGCCCGGAGCGTCTCCGCTGGAGGAAGGCTGGCCGTTCCTTCAGATGCCGACAGCGAGGTGGCGGTGAGCTTTTCGGACGGCCGAAGATCGCCCTTACCGCCCATGGAAACCGAGGAAGATGACGATGACGAACTGGAAGCATTCACGGCTGAATCGGCTATAGATGAAGAGGGAGATACTACAATGCCACTTGAGCAAAAAGATGAGGAATTAGAGCACAAGCTGGAAGAGGGGACCTTGAAAGAAGAACCGGTCAAGGAGAAGGAGGCAGAGGCAGAGGCAGAGGCAGAGGCAGCACACGACCCCGAGTCTCTGCCTAGCCGACCACTTCAAGCAGTGGATGCATGAACTTTGAGAGAAAAAAAAATAAAGAGAAAAAAAAAACTCGGGATAGAAACAGAGATGGTAGCTTGAAGGTTCTTTTATTTTAGAGGGCTGCGGATATGTATGTCTATTTAGCGAATATTGCAAGGCAACGGGTGGTGCGACAGGGCGAAAGCAAGTAAAAAAAGCAAAAAGGGGGTCTATTCTTTTCTTTGTCTTTAACATTTGACCATGACGGCTGCACTGGAAACACCAATGTCTCTTTTCTACTCTCTTACTATCTTTTCCTGTTGTCCCTTGCCTCGTCCTGGCTCACTGAGGCTCCAGATACCATCCACCATGTTGGGGAAAAGGGGGGGGGGTGGGGAGAACGAACAATATATGCCCTACTTTTCACCTGTCATTTTTCTTCTTTGTTAATGTGTACCTTAGCTACCTCTACCTATCAGCCTCCTGAGATTTTCACTTTTTTATCTTTACTAGCTTTATCTTTTACGCTCCTTATACCTTTTGTTATTCCCTTTCTTAGTACAGATGCCTATGCTCTTCTTACCTATATTCCACTTTTCCCGTTTCCATCTCGGGTTATCTCCTTTATTAATTGACTTCTATAAAGCATGAGGCTATGGGGATTGTGACTAGAATAGTCGAGAATATGCCTTTACTTGAGGTACTTGGGTAAACTAGGTATATACTACATGAACACGCAGTATATTAACCTTAACCTTTAAGAACTCTATACTACCTAGTATAACTATATATATACAGACTAATATTAAATATACCTTTACTTAAGATTACCTTGAAATAAACATTCTCTTATATAGTATTAATTATATTGAGGTAAGTCTCTGATAATATACGTATAAGACTAGCTTTTATATTTGTCTAAAAAGTCTTATGAATTTATATAGGTACATATAGATGTATCTGTGTGTATAGGTATGTATATATATATATATACTAGGTACTATCCTTGGGATGCCCTGATGGAATCGTCCGTGCCCAGCCAGGAGTACATTGCTATTCTCCTTGACCTACCGCCTCGTAGCTGACCATTCTGCTCAACAGTTTGGCTATCTCACTCCCTACGCAGTGACCCTTGGAGCTTCGTATCAGTTCAGAAGCCTCATCACCATAACATGGCATACAATCTCTCGGACGTCAAGGTCTCGGATGCAGACAACATTGCACGAAATGTCGAAGTCCCAGCTATGCAAAACAGTCCGCTGTACCGGACCATGTTCCCTCAAGCCGCCACAATGACAGAAGCGCAAAAAAACGAAGTCATCGACTGGTATTCCGACATGCTCACGGACGCTTTCCTAGACGGAGCGGAAAGCTTCCTCAAGGCGTGCTCTGTCGATGATGGTTCCCCCGTCGGGTTCTGCGGGTGGACAGCCATCGAACGGAAGGGGGAGACGACGGATGATGAACGATCGAAGCAAGTATTGCGAAGAGCGACATGGCTGCCGGAGACGCTGGACCAAGACGGCTGGATCACCCTCTCAAGAGCCCTGAGAATGGAGCGAGACCGGGTCTTGAAGGACCTCGGCGATATGATAACTCGTGAGGGAGTTCACCCTTTCTTCAAGAGCACTTACTATGTACTACCTGTATCTTGGAATCAAAGACCCTATCACTGACAGTTTCTTTAATTGCAGGCCTGACCTTTATGGCGGTACGTCCGGGGCATCAACGGCAAGGAGTCGGGTCAATGATGATGCAGCAGTTCTGCAATGAGGCGGATCTGCATGGGCGATGCGCATTCGTGCTCGCGGCACCAGAGGGAGTTGGGCTGTATGCCAGGTTTGGGTTTGACGTTGTCGGTTGTGTTGAGAGTCCGCAGGGCATCATCACTAGCATGCTTCGACGGCCTCGAGACTCGTGAGCGTGGTGTTTGCAGTACTACTAACACACACACGGGACAAGCTATATATACAGAAACGAAGGGAATCATGAATAGCAGGTATCATTTACCACAGATTATGGGGGGCAAGCCCAAGAATAGTCTGCATTACCCAAGAGTTTACCAAGTCTGTGCATGTGTCTGTGCACATTATCCTGCGTGTTTCCCATTATGCTTGCAATTGGCAATGTGACATGGGGCTGTAAGCCTTATGGTCTGACAGTCAAGGGGATCGAGTTGCATAGTATACGACGAAGCCATATATACAACACTCTGAAACAAAGGGTGATTTACAAGCATGTATCATAACAATACATGTAAGCCGTGGTGGTGATTACATGTGGCCCGGAACTCGGGACAACTTGACATGAGTGCTTGAGACAAGCTTATTCGAACAATGCAGCTCTATCGGTCCTCAAAGCAGTCTTCTTTCTCAGGGTTAAAGCTACGCTGTATAGCCAGACTAGGTAGGTAGGAAGCTGTCTTCATGTTTCAAGATCCCTACACCGTGCAAGGCGGTACGACCGACCTCCGTATGATGATGATATCAGGCATGAGGGCTGACTTGTTACTACAGACGGCGGCATCACCGTTATCCCAGGGGGCGTTGGCACATATAAAGCCATCTCAACCGCCATGGCCTCTCTCCCATCAGAGAGCATCTCTCACCAGCAGACACACCTCAGCTAAAACAACAACAGCAACAACAACATCACCAATATCAACCCTCCTTCTCCAACTACCAACAACCCACCAACCACACAATCAAACCCCAAAAACAACCACAATGCTCTCCTCCTCCTCCTCCGTCGTCATCATCCTCCTCTCCCTCCCCTTCTTCACCCACGCCTCCCCCCTCAACCCCCGCGGCCTCATCCCCACCGAATCATGCTCCCTCCAGGGCACCGACTCAGGCGTCAACTCAACCGACCTGCAAGCCCTCGCCGTCGCCCTCAAGCAAAACACGCTCACCACCGGCCCCGTCGACGACAGCATCCTCATCAAGGCCTCCCACGCCGTCGAGTTCTCCGCCGGCACCGCCGCCGCCTGCGTCCAGAACAACTTCCTCTTTGAAAACGCCCACTTTGCCCGCTCCGACATCGCCGATGCCATTGCCAAGAGCTTCATCGACTGCTGCGACGGCACCGATTTCTGCAACAACAAGCCGTTCAGCACCATCAGCGGCGATACCGGACTCACGGCCATTGTGCAGATCCAGAACCCGGGCGAGGAGTGCAAGTCGCCCAATGGCGGTGCGTCGGGCAAGCTCGAGGACGCTGAGATTATTGGCAGGACGGCCAAGTTCTTTGCGGACCTCTTCAGTGCCTTCAGGGGGTGATTTGACGACATTGCATGGTTAGGTGGTTGGACTGCGATGCTTTTCAGGAAGGGGGGTTACATTGAAGCCAGCTGGTCTGGGTCAGGGCAGTGTGCGCCTTATATAGATTTCTCTTGTTCTTTTTTTTTTTTTTCTTGCTATACTGTTGCAAAGTTCACTCATTCGATGCTGTCTCTATACAACGGAGGCCCTTATATAGCACATGTAGTTACTATACATACACATTACAGGTTTCCTTCCGCAGCAGAGGGATCTCAATCACCATTACAGCTTCTCTTAATTCCATTACCGCTCCTTTTACTTCCATTACAGCCTCCACAATAGACTTCAAGTCTATCTCTTGTGGTTTCTTCATCATCGTTACTCCTACACAGACAGTGGCTGCCCCGCCCCCAACACCATCAACGACCTCCCCCCTAACTCACCACAGTAGACCAGGAGAACGTCAACACTCAGCATTTCAGCGAAACAAGAAGCAAAAAGGCAAAAAGAGAAAAACATACAACAGCCGGTGTTCGCCAGTGGTCACCCACCTGACTACTAATCTGCCGGTTAGTGGCTTGTCTATGGGGGAGCAGACGGGACCCCGAATTCTCCACTACCTATGGTCGTATGTGATGGGATTCCGTGCATATTCTGCACATATTCGACTTGGCCTGGTGTCACGACAATTTCAAGTTGTCGGGCATCAGGGTATAAGTCCTTCCCGGTATGAGCATCAAGGCTGCAGAGTCCAGTCCATCTCTCGAACCCCTTGTTCCAGCAAATCTACATACCCCCTTTTTTTCTTGATCCCCCTATCGCAGCAACTCCATGCAACTCTCCGAACTGCGGCATACATATACATGCACAAGTCGATACTCGGATCTGCATTACCACATAAAAGACTCTGCCCGGTTGTAAACAGTGAAAATTCAGAACCATAGATAGCCTATTTCTTGCCCTTCTTCTTCTTCTTATTGTTCGATGACGGCGCCGCCGCCTTTTCCACCTTGACGCCTCCGCCGCCCACCAGCCCCAGTGTCTCCTCCTCCTTGACGATGCCGCCCTGCGTGGCCTCGCCGGCCCTCTTCTTGCCCTTCTTGCCCTTGGGCCGGTATGATGACCTGTCGCGGAGCGGCAGCCACCTCTCCGGGTCGGGCGTCTTGCCCTCGACGTAGTTCTTTGGCAGCTTTCTCCGCCGTCGCTTCGTCGCCTTCTCCACGTTGGCTTCTTCCGTCGCCGGCCGCTTCTTGGACACGGCGCTGCTCTTGGAAGCGGCCACGCCGGCTGCGAACAGCTCGTCCACGTCGATGCCGCTGATCAGGTCGCCGACAGGGGGCAGCTGGTCGGCATTCTGCCGGACCCTGGACGCGTCAGACGCCGCATAGGCCGCGACTAGCCCGGCCGAAGCCACATCAGTGGCCTGTTGCTCCCGGAGCAGCTTCTCAAACGCCGATCCCGCCAGCAGCAAGTCGTCCGCGTTGGACGATCGCATGAGTTCGATTCCGGCCTCGAGGAGAAGCGACCCCACTGCGTGAGATGGCCGATTTTGCCAGTACTGGGCGGCCTTGACAATTTCCGCCTTGGCTGAGGCCTCTCGCTGCTGTGATCGGAATAGAGAGACGGCGAGCGCAACCAGTCCGGGGCTGAAGCGTACATCCGTGTCTTTGGGTTCTTCCGAAGACTCTAAACGGTTGAGGAAGGTCGTCAGGGTCGTCAGAGCGGCGCCAGCTTGTTGCTGCTGGAGCTGGAGCTGAACAATTGTCAGGGCAAGACCAACGTCGTTGGTCCGCTTGGCCGCCAGGGCTTGCAGCTTGCGAAGCGCCTCCTTGTCGTCCAACCCTTGAGTGTGGGCAGCAGCGTTGATGATGGACGCTGCCGTGATTTGTGGACTAATCGAAGGAAGCGTTGCCTGCCTGAGAGTCTTTTCGGTTCTGTTTGCGACGCCCTGCGTCTTAAAGGCCGCAAGATCAATGATGAGATTGTTGCGCTTGAGGATATTGGACTGGTAGTTGAATAGATCGCTTTGAGCAGCTGATGCCATGAGGGACTCTGCCTTGCGCTGGCGCAGGAAGGGGTTGCCAGGGGCTTCCAGGGAAAAGTGGTTGTTTTGGGTGATGATGGCAAAGTCACGCCCATCGTTGGCACTGTGACACACGTTAGATACAATCCACTGCAACTCTGAGGCAACAATGCACTTACGTTGGAGGACCCAGCATCTCATAGACTTCCAGAGCCGAGCTGGGCTTCCCAATCTTGGCAAACAGATACGCCTGCTGAGCACGAATAGATCGCAGCTCTGTCTTCTTCTCCTCATCGGTCAGTTCGTCCGAGTTATCGCACAACATGGCCGCGCGCTGCAGAAGCGAAGCAGCACGGCTTGTGTTGCCGCGAGCAAGCTCGCCGCAAGCCACGTTGAAGCACAGCTCAAAGGTATCCAAGGACTCGGGGGACATGGCCGGGCTGGCCGAGGGCGTTCCCTCCCATTCAGACTGGGCCGTGGCAGCAGAGATGTTGATCCTGAGATCGCTCTCCTCGCCGGCAGCGTCCGTGTCCAGCATGTTCCTGTAGATGGCCTCGACCTCGTGCGACTTCTCGGCCCGGTAGGCGACCTGAGCGGCGACATGGCGGAGGCCGCGTTTCTCCAGGCCGGCGGACTCGATCAAGTCGGACGCCTCGGTCAGCTTGCCTGTCTTGTAGAGCGCATAGGCCTGCTCGAGGGTGCACTTGGCCTGGAGCTTAATCCCACCGCCGCTGATGACACGGAGGGCATCGTCGAAGCGATCGAGCTTCAGCAGGGCGACGACCTTGGTGTGTTGGGCGGTAAAGTCGCTCTTGTCGGCCTTGATGGCGGCATTGGCGGCTTCGAGGATCTGTTCGTGGTCTTGGATATCAGCAGCCCGCAGGAGAGCGCTGAGGGCGTTGCGAGGATCTTGAGGCATTGGAACGGATATCGACAGGGTGGGTTATGAGGGACGACGCATCGTTGGTGGGGGAGGATCCGGGGAGAGGTTTGGGCGACGCGGAGGCGGAAGATGAAGATGCCAATGATGTCAAAGGATATGTAGATGGCGAGTCGACGGTGGTAGCTGGGGAAAATGGAAAGTCTCTTGCTGCGCGAGATCGAGAGCCTCAAGTCGTTGCTCTTCCTGTCGCAACAGAAAAAGAGGCCAAGCTGGAGAGCTGCTGCGTGATGAAGCGAATTGCCTGCAAGTCCCTGTTATGGTGGGTTTTCGGATCCGCGGGGCTCGTGGCCGCCACAGGTGGCTTGACTCGCCCTGCCAGCATTGGGAAGCTCAGGCGACGCTACATGTAGGTACCTACCTAGGTAGTAGGTTATCTCAACTCTCTCCAGCAGGGGGCCACAGCGCTGTGGCACCGCTGAGCACCCGACCACAAACACCGCTGTAGCACACAGCCGAGCACTGCTGTAGCGCGCCTGTAGCGCCCCCATAGCACCGCACAGGTACTGCCGCGAGAGGCACCTCCACGCCGCAAGTACCTGCGCTTACAGGGTACATCAGCCCGCAGCCGCGCCAGAGCACAAGCGCCGTCACCGCCTAACAGCCGCGCTTCTCGATGCTCGTGTCACGCCTCACAGCCGCCGTTCTGCCACTCTCCGCCTGGTCCTGTCAATCCTTGGTCCCTTTTCATCTGCTGACTTGCTCTCTGCATTGACATCTTTTAACTGAAACTCCAAAGAGGGATTGAGCGAGAAACGGCAGTCTCTTCTCGTCGATATTTTACGCTCAATTACCTTTAATTGTTTGCTCAATCTTTACACATTGCTCCAATACCTCAATCGGTGGCAGAGCGCATCCCAAGCCGTTACGCACCTAGATTGCCCGTCCTTCTCGGCCATCGCCGCGCCTCCACCATGGACTTGGATATCGATATGGACGATGCGGCCGCCGATGCCTTTCAAGACGGCAGCGATAACCACGAGATCCTCCCGCAAGGCGACGACATCCTGGTGCCGGACGAGCCCGAAGAGCCGGGCGAGGTAGCAGACGATGGGCAGCAAAACGAAGACGACGCGTCCACCACCATTGTCCCTACAAAGATCCACATAAAAGGCCTCGACAGCCTACACACGGACGACATCAAATCATATGTAAAGAGTCACTACGGGACCGTTGACAGGGTGGAATGGATCGACGACAGCTCTGCCAATCTCGTCTTCAGCTCCGAGCCCACGGCCCGCGACGCCTTTGTGGCCCTCAGTGCTATCGACATTGCAGATGCCACGGCTCTGGGCATTGGAGAAACGGTTCCCGCCAAAGCCTTGGAGGGCCGATCAGAAATCTCCCTACAGCTTCGCTTTGCTACTCTAGCCGATAGGAAGCAGGCTGGCGCCGCGCTTCGCAGCAGATATTACCTCCTACACCCGGAGCACGACCCCGAAGAAAGGCGGCGCCGACAGCAGGAGAACCGGACACGATATCGCGACCGTGACCGCGACCGTGAACGTGACCGCGACCATCGTGGTAACGGAGGCAGGCGGAGACGATACTCGGACGAACAGGTGGAAACGTTCGAGGCAAGCATGTACGATGATGCGCCGCAGCCCTCCAGAGACAGCAGGTCGCCCGAGCGATCAGGACCGTACGCGCGAGGGAACAACCGCGGCAAGGAGCTGTTTGGCGATCGCCCAGCACGACGATCAAGCGCCAGGAGAGGGAGGTCCGCATCGCCGCGCCGTGACGATGACGGAGACGCACCCATGGATCTTTTTGCCAGCTCGTCTGGTAACAGGACGCAGGCCCGCTCCATCAAGAGCCGCCTCGCAAGCGAGACAAAGTCGAAAGAGCTCTTCCCTACCAAGTCGACCAACAGAGGCGGGCAGTTGGACCAGCTCGAAAAGGCCATTGGCTCAGCACGGTTGAAAGAGGAGGACATGCCCAAGATTGTGGCTAGGCCAGACGCACCGGCCGGCGAGATGTTGAATATTCGAGGCGTCGCGAATCAACGCGCTCAGGGCAAAGACGGCGGCTTCTCTATTAAGGGAGCTGCCGCCAATGCCCGGGAGTTGTTCCCCGATAGGTTCGGTTCAGGCAATGCCGGTAAGGAGCTGCTTGACATGAATCGGACAAAACGGAGACAGAGGGCGGAGGACTTGTTTTCATGAAACTGAGCGCCGTGGGGTTTATGAAAGGATCGTGATCGAATAGGGGATTTTGGAGTCACGACAAGATTGAAATTTTGGAAGCACCGGCGGTGCTATACGTGGAAGAGGATGAAGAATATTCAACGGCGAAAAATCAAGTTCTCGGGACGGCCTTCTTGATGATACCATGGGCGTTGGGGGGTCGAGCGCACACATATATTTTCCCTTTTGATATAGGGCTCATACAAGACCTGCCACCATATATTGCTCTAACCAATTCTACTCTATTCGAATCTCGTTATACAATCTATCTTCTCTTCTTTGTCTCTACCTTTTCAGCAAAAAAGGGAATCGGGATTATCCTCCTCCTCCTCCTACTCCTCCTCTTCCTCCTCCCCCCTTTTGCCCATCCCTTCTCACCACCACTTCTCCGTCAAGACACGCCTCGGATCGACAAATTTCGCCAACCTCTCAACAAGCTCATCCGTCATCACCCTCGGTCCACAAACATACACCACCGTCCCTGGATCCCGCCCATCCCCAACAGCCTCCGCCACATCTGCACTCGTAATCCGCCTCCTCTGCACCTCCACCCTCGTCCCATTCATGTCTCTCATCGCCCCAGCAGAATCCGTACCAATACCCCTCGCCGCCCCTTGTAAAGAAGAAGAAGAAGGAGAAGCCGCAAGAGATTCAGCAGCAGCAGCAGCAGCAGCAGTCCCCGTCACAAACAGCTTCACTCTTCCTTTCACTTTCCCCTCGCCAAAGAAGCGCGTGATCCTATCCAGGAAGAGAATATCAGAGAAGTTCCCGCTCCGAGGGACTTTGCTCGCATAGAGAAAAACCACGTCGTCAACGAAGGGCGTCGTTTGCTCGTTGTCGGCGATGTAGCTCAACATGCTGACGAGGGGATTCACGCCCACGCCACCAGCTACAAAAACAACCCTTTTCAGCCCCTTACCAACATCATCATCATCATCGTCGTCGTCGTCGTCACCGCCAGTAACAGCACCAGCAACAACGTCAGAAGCATCATTTTTCTTGGCCAAGGGAGCAAGGGGAGGAAACACAAATCGTCCCCCAACGCGAACCCTCAGCCTCTCCCCCAAAATCTCTCCGACAGGCCGCCACAGCCACGCCGCGGGCTCATTCTCAGGCGATTCCTGCACCGCGAGCTCGAAATACGGCGACTCGGAAGAAGAGGAAGAAGAAGAAGAAGGGGCAGATGTTATGGTGAAGCCGCCTGCTTTCGGGACGCCGGGGATGTACGTATCCAGCCACTGGCCAGGCAAAAACTGGTACATTCAAACGATTCGAGGGTCAACGATCCGGACATTGGCGCAGCATCCACTGGGGAAAAAAAAAAAAAAAAACAAGGGAGAAGATGGAATATTGTAGTTCGTATGACTGGAATAGTGAGTGAGTGAATGATGATGTGACGGGCTTACCTTTACCGGCCCCGACAGAAGACGCAGTCGAAACAGTCTCACCCTCTCATTGACCTGCTCAATCCTCTCCAATTGCACTTCATGAAGATCCTAAACCCGCCCAATCCCATACATTTATTAACATCAACGCGACGACACTACAAACAGAAAAAACAACAGACAGCAAATGCAAGAAAAGAGGGCAAAGAGAAAAGAAACATACCGCATCTCTGGGTTCATCCGCCGTCCTCTCAAGATGGCCCTCCCTCCTCGCGACTTTCTTCCCGTCCTCACTCGAAGTCATCGCCCTCGATCCGTATAATCGGCGCTTTGATGACGCTCTTTCGCTGAATGACGAGATCAATGCCGCTGTGCCGCGCCGTGATGTCGTAAAATAGAAGCGTTTTGCTGATTGTCGGCAGAGCATGAATACTCGATTTCTGATTGGGGGAGGCGTCTTTGGTTTGTTTCGTTGGCATGCGTAATAGATTGATGTATGATGTTGATGCGTATAGGCAGAACCTCGAGCTGCACCCTCTGTTTGCCTCATTGGTGCTGACATGAGCCTCAAAGTCGCTAGCCCAAAGCCTCCATACAAGCAAGTACCTACTTAGGCTACTGGTAGCAGGCTGTTGAGCAAATAACGAGATTGATACGACTACTAGGTAGTATATGAAAATTGCTTGTAATTGGAATTGTTGTATGTCTCAGATTGTACACTTTAACAGAGTAGACCAACTCTCATTGATGCCTCTACAATAATAACGTCCTCCAACCCGTCGTCACACGTGCTCCAGATCGTCCTGCAATTATACTCCCTGCGATCTTTTCGACATCGACAGCCTCCACCAGTAACCTTTCCTATTTGTATTCCATTATAACTCTCGATAACCAGTAACATAGCCCGCTTGCTGCAAAGAAACCATCTATTTACGACTGCTCCGACCAGTTGACCTGGTCCACCACTTGCCCTCTGGCAGGGTGAGTATAGGTGATGCGTAGTCGCAATCGCAGAGGCTGTCAACACCCATCAGTAAACGTTATCCAAGGAGAGAGAAATGATGTACACATGGAGAACTTACCCCTTTGCAACCAGCTACTCTCATCATCTGAGTAGTCTCTGCCCCAGGTCCCAGCTCTGGGGATGAAATGGGCAGCAGCTGCAGCTTCTGAGACTTAGGAACGGCAGCTTGCAGTCCAACTCCAGACAAGTGTGTCGACGCGGAAGTGTTTTGGAATCGCGCCACGGCCTGGATCAGCCCCTCCGCATTGCGCTGAACTGTAAACGTCACGTTGAGATCGTTGGCATTGTAGCAGGGAATCGCCTGGCCTTGGGCTGCTGGTGGGGGTTGTTGCTGCTGAGGTGGCGGAGATGCCATTGGAGACATGATGTCGAGGCCTGCCGACGGAGCTGCCGATGCGGGCGTGCTTTGGGTCGTCGGCCCTGGGCCAAAGAGGTCCATGATAGACGAGATGTTAGACTGCTGCGGTCCAGGTGAGGCAGACGTTGGTGTTGCCGATGATCCGCCTCCCAGAATGTCGGCCAGCAGATCCGAGTTTGTCGCCTGCGATCCGTTCGCGGGCACAGCCACGGTGGCCGGTGAATCCATGATGTCCAAAAGGTCCTGCTCGGTAGGCTTGATGATTTTGGATTTTCGGTTCGCGCTCTTGGCCTTCTTTGAGGGAGCCCGGCCCAGCACTCTGGACTCCTCCTTGATCTGGGGCGGCGGCATCTTCTCCAGCACTCCTCGGCGGACCTGGTCAAATGCAAACAGGTTGCCGTACTCGACCGCTCGCTGCTGCACCTCCACATCCAGGCTGGTCTGGTGCGTCTGCAGGATGCGCCGTATCTTTTCTATCTGAGCAGCATCGGAGAAGCGCGTGCTGAGCTTCATGAGGGCTGTGATGATGTACTCTGTGGTGACCTGCGTGGCATAGCTGCTGTTGAGAATGAGGGAGAACAGGTCGACCACGTCGCTCTCCTTGACCTCCTGGACAAGCTCTTCCTCCTCGTACTGCCCGCCCTTGAGCAGCGCGTCACCGTACTCACCGATGCACCAGGCACCAGCCTGCGTCAGGCTTTCCTGCGTGATATCTTTCTTGAGGTTGGTATACAGCTTCTGCACGGCATATGTCTGCAGCTCCGGCGTCGTGGCGATGAGGCGGACGAATGACGAGAGGATCTGCTCCTTGACGTAGTTGCCCGCCAGCGACAAGACGCGCAGCATCGTGTCAAAGTGCCAGCGCTTGTTCGGGGCATATTTGTCGGCGGCGATTCCAATCTGGCTGGTCATGGTGGGCTTGAACTCATTGTCTGCAACTTCCAAAAAGGCCAACAGCTCTCTGATGAGCACCCGCACGTTGGTCTCATTGATGAGCGTAAAGCTCAGGTCGAGAGCCCTCCTCCGGATGCTGATGTCGGGATCCCTGAGACACTCCAGGATGGTGTTCCGGTGCCTCTGGACTGCATTCGGCTCGATAGCGACCACCTTGATGAGTGTGTTGAGCGCAACGTAGCGGACGTTGTTGTCTCGGTTGGTGAGGAATTTGCCCAGGATATTCACACCCAAAACTCTCAGCCCAGAGTCAGCCTCGATGTCCAGAATCGTAAGCACGGCTTCGTAAAGGATCGAGTTTCCAACGTTCTTGGAAGAGTCGGTATTGGTCGCCACCTGCGCCAGGATATCGTTAATCTGCTCGCTCGTGTGGGCGTCGCCAACAGCCAGGACCCTCAGCAACCGCAAAAGCTTGACCTGCAAAAAGGGGTCGGTGATGCCAGTGACGTCGTGCTCCGGGGCATACCCCGAGGTCGATAGGCCCTTGAGCGTCTTGACGAGCCCGGGGACAAACGCCCTGAACTTCTCAACCATGCCCTCCTCGCCGCCTTCCTCCTCGTCCGCCTCGCACAGGCTCGTAACCAGGGTCAGGCCGCAAAGGAGGACGCCGTGGTTTCGATCGGAGAGAAGTGCCGTGGCTTTTTCGACAAAGTGCTCCTGAAGGTCGGGAACCTTGCGACATATCCGCATGGCGCAAAGGGCGGCCTTCCTCCTGATGTAGGGATTCGCGGTCGAGATCAGGTTTTCGATTTCCGGGAACAAGTCTCTCGACATTTCATCGGACGCAATGTTTCCGAGGGTGCAAAGGGCGAGTCCGACGACATATTGGTTCGAGTGGCTCAGATCGCTAGACAACCGTGGTTAGACAACCCGTCTGCTGCCAACACCGAAACGGCAATGGAGGCATGTAAGGGGCGAGAGAGGGGGGGGGGTTGGCTCACTTCTTCAACGAGTTGGTCACCAGCGTCAGGACCTCCTGCTTCTCGTCCAGCAGCAAGCTCGTAGCGAGATGGCCAAGGCGCTTGTCGGCAAATCGTGGGGATGCAAGGAGCTTCAGGCATTCGACCTGGCCAAAGTGGGTTCGCTCGCCCAGGGTGAAGAGGTAGAGCAGCTTCGCGACATTGTTACGCCTGTTCCCCGTCCGCCTAATGAGCACTTCTGTCCATTGTTCGCTTGCGCGAGACGCAGACTCGACAAGAAAACCCACCGTATGCTATGGTCGTGGCCCTCCTCGCGGAAGCTGGCTCTGATCGCGGCGCTCTCTTTCTGGATGACGGCTCGTTCGTCGGCAATCGTCTTGGCCGCGCGCACGTTGCGGATGAATTGCTTCACTGTGGACGCGGACGCAGATCAGCCATCGGGGACCTCACAGGCTAGCACGGGGGAAGAGGCAAGGCTGCATACAGGAACTCATCTTCAAGACACGGTCCTCTCACGGGCTGTTATCCAAAGGAGCCGCAGGCGGTGGACGGCGGGAAGCGGTGGTGAGCCGGCCAGCAGGTGGCACTTGTAGAGCGCAGTGGACAGCAATGCCCCGGCTCTCAGGCTCGCATATACAGGCACGGAGAGGCTTCGAAGGGGCCCTTTAGTGCTGACGCCCGGCAAGAACAGCGAGGATTGCAGACAGCCTCGACGTTGGTGCTGGAGAGGTTTGCTCGTGTGGTAACTGCAGGAGTCGCAATGCCACCAGCTCCCTATCCGAGTCGTCGCTCACGCTGCTAACCTGCAAGTACAGTACCTGAGCCAGCTCGGACGTGGGGCAGGACACGCTGCATCATGGCCAGCCTGCACGCCGTGGCGGGCGGAAAAAGCAATGGCCCGACACGGCGTCGCGGTACCCCGGCGCTATCGGTACCTGGACGTGGGCGGCGCCACGCTTGCTGTGCTCGAGTCTGGCGCCGGGGCGAGGTACTTTGCGTTTTGCAGTACCTGGCCTCTGTAGCTGCAATGCACCTATCGAGGCGTGCTGCCTTATGGAGCGTATCTCTACGACCATGAGGTACTCTTTTGATATAAGGTCTCTTGGTATTTCGAAGTGGCAGGCCAGGAGCGTTGAACTCTTTGATGATGCCTTAGATATTGTTGGAAAAAGGTTAAAGTAATGGTGACTTGTGTGTCTGGTGAGAATCAACAACGTACCTGCCTTGGTGAAGGACTGTCGAGCCTAGGTACGACATTTCAGACGTGATACGTGTGAAGACGGCGATACTGCCAGGCCTGGTTACACACTTCAGCGACTTGACACGAGGCATTCAGTCTCATGACTAGAGTCGTATCACTAGCTGGCTTTATCAGGCTGCCATCATTCTACTCGTACTTAAAGATTCCACGCAGACATGCCTCAAAAGCATCTGACTGATGCTTCAACGGAATGCTTCAAACGGTCTAGGGTATCTACCTAGCACCTCGACTGCTGCCACAAAGACAAAAAAAACATCACCACTCTAAACATGCCGTGAACGAGAACCGCTCGTAGATTTGACAGTAGTATAAGGAACAAAAGTCGACTAAGTGAATTTTAAACAACATTTCTGTGCGTGCCAACAACCTGAACTCGCCGTACGGGTCAGCCACCATCCATGGCCCCTGATGAGGCCGGATAGATGGCGTAGCCGCAAAAAAACTCCAGACGTGACCCCTTATTTCTGCATCATGAGCTGGACAAACTCGTTGTCTACGCAAATACGTTAGCTCTTTTGAACGCACAAGGGTGATGAGAGACGTGATGCGTCTCTTCTCGTCAAAAACTCACAGTCGATTCGGCCATCGCCGTCCTGGTCGGCCTCGCGGATCATCTCGTCGACCTCGTCGTCGGTCAGCTTCTCGCCGATGGAGGTCATGACGTGGCGCAGCTCAGCAGCAGAGATGAAGCCGTTGTTGTCGCGGTCAAAGACCTAGTGGCTCCATTAGCAAAACATGCCACAAACGCAAGGGGGAAAAAAGACGCAGGCTATTATAGCCACAAACCTTGAATGCCTCCCGGATCTCCTCCTCGGAATCGGTGTCCTTCATTTTTCGTGCCATCATGGTGAGAAATTCTTCACCGCTCCACGTCAGCCCGTATACCTCAACCACCAAATCTCCCAACAATTCACATACCAGGGAAGTCGATGGAGCCGTTGTTGTCGGCGTCAACCTCGTTGATCATGTCCTGCAGCTCCGACTCGGAAGGGTTCTGGCCGAGAGAGCGCATCACGGTGCCCAACTCCTTGGTGGTGATCTGGCCTACGAGGTCAAGCCTGTCAGTTTCTTGTCCATGTATCATGATTCGAGTCGACGATAGAGTGATCGATCGGCACAAAGTGCTTCGGTGCGGCTTCGTCGAGAGGGCAATAGGTGTGTTGTCGCGTCACTCGCCATCACGTACCATCGCCGTCCTTGTCCTGTAGAGCAGCTCGGTCAGCACCCTGAAAACAACCCCCCTACCGGGTTGCCGCAGTAAAGGACGTTCAAAAAACTCACAAAGAGGGAGAAGGCCTCCTTGAACTCAGAGACCTGCTCTTCGGTAAGAGAATCAGCCTGTTCGAGGGCTCGCGGTCAGTCACACAAAAGCTCCTGAAATTGGGGGGTAGCCCCTCAGCGGTCGCGGGGTTGCGCCTCTTGAGACAGTCGACCGACAGCGGCGGTCCTGCGCAATACTGACCATTGTGAAGAGTGCGAATAGCGGTTATAGAGAGCGAAGAGAGAGAGAGAGCGTGATGTCTAGAGGCCGGAGAGGTTCAAAGGCTCGACTTTAAATGAGATGGGCAGCGTTAGTGGCGGCTTTTAGCGAAAGCGGGAGCTTTTGGTTACCTGGGCGTGTCGTTGACGTGGGGAGAGGACGAAGCAGGAATAAGACAAGAGGTGCGCTGCAAGTCAGGGGGCCTGTAAGGCAGAATCGGCATAGGGGACTTGCAGGTTTACAGTACACGTGCAGTGACACTGTACAGTCCGTACGATGCCAGTCCCAGCCCGTGGTCAGGCACAGACCCGTTGCCAGGAGTGGCCGGACTGGCCATCCATGGATATTAGCCGTTCGGCTAGCAAGGCCCCCTTTGGCAGCGAAAGAGCACATGTAGTATCTGAGGTAGGACTCGTATCCTCCGTAGCACCAAGTGCAGCGCCGTGCCGTGGGCGGGTTTTGTTCAATTGGGGGAGGATTTGCAGGGTGGCACTTTGCGCACTGTACGGACAATTGGGCGTCGTTACTGCTGGGTGCCAGCCAGCTGAAGGGGGTCATGATGCGATGGCTCACAGGCACACAGCTGCATCTCATTCGATGGTGCGCGTACCACTGAAGAGATAATACTACTATGTACCTGCAATTGCACCCCGCGTCAATTACTGCCTGAGATACAGCCAACCAACTATTGCTTGCCTTTTTACCTACTAACCTGTTCGCTCATCAGTGTGACGATATCGCAAACCGACGAGACAAAGTGTCCAAAGCTGCGGCGGCTCTTGACACGTGTAAACACCCTGTGAAGCTGCCCCTTGATAGGCCAGAGCTGGCCAGCCCACCGCCTGGAACCGCCCGCTTCAGGCTAGCGCCGGGTCTGCAACAGCCCGCTGCTCAACGCCGAACATGTCGTAATGCGCCCATCCAGCTTCACATCCAATCTCAGCAGATGCTGATGATGCCCCGTCACCACATGAGTCCCCAAACTCCACCTCCATAACAGATCCAATACAAATACAAAACTTCCAACCAAGTCCCTCCGTCCACCGTCTGCCCTGTATCCCGTCCTGACAGGCCGCAAGACCTTCCCCCAAGCGTCCGCCATGTGGCGCGACCGCACAAACCTGTACGTCTTGCTCCCCCCCCATGCGAACGCCCTCACTTTGCTTCCCGCCTTCTTGAAAGAGTGCATCCGTCACATCCTACCTGGAGCCAAACATTAAGACATCCCGCAGCTACATCTCCTACCGCCAGTCGTACGCCCACCACCCCAGCCAGCGATCCAAATATGCCGCCACCTCCGGCTTCTCAGATGCCTACTCCAGCAGCAGCGGCTTTGCCCTCGACTCGGACCGCCGCGGGCTGCTCTCGAGCGGCGCATTCGAGGACGATGGCGACGCCGTGATCGAGATGGACCTGCTGCCCCCGCGCTGGACCGACGTCTCGGACGAAATCACCGAGCTCCTCGCCGAGATCGCCATCAAGAGCCAGCGGCTCGACAAGCTGCACCAGGCGCACGTCCTGCCCGGCTTCGACGACGACGAGGCCAAGAAGAACGAGGAGGTCCAGATCGAGCGCCTCACGCAGGACATCACAAGGGGCTTCCACCAGTGCCACCAGCGCATCCAAAAGGTCGAGCACATGGTCCGCGAGTCGAAGCAGTCCGGCACCATGACGCGGGCGGAGGAGACCATGGCCAAGAACATTCAGATATCGCTCGCCACACGGGTCCAGGAGGCCAGCGCAAACTTTCGCAAGAAGCAGAGCGCATACCTCAAGAGTATGTCTCGAACCACATAATACTATTAGAAACCGCCGATATAAAGGCAACGACAACTGACATGAAGGTGCACATTAGAACTCCGCGGAATGGGCGGCCTCGGCACCATCAGCCCCATCGACCGACCGACGTCTCCCATGCCCGGCTCCTCCTTCATGGACCCGTCCCTCCAAGAATCCGATGCCGACCGCTCCTTTTCCCAGTCCACCCTGCAGGTCGCCATGCAGCAGAAGACGCTACATTCAAACGACGCCGCCATCGCCCAGCGCGAGCGCGAGATCGAGGAGATTGCGCAGGGCATCATCGAGCTGTCCGATCTCTTCCGCGACCTGCAGACCATGATCATCGACCAGGGCACCATGCTCGATCGCATCGACTACAACGTGGAGCGCATGAACACCGAGGTCAAGGCTGCCGATAAGGAGCTCAAGATCGCCTCGGGGTATCAGAAGAGGAGTATCAAGAGGAAGATTATTCTCTTGCTGTTGCTGCTGGTTGCGGGCTTATTCATTCTCCTTCTTGTCAAGCCGAAAAAGAATAGGGACTGAGTAGCTTGGATGGCTTGAATGAGGATGAGAGGGAAGAAGAAGTAAAATGCCATGGTAAGAAAAAGGGTGAAAGTAGACGGACAGAAGTCCTCACAACTGTGGTTAGGCGTGGCGTTTTGACAAGCGGTTGGTGGTCATACTGCTTCACGACGTATGATCGTGCTATCAACAAGGGAGTGGACAATGCTTCCCAGGAACAATCAATAATGCACCTGGAGTTATCGGTTTTGATTAGATTTAATTACAAGTTTCAGTGTAGATATTGTACAAAGGGCCCCATCTGCGTGTGCCCAGAAATAGACCTTTTTTTTTATCCAAGTGTGATTCGTTGCCTGTCTTGTCCCTCGCCTTGCGTGACGGTCTTATCAAGAGTCCTGTCGATTAGCCTCGGATATCGAGTCCATAGCTTTGATACCCGTTGGTCGACTTCTCGAATTGCTGCCGACACGTCGGGAAACATTCCTGAGCCCCATGCCTCCTCGGCCAGGCGCACCAGATGCTCTACAGAAAACTCAACGCTGTCTCTCGATCGATGTCTAGGCCGCCCAGGGACCAGTGAGGTGGCGATGCGGAGGATGATGCTGGAGCGGACCACCTGTGTATCAATCAGGGCCCCTTGATCTCGCAGCGCGGCCAATAGACGGACCCCACGGGCGACATCAAACTGCGAAAAGCCTGCCGTCGGGGGTCGCGTAAGAGACATTGACGGTCGGGGCTTGGTCGCCAGAGTTTGGTCGAATCCCCATCTCACAATGGAGCGCTGCAGAGAAGTATCAAAGATCAGCCGAATAGGATGGTGGTGGTGCGTAAATGGCAAGTCTGCCGGTATATATTCCTTCTCCTCCGTGTTGAAGTGCTTTGGCAAGTCTTCCCGGTGCACAGGCACCAACCCTCCGTAAGGGGGGGTATACAACTGCATGATCTTCAAGCTCAGCTGCTCGAGCTCATCAAGCCGTCCGGAGCGGCCGAGATTATTGAGAAGCATTGTCCAGTACCTCGTAGGAATGGCGACATCATGGCAAGAGACGCGGCGAGTGACACTGAGCGCTCGATCCAGCATACGCTTATCGACATCGCTGTGCGTGCGGTCTGGATGTAAGGGTCGTGATCGGTGAGGGGGATGAATATCGAGCTTCCAAAATGCACGCCTGAGGAGGCCTGTTGCACTGGCTTGGGCCATGCTGATCTTGAGAGCTTCCATGCGGTCAAGCACTTGTTTAGCTTTCGTGAAGCTCCCATTGGAGACCTCGTTCCGCAGGAGGGAGTTGAGGCGTCGAGATGTCGGTCCAGTTTCAATTGCCCATTCGATACCCTGAAGTAGCCGCTCCATCTTCCAGTCTCCCGTCCTCGCTGCCTCCGCCATGAGGGAGTGCCGGGTATCCATGTCTTCGAATTCATCAGGGTGAATGTCGCAATTGATGAGGTCGTGCAACAACTCCTCTGACCCATTTCTCGCGAATGAAACCAGAATCTTGCAATACGAGTGAGGTGAAATTCTCATGCCGAGCCTCTCGATCTGATCAATACGCGACGAAACTTCTTTGGCATCCGTGTCCCGCAGCGCGAGGGCTTGCAGAGACCGAGGGCCAATTGTTCGCACCCCGAGCTTATAGATGAGATTGATGGCAAATTCCACGGATGCCCACGTACTGGCAAGCCATCTCGCAACAAGTGCGTCGCTGTGGGAGCCCCTTGTATCGACCCTCTTGCTAACAACCTCGAAAGAAGACTCTTCGTCAGCCTCAGCTAGTTCTTGGCGGTCGAGATCAGCGACCGTAAGCTCGCTCTCCGTGAGCTGGATTTCCGGATAGTAGCTGGCAAGGAACAGTAGGAAAGGTCGACAATTCGATGTCAACGGAAAGTCCTTGAATACGATGAGTTTCTTGCGCCAGGTACGGGCCAGTTTCGATTGCCCAGAGGCGAAGAGAGCCGGTATGACGTGGTCGTATTGTTGGCGGTTGGCGCTGGATACATAAAGCGTCGTCAAGGTGCTTTGCATTTCAGGCGTAGGCTTGATGACAAAGGTTGCTAGTAAAGCGCCAAATTCATCGGCTCCGGTTGGGAAGATGGGAGCCAGCTTGCGATCCCAGCGGATTGCCTCTTCATAGGCACCACGCTCGAGGAAAAAGCGTAGCACTCGCGTGTAGAATCCGGGCCATTGAAAATCGTTCTCGGCGAGCAGCTGCTGGGCCGCCGCGAAGAGTGTAGACAGTCGCGATTCCGAGCCCAACGCAGCAGACAGGATTTTGCCACGCAGAGATTCCGCATCGCGAAAGATAATCATGTCGTGCTTCTCCCGGTGCCAAAGAGCTTGGAAGACAGCCCAGACGCCATCGGACCCATGCTTCTTGGAGAGAATGTCACATACGGCCTCCCACGTGGCGGCATCGTAGGGTTGAATCTCAGCTTCGGCGTCTTCGAGGTTCTTGCTGATTCTTGTAGCGAGGGCTTCGTCCGATGTGACGAGTCCTGGAGATGCATCGTGTCGCTGCCGCGTCTGCCCTAGTCCCCCGTAATTCCTCCATCCTGATGGCTGCGGCGAGGAAGTCGGGTTCTCAGCAGAAATCGCCCGCCATTGCTGCCAACCAGGGCTTCCAGGAGCGACTCTAGAAGGGGCTCTAGAAGGTCGATATAGACTTGGAGTAGTAGATGGGCGAGCTAGGGCAGAGAAGTGCTGGGAATGTTGCTGGAGCCCGGTATGCACCGCCTGCGAGAGCTCGGGGAGTAATCGAATCGATGCCGGGCGATCTGGTGCAAACTTCACGGCTCCTCGCATTCCTGGGGTTGTCTCCAGCCAGCCGGCGACCTCTGAGGCATATCACCACATTGGGCCGTTCGTCTTTGCGGTGCTGCTGGTCCTCGTTCGAGCGTCAAGGCGCCCTGAAGCTGGAGAACAATAGATATGAGTCGTGCCGCAACAGCAAATTTGGAGAGATGGCGAGGCTTCGCTTTTTACTAGGTAGGTAGACGGCGATAATCACAGAAACGCATGTAATTGGCGGTTCCTGGTCGCGGCAGCTGCACCCCACTATCGACTGGTACGTACCTACCTACTCGCACTACCTTCAATCCTTCTTCCTGCGCCGCGGCAGAGCTGCTCTTTCCGTCAGCAGTTTGTGCGCCGTGCCGACTGCTGAGTCATCCAGCTACCCACTTTGAGCTAGAATATGGCCTCATTTCTTGAACCAAGGCTCTTCTCCCGACATCCCGACTACAAGAATCACTCCACCACGAAGCAATCCTCCAGACCAAGTCCCGAACGCATCTTCAACCAACCGCAAACATGGGGTAAGCTCCCATCGACCAGCGACGCCATGCGGAAGCCCTCAATGGCTGCCCGGCTGCGACCGGCTCCGGCAGAGTCTTCCCTATGCGCCTATCGACGACACAGCTTGGAGAACCTCAACTGACGCCCTGTCATAGCCTGATCGACGCCAAGAACAAGGTGCCTGAGTACCAGCGCTTCTACCAGGCCGCCTACAAGGCTCACACCCGTCTGTGGAAGATTGTACGCACGAGCTCGTCCCGATCGCGAAACTCGACCCCGTTACTAACACAAGCCGACAGCACCCTCGAAGCCGCTGGTACATGGGCCCCTACCTCGTCGCTCTCTGGGGAGGTTTCGGAGGTAAGTTGATTGGTATAACAGTAGCTATGGAACCAGAGAGCTAAGAAGTCGTAGCTTCCATCTACGCTGCCAGCCGAAAGGTCGCCGGCCACAACACCTGGTTCGGCAAGGATTAAAGCATCATTATTTGATTGGGACAGGCGGGTCAAGATCATTGCGACTTGCACTGAATCGAGGTTCAGGGAAATGTATGTCTTATAGACAGTAAATATAGGATTTTCAAGTCCGCCTCTCGCCACCACCCCATGACTTTGATATCGCGATGCTTCTGGTCGCGCTCGTCTAGCTCTTGGTTATCAATCCTTTTTCTCCTCTTGAATTATGCTTAGCCATGATTCATCGTACCACCCCGGTATTTGCGTGGTAAAAAAAAGTTGCAAATCAAAATGTACCGCAAGACAGAAATCCCGCCCTTCCTTGCCCCCCCCTGAATCCAGGCAACGCAATGCCACAAAGATGGTTTTGTCAACCCATGTTATCCAACATTAGTAGCCAGTTGCGCCAGGAGCCTTCTCGTCTTTGCGCAGGCTCACGAGCAGCTCACGGAAGCGCTCCTTGCCAGATCCGGCGGCTCCGCCCTTGGCCCCCTTTCCGCTGACGTCGACCAGCTTCGCGATGCGGTCCCAGCTGGTGCCACCAGAAACGGTATCCTCCCTGCTCGCGAGGAACTCCTCGGCTTCCTTGCGTGTCTGCGCAATGCCCTTTTCTTTCTTGGAGTTGTAGTTCTCGTAGAAGTCGTCAATGTTTCGCTGAGCCTCCTGTATCGTCTCCTCTCGCTGAGCGGCAAACTGCTCAGCTCTCTTGGCAATCTGGGCGTCGCGGGCCTCTCTCCACTGCTTGATGACTTCCGGCTCCTCCTCGTCGGCGGCATATGTCTGATAACCCGAGTTGTAGCTTACAGACGGGCCGGTCATGATGTTTCCATCTACTCCTGCGAGGCCCTGGTTTCCGAGATTGTCAGCGCTCCGCAGTTGATTGTTTTTGCGATGTCCAACGTAGACCTACAGCAGCAGGATTGGCGAGGTCGGGGAACTGAGACTCAAAGGTCGATTCCGCAGCAGTGCTCTCTCCAAGGAGATCTCCACTGGTGTCGGCCAGTGCGGTTGCGTCATCGCTCGTCGCGAATTGGTTCGCATCATCGCCCAGCAGAGCCTTTTCTCTGGCGAGGAAGTCTTCGGCGGAGGGCTCGTCGGAAACGTTCTGGATTTCGGTTTGCGCTGACAAGCAGTGGTTAGCATGGGGCATGGTCCCTGGCTCGGCGTGGATTCAGGAGCTTACCTCCGGAATCAAAGTCCTCGAGCGAAGGAAATCGGTCTGCCATGTTGAAGACTCTTTAAGGACGACGAGAAGCGTGTGTGAATGCGAATTTGATGCGGGAGCAGAGCGCTGACGAGAATGGCCAAAGGAGTGTGAGATTCGTGGTTGATCGTGTCAGTATTCGCTTGCGCAACAAGGCACTCGCTAGCAGTGACCATCTGTTCGCTGCTCCCAGTTGTCCCTGGTTACTGCTGCGGCATTCTGCCGGGCGGTGAGTGGCCTGAGACGTAGCTCTGCGCCCGCAATATTGCATAAAGCCGTACACGCACGCTGGAACTTGCACTTATCCAGACATTCGACGGACCTCTCTCCCAACTTCCACTCAGCTCTTTCATTCAAGCTTCCTTTGAATTCCTTGGCCGGTATTCTTTTGCCTCCAGATTCTTCAGTCTTATCCTCCTCTCCTCTGCAGTCAAACGCTGATTTTGCGCACAGCCCTTGGCCTGACTGAGAGCAGTCCGACCTGCGTCAATTGCAAGCTGACTAGCTGATCGCGAGGCTGCAGCTTGAGCTCCAAGACTCAAGACCAAGATCCAATTGCCTGCTGTAGACTTATCCCCATCGCGTCGCAGCGCCAAATCTGCTTCCATAAGGATCTTTGCCCGTAGAGTCAACTGGTAGACGGTTGTGTGTGCAAATACTACAGTCTGGGTCCAAGTTTCTGGTTGTCATAATGGCGTACAACGACGACTCTGTCCTGGCGCGTCTGTCGGCGCTGAATGAGAGCCATGACAGCATCGCGACAGCGGCGCAATGGATCATGTTTCACAGGTAATTACTTCGACTGGTTTCCACGTTGAAGGCGCTGGTTTGGAGGCGCAGACATACTAATCTCGACTACGCTCAGGCGACACGCAGATCGCACGGTAGCGCTCTGGATGCAGCGACTCAAGGATTCGTCCAGCACCAAACGATTGAGCCTCATCTATCTTGCGAATGGTATGCACTCCATCACCACCGCCACCGAAACACCGTTTCCCTTCCTTGTTACCACCATACCTAGCCCTGACGCAACGACTTGTGCTAATACGTTGTGTAAAGAGGTCGTGCAGCAGTCGAGAATCCGCCACAAAGAAGACTTTGTCATCGCCTTCTCTCCCGTCGTGGCTGAGGCAGCCGCCGTCGCATATAAGGGCGCGCCAGCTGAGATCCAAGCCAAGTTGCGGCGTGTCATCGATGTCTGGAAAGACAGAGCGATCTTTGAGGCCCCAATCCAGGCGGCTATCGAAGCACGCCTAAGTGGTCAGTCGTTGAGGGCTTCGCTTGGGGCTACTAGCAGATACTAACCATTGAGAACAGAGCTGGATAAGGCCCGCGGATCCGTCAAGCCCGGCTTTGGAGGTTCCCCGTTCGGATCATCTGCTTCTGTGCCTTCGGAATTCGCGCCTCTGGTCTCCGCCCATCAAACAGTCACGAAGCTCAGCGTGCCACTCAAGTCAACCATTGCTTCCGCAAACCAAGAGTATGAAAAGCAAGTTGACCCTACGGTAGCACCTCCCTCTGCGCCAGTCTATGCAGCTCGCCTCAATGGGCTGCTAAAGACCCTGGCGAACGCCGAGAGTGCGGTGGCTGAGTGCGTCAAGGCCCGTGAGACGTTAATTTCAGGCCTAGAGAAGATGCTAGACGCGCACAGGGCGGCACTGGAGAATGAGAAGAATGCAGCCGCCGAGCTCTCGGGGCGCAAACGCGAAATCGAGGATAAGAAGCAGCAGGTCGAGGTGGCTATCATGAGGGCGCTTGGGCCTGCGGATGGCAATGGGTCTCATGCGGAAGGCGAATCCGGTAGCCCTCCTACGGAGCTTGACCGGCCAGAGATGGAGGCTCTTACACCGCCCGGTATGGACAACGACTATGAGGATACTGCGGCGGGGAGCATCGGTGTTGATGAGGGCGCCAAACGCTCGGAAGACGCTCCAACCCCTGAACCTGCCCCTGCCGTGCCATCGACGCACACTCAGTCCCTACCGATATCAATCAACGGGTCCAATAAGAGGCGACGAGTAGACGATGCGGGCGACTTTCCGGACCTGGGCAACGATGACGAGATAGATGCCGAGGTGGCGCAGATGTTGAAAGAGGGTGAGGGCGCCTAATGTGGTGGATGATGCAGCTCGAGACGAGACGTTGGGTAAGGGCCCTGCATGCGCCCCTTGGGCGGGAGGGCCTGCTGTGGAAGGGAAGCGTTCCTGGTCTTTGAGGGTATTGACTTGGTTATCTCTGCTACATTCTTTGAGGGTTCTCTTGAACATGGGTAGGATGAGATTGGTACAGCCGTCTACTGGCATGAGATCTTGTACGTGGTTCCATATGTCCTATGACCCAATATGCCGTGTCTGAAGTCATCCCTTGTGAAAGCATCGGGAAGAGCATGTGATTGAAGACGTAGATGCATCAACTACTAGGTATGATCCACATATAGGGCAAATGGAGGTTCCAACTCGATGCCTACCTAGCTAGGTATTGATGCACTCCCACGGTCGAAACATTGTCAATTCATACCCACCATTTCCCTCCCTCTCCTCCTATAGCTACATACAACTAGGTAGTAGGTTGTAGGCCTGGCAATGTCGGGCCTCGGAGCTTGCAGCTCGGCCTGACGCCCGCACGGAGTCCGGAGCGCAATCGAGCCCCTGCTGAGCCGACCTTCGGCCGAGCGACGCCCACCAAAAAGAGTGCCCAAAATGGGGCGCTCCAGAGCCGCCGCCTTGCGCATTCCAGCGCCAGCTTGCAGCGCCTTCAGCTGTAAATGCCGCGACTATGACGGCACGAACCTCCTAGCCCGGCTGCGTGAGCCTCGCGGGCACTTTTTTTTCTCCTCCTGCTTCTCTTTCTGTCTTGTTTCTCCAACACCTCTGCACCGACTCGCCGCCGCCAGCACCCCGAACATCGGCTTTTCCTCTCCGAACGGCTGTCAGCAACTCGATGCTGCACCGCTGGGCGTCCCCTCGGTAATCATGAATGCCGGGGCGCTGCGACGAGCGCTGCCTCCGAGGCGAGCAGTCGGAGGCTTGCAAGAATCTGCAGCCTGGAGTCGCGGCTCTCTGTCGCAACTCTCCCCGAAGGCCGAGTCTCGTCTGTGCCAGCCGCAATTGCTTCGTCCGCGCGCGCTTCCGTCGTTTACGCCTGCTGGATTCCATACACTCGCGGGGTCTCTGCGTCTATCTCCGTATCAATATCAAGCTTCTTCTTCTCAACCGCAATCGCATACCGGCTTCGGACTTCGATCGTCATCTGGCCATGGACATGTACTGCATCTAGCTCGCCAATTCTCCGGTACCTCTTCTGCTGCGCGAGAGGTTCAATCAAATACTCAGAATGCGAATCAACAAGCACTGGAGCCAGCCCGGCAAACAAAGGATACCAACGAGGATCATGGCAGCCAGGAATTTCAAAAGAGCGAAAGGGCTGCCCATGCGGCGCAAGTCAACCTCTCTGCTAGACTGTCCAAGGAGGGCAAGCCTCAAGCAAAGGCTGGCCTGAAGGAAATATGGAGGCTCATCTCGATCGCCAAACCGGAAGCTCGCTGGCTGGGCCTGGCCTTCTTCTTCCTCATGATTTCCTCGGGCGTCACCATGCTGATACCGTTTTCGGTTGGACGAATCCTCGACATCTCGACAAAGGGCGACATCGATAACGTGAACATCTTTGGCCTCACCCTCAATCAGTTCTTCATGGCTCTTGGGGGTGTTCTCACGCTTGGCGCCATGACCACCTTTGGACGAGTAATTCTGTTGCGCATCATTGGAGAGAGAGTCGTTGCCAGATTGCGGTCCCAGCTTTACAGGAGGACCTACGTTCAGGACGCCGAATTCTTCGACGCCAATCGAGTCGGCGACCTCATATCGCGACTCGGTTCCGACTCGGTCATTGTGGGCAAGTCCATTACTTCCAACCTGAGCGATGGGCTTCGAGCCATCTTCAGTGGTGGTGCCGGATTCGCCATCATGATCTGGACGAGTGCCAAGCTGACCGGCATCCTGTGTCTCATGTTCCCGCCCATTGCCATCGGAGCCTTCTTCTACGGACGAGCGATTCGAAATGTGAGCAGGTCGATCCAGAAGAATCTCGGTACCTTGACAAAGATTGCAGAAGAGCGACTTGGAAACATCAAGACGAGCCAGGCATTTGTCGGAGAAATCCAGGAGGTCAACCGGTACAACAAGCAGGTCCGCAAGATTTTTGCGCTGGGCAAAAAGGAATCATTGATCGCCGCAACATTCTTCGCCTCGACCGGCTGGGCGGGTAACATGACGATCCTGGCCATGTTGGTCGTCGGAGGCAATCTGGTACGATCCGGAGCCATGTCCCTAGGAGACTTGACCTCTTTCATGATGTACACTGCATTTGCGGGTTCTAGTCTGTTTGGCCTCTCGGGATTCTACTCGGAGCTCATGAAGGGCGTCGGTGCCGCAAGTCGCTTGTTTGAGCTGCAGGACCGGAAGCCTACCATTCACCAGACCGTCGGCATCCCCATCAAGTCCGCCCAGGGCACCATTCGATTCAACAATGTCCATTTTGCCTACCCGACCCGGCCTGCGGTCAAGATCTTCAATGGCCTGGACTTTGAAATTGCGTCTGGCAGCAACGTCTGCGTCGTCGGTCCGTCAGGAGGCGGCAAATCGACGGTTGCGTCCCTGCTTCTGCGATTTTACAACCCTACCTCTGGGTCCATCACCATCAACGGAATCGACATCTCCACAGTGAACGTCAAGTCGCTGAGACGGCGCATTGGCGTTGTCTCCCAAGAGCCCGTGCTGTTCTCGGGAACCATTGCTGAGAACATTGCCTATGGCAAACCGCATGCCAGCCGCGCGGAAATAATCTCAGCGGCCAGGAGGGCAAACTGCACCTTTATCAGCGATCTGCCAGATGGCCTGGAGACCCAGGTCGGGGCCCGAGGGTCTCAGCTGTCCGGAGGTCAGAAGCAGCGCATCGCCATTGCCAGGGCGCTGCTCAAGGATCCTGATATCCTGATCCTCGACGAGGCTACTTCGGCCCTGGATGCAGAGTCGGAGACGCTGGTGAACGAGGCCCTCGCCGGGCTTCTCCGTGGGCACAACACCACCATCTCCATTGCGCATCGACTGTCTACTATCAAGAGGTCCGATCAGATCATTGTCCTGAACAAGGACGGACAGGTGGCGGAGATTGGCAGCTACGCCCAGCTTGCTGCCGACAAGGACAGTGCCTTTACTAAGCTGATGGAGTGGCAGATGAGTGGAGGCGAGATCCCGTCCGAGGCACGGCCGTCGAGGGAGTCTACTTCTCACATTACCGAGTATGAGGAGATTGAAGACGATCTCGCCAGGGACGACGACCAGGAGGGTTTTGTTGATGAAAGTGGAGAGGCCCTTAGGGAGTCCAAAGAGAAGGCAGCCTCGTCGCCTGCAGACAAACCAACGAGCCCTTGAGGTTGAGGGCCGTGTTATCTTGGGAAGACTACAAAGGAGCAACTACGTAACTGCTCCAATCAAGAAAAAAGAAAACAAGACTTATATATACGCAAGAGGGGGTCGATTGCTGGTTGATACAATTTTGTAAACTATCCGGGACGGGATCAGGGCGTGCGTGAGAGAAGCAAACCTACCTACCTATTGTTTTGTGTACATAGAGCTCAGATGCCCCTGATGGCGGCGTCACTAAAGTACTTGTAGTAATAACTCCGCTTGAACTTGTATTTGCAAGATTATCTCTTGAGGATTGCAGGTTGTGGGAGATGTTTGATTCCTTGAGGAGTATCATATCATAGGTATTTTGTATCTTGGGATTGCCCCTGTCGTACCGATGTGGATGATGGAACAACACTTTCAAGGTATACGCAAAATCTGTCAAATCTCTTGAGTTCCCTGCAATATATTCTCTCAAGACTGTGTGCCCTTTGCTGTCAGACTTCTCGTCGATGTCCACGTCCATAGATTGGTAGCTACCTACAATAAGCAGTTGAGTTTGCTCTGCCGAGGAACCCCGGGATCTACCCCAGCCGCGATACCACCCCTGAAAGGGCCCTGGAGGGCGCTAATTGGACACCTACTAGTAGCTGAACAGCTCAGCTTAGTACAAGTCGGGTCCAGTACTAGTAGTCGCTCACAGGGGTGACCTCCAGCGCGTCCCGGAGCCTAAAACATTCCCGTCAGGTTGAGGTGAGCTGAATCGGCTCCAGGCAACTTACAACCCGCCATTCACTCCATCTGCTTTGAATTGGTGAGAGACGACAAGAGCGTTCATCTAAGCCTTCATCGTCGTCATTCGGACTTGAGATCGCCATGTCGACCTCCGAAGAGGGCACCTTCAAAGTGGGCAATGCGAGCCTCTACACAAAGACCTGGACGGTTCGTCTCCCCTTTCATCGGGCAAAACCCCCCCATATTCTCACATGTGAACAACATGAACGCAACTAAAACCCCAGAACGTCACAGCCCACGGGCCCCATCGTAGCCAAGCTCATCTTCGTCCACGGCTTCAGCGAGCACATCAACCGCTACAACGCCTTCTTCTCGACACTCGCCGCGCACGGCATCCAGGTCTTCTCCTGGGACCAGCGCGGCTGGGGCCGCAGCGCGACTCGCCCCGCGGACAGGGGCCTCACCGGTCCAACGGCGCGGGTGGTGGCCGACGTCGCCGCCTTCATCCAGGACAAGCTGCAGCAGGCGTCGTCTTCCAAGTCGGACGCGACGCCCGTCTTCGTCATGGGCCACTCCATGGGCGGCGGCGAGGTGCTCACGCTGGCGGGCGATGCGCAGCACCGGCAGCTGGTGGCGCGGGTGCGCGGCTGGATCCTCGAGGCGCCCTTCATCGGCTTCTCCAAGGGCGAGGAGCCGAGCGTGGTCAAGGTCGTGCTGGGGCGGCTGGTGGGCAAGCTGCTGCCGCGACAGCAGCTCAAGCATGTTGTTCCGCCGGAGCACCTGAGCCGCGATCCCGAGGTTGTCGAGTCGATCCGCAACGACGAGCTGTGTCACAACACGGGCACGCTCGAGGGATTGGCGTCGCTGCTGGATCGCACCGCGGCGCTCTCGTCGGGGCGGGTCAAGCTGGGGAGTGACGTGCATTCTCTGCTCCTGACGCATGGCACCAACGACATGACGTGCAGCTATGACGCGGCCGTCAAGTTTGTCAAGGAGCAGGATGCGGTTGAGGATAAGGAGATCAAGTCGTATGAGGGCGCGTATCACCAGCTTCACGCGGACCACTGCAAGGATGAGTTTACAAAGGACGTGATTGACTGGATTCTGAAGCGGTCCAAGATTGAGTCGAAGCTATGAGGGATGAAGCACGAGGCTGTCATGAGAATCTACACACGGCGTTTTCTTGTCACTTTGTCTTTTGGAATGGTTGGCTCAATCAGCGGCCGTCTTGCATATAATACCTACATATAGTCTCGATAATTCACTCAACGCTATAGTATTAGTACCCTCAACAGCCTTGCTTCGCCTTTCTTCATGGTAAAGTCAGGCTACAAGCAATAGACTGGCCGATACTATACACACCTAGAGGTAGGCGTGGGTCGGGTGTGAACTCCCGCCGCAAACGGGGTGAAGCCGAAGATGGGGTTCCGAAGACGCCCGAACGATCGGAGATCCTGTGCCGAAATGCCAGATTCTGATCGAGATTCTCTTACTTAAGATCGGAATGGCTCCCGCTACTGTACAGCTTTTGACAGGTTATTTATAAGCCCAGCTGTTGTCTCCTGTGATTTTTGTGTCACGCCTGGCTTTGTGTCTGTTTGACGTCTTCTCGCTGATGATGGATGCCTCCAATGCTACGAGTGACGAGTACGATGAGCTCGGAGCACGCTTGGAGCTCCGGCTTAGTCATTCTTGAGACGTGCCTTTGCTGGGAGAATGGCTAATACCACGCGTCATGGCGGCCAATTGGGAGGGCAGGAGAGACCACGAAGGGCAGATCAGGCTTGGTAGGTATACGATATCAAGGCTTCCTGATTCCCAAGACTCAACATCTTCCCTCTTTCGTGTTCCATCATTCTCTGCACTTCATATCACCTGCTTCCTACGGAGAACCTAGGCCTCCAGAGGACTGCATTCACCCAGCCGATTCTTCATCCCATCGATTCAGCGAATCTCCGGCCTCAGAGCCCCCACGCCTCACCGATTCCGCACCTCGAGTCCCTGATCTGCGAGCTCTCCACAGCAGCCATCGGCCCGTGTCTCGAAAGTTTCCTTATCTCGACTGGACCTTGACTCTTCATCAAGTAATCGAGCCGCCAAATCTCTGCTTGCAACAAGTGCTTCATATCACCTTTACGACTTCTACCTGTCTTCTTTCGGGCAGATTCCAGCTGTCGAGCCCCAGCAGATCCCTTGGCTTGGCCAAGCCTTTTCGCGAGGCCTCCTTTCGGTGGCGACGGGCAGATCCCCCCCCACGCCGAGCTCGCGTCTCCTTCGGCTGTATCGGTGAATCGAGATACTACAGACGATAAATTCGACACGGTTTTCCTAAAAGGCTGCGAGCTAGCAGCTCGTCCTTACAAGTATCCTGGGTCCTCTCTTTGACAACGAGCAAGGTCATCAAATACTTGCCACCATCCATCATGACGCCCGACGCGAGCAACACCATCACTCACCATCCAAACGTCTTCAACCTACAGCGCCTTCAGCCGGCATCTAGTCGCAGCAGTTCAAAAGCGCCTCCTATTCGTAATGCTTCTAGCACAGGCGTTGAGGCCGTTGAGGCGGCAGACCATGACGCGGTAGAGCGCCACCACTACACCAGCGCCGACATCGAGAGCCAGTCGACCGCAGGTCACACGCGCGTGCCGCGTATGTCGGCCGAGAGCGATCCCTACGGGCTGTCCTTTTCCTACAAGACCGACACCGACCTGGACCAAATCAAGGCCAATTCATCCCGTAAGAGGGACAGCCCCAATGGCGACAAGAAGCTGGGCCCCAAGAGCGACCACCGCAAGGTCCGCGGCTTCTACGAAAACCAAAACGCAACCATTGAGCGCATGCTCAAGTCGGTCGAGGATCACCGGGAGGAGGCCCGCATCGAGCAGGGCGAGGACAAGCTCAAGTTCAAGATTGCCATCTACGGCTCGCTCGCGGCCAACATTGTGCTCACGGCGCTGCAGCTCTACGCGGCCATCACGTCCGGCTCGCTGTCGCTCTTTACCACCATGGCCGATGCCGTCTTCGACCCGCTCAGCACCCTCGCTCTGATCCTGTCGAACCGCGCCATTCGCCGCGTCGACCCGCGGCGCTTTCCTGCCGGCAAGGCACGCCTCGAGACCGTGGGCAACATTGTCTTTTGCTTCCTCATGAGCGCCGTGGCCCTCATCATCATTGCCTTCTCTGCCAGAGAGCTGGCGAATGGCGATGGCGACAAGAAGTTTCATCTTCCGTCCGTCATCTCGGTCTGCGCGGCGTTTGCGACCAAGTTCGCCCTCTTCCTGTATTGTTGGTCCATCAAGGACAAGTACAGCCAGGTGAACATTCTGTGGCAGGACCACCGCAACGATCTGCTCGTCAACGGCTTCGGTATTCTGACCTCGGTCGGCGGCGCCAAGCTAGAATGGTGGATTGACCCCATGGGCGCCATCCTGCTGTCCCTGCTGACGTCTGGCATCTGGCTGTACACTGCCTTCAACGAGTTCCTGCTGCTCGTGGGCGTGGTCGCGCCGCTGGACATGCAGCAGCTCATCACGTACGTGTGCCTGACCCACTCGGATGCCATCGACGGCATCGATACCGTGCGAGTCTACCACTCGGGCCCGCGGCTGATTGCCGAGGTGGACATTGTCATGGACCCGTCCCGGACGCTCATGGAGACGCACGATGTGGCCGAGGAGCTGCAGATCAAGCTGGAGAGCTTGCCCGACGTTGAGCGGGCCTACGTCCATATCGACTACGAGACCACTCACAAGCCGGAGCACGCGTACAAGAAGGACCTCTGAGGAGAGGTGGTTCGTCGTGAGAGATTTTGCCAGCCTAGAGGATGCGTGCATACAAACGTGCATTGCATGACTGACTGCATGAGAGGTTTTTTTCTGTTTGGTGATTAGCAGTCGTTTTTCGGTCTCTACAGCTGTGTGTTTCATTATCGAGGAAAGAGAGAGCATATAGAATGGAGTCATTGACGCGTCAGCATCATATCACTTTTTGAATATTACCAATGTAAACTGATGTCCCAAGCTCCGGTGAACGAGGGAGGGCAACGGAGGGGGGGGGCACAGGAGAGCTGCTCGTTGGTAGTGGTAGTGCTATCTATCTATCCATCTACCTTTACTCATATGTTGGCCAAGACAGGCGTCGTTGCTTTGCAGTGCTGTCAGAAATCACATGTGAAGTCGCCATCCTGAAGGCACGATGGTATGCCTTGCTTCTTGGGTATGCTACTCTCGTATCTGTGCCGTTTCACTGCGTCTAACAGATGGGTATATGTAGTAGTAATATGTAGCTCAAGGCAGAGAGGAGGGGAATGGAAGAACAGTGGAGCCAACGGAGCGTCTGGATCGTTGCCGAGGAGGATAAGGAGCAGGGAATGCTTCCATCAGAGAGCTGTTTAATTCGCCAGAGGAGGGTGTCGTTTGGGTCTCCTCTACTGCTGCAGCTCGAGATTGCTCCATTCCTAGGGCGACTACTACGAGTAGGTATGCCGTGCTATGCCGTGGAGAAGGCTTTCTATCGATGGACAGACACCTTCTACTTCTACCAAGCCCTGATCCTGCCCGACGAGCCAGGATATGAATTTCTCTTGTGAGGGCTGGGCAAGGGCTTGTTCATCATTGTCTTTGGAGGGTCGAATCAGGTATCAATGGGCATTTGCATCTTTGATTACCCGGATGGCTCGCCGGTTACTGCTCGTATACATACAGAATACGGGCTAAAGGAGGGCTGATAGTGAGGGAGCATGCAAAAAAAAAGGCCATACAGAAGGGCGAGCCAGATACGACGCTGCCATCATCTAACGAACGGGCCGAACATTCGAAGAAGCGATGTCCATGGCGTGAGCTAATAATGAGATGGGAACCAGTCTTGTTCGCCAGCCTCGCAGTAATACAGTACGTACATACCTTACGAGTACATACATTGGGGGAAATGGATCCCCGGCTAGGCTGCCTCTGCTTCAATACAACTAGTAATAAGGAGGCCTGAAGCTACATGTACTAAGATTCAATCAGACGATGCGGATCCAAAAGAGCTCGCAGCGGCATGTTTGTACGTGATGAGGAGCGGCCGCGGCCGGATTGCGCGCATTTTGCCATGGCTTGCTTTTTCGATGCGGGTGAGCCTGACGAACGGAGAGAGAGCCTGGGCGCGCGCGCGTTGGGCCCCGATCAGAGAAACAAGAAAAAAAAAAGCCTCTTTGAGCCAATCCAATCAGCAAGCAAGCATTCAGAAGACTTTGGTTATCTGCGGAAAGAAAAACGAGCTTCGGGAGAGTGGCAGCGGGCACGGAAGCACTGAGTCCCAACTGCGGAGCCCTTTTTGCCTGCTTGCTGCATGGCTGGGGGGGGTCCACGGGGGGGGGAGGGGGGAAGAGGATGTGGTCGAGAAGAGGAGGCAAGTCTATGGAACTGGACTGGAATGGCTTGCGACCTTGATTTTCTCTCTCTCTCTCTGTATTCTTTTCTACAAGGTCTCTGATTGTCTTTGTGAGCTCGGATTCCCCGTGTTCATGCATGGCCAGAGGCGGCAAAGCAATTGGTTCTCGAGAAAATTTTCGTTGCCCCCCTGGAGGAAGAATGTGTGTGAGTGTTTTGAGTAGGAGGAGGAGGAGGAGGTAGGGAGGGAGGGGGGAAGATGCTGCATAACGAGAGTGACGCATTCGAAGATGCTACGAGGACTACTAGCTGGGTTTGATTGCTGGGTTTGGTGGTAATAGCGCAGACTGGCTGTGAGCTTGGCTCCAGTTCTGATCGTGGACGGCCCCCCGTGCCGTATGTAATTCTGTATCCTATCGGCAAGAGGAGAAACTTGGTTAGAGAGGAGAGAGAAACCTGGTCGTCTCTGGTGTCGGTTTATCAAACTCGGGTGGCTCCATCACACGCGGTTGAGCTTCTTCTGCCTTGTTGGTCTAGGCTACTGGGTACCGATCTTTTGGTAGCTTCCATTCTGGATGGAGCGCGATTTGTTTGCTAGTAGGTAGTTGTAGTTGTAGTTGTAGTTGTAGTAGTAGTAGAGTTGGGTTTTATAGTGCTTTTTGCTTACCGCCTCTCTTATGCGTGGATGAGGTCAATGAGTACAAAAAGGGCCGGCCATGCGCCATTTTGAAGATTGTTGTTCTGTGTCGCCGTTGATGCGAGTTACAACTACTGAAGAAAAGGATGAAATGTGGTTGGCTGGGTTCACACGAGCTGGAGGGGTTTTTTCTCTACCTCCCTTGCCTCGTTGGAGGGGCAATTCCAGTTCCTTTCTGGCTCATGGAGGGGTTCGCGATAGAGGGGTAAAATAAGTTCTGCCTGCCCAGCTGCATGCATGCATGCATGCATGCATTGTCGATGGAACAGGACCGGCAAACATGGGTGGCTGGATGGCTATGCTACTTTCTAGTAGTATTACTGCGCAACCATCTGCCTGATGTGCTTTTTTTCTGCAGCGTTCTGCGTTTCTGCGTCTGCATGCTGGGTTCTGGATGCTGGTTCGGGTTCTGGTTCGGGTTCGCTTGCAAGCCATGCTGCAAGCCAGCCGAGCCGCCACCAGAACACAGCTGGACCACCCCCGGGTAAGGTCCTTAGGGCCCGGGTTGGGCCGGCGGACGAGGCCCATCTTGCTGTCAGCGAGCTAGGTATGTACGAGTAGGTACCTGTAGATAGAGGTACTTCGATCCAAGCTAAGCTGTGGGTTTCGATGGGCTTCAGTCATCCATGGCATCGAGATTGAGCGGACGGTGTAGCTACAATGTACTGTACTGCGGCTCCAGGAGGTGACAGCACTGCGATGGCGCCGGCTGCTGTAGAGGCATGGGGAGGTTGTCAGTATACGGCAGCAACAAGGAACCAAGTCAATGCACATACATGTCCAAGCCATCCTCCCTCATCAATTCATACCTAGGTACAGACAGAAAATACCACAGAAACGCAGAGAAGCCAGAACAAAGTAGCGCCCTGCCCGACGGTACCTCGACGACGCCACCCTCCTTCCCTCCTTCCCCCCCGTCCACGCCTTGCCGATCCAAGTACCTCCCCATACAAGTACCTCGCCATACAAGTACTTGCACCCCGTCACCTCGCCCATCCAAGGCAGTACGTACTCCATACTACTACTTCGTACCCGATTCCAACCTCCATCACCAGCAAAGTTGCCTCCCAACTGCGTTTTTCCTTTATTTCTACCCGTGTTCCCGTCCTGCCCCAGCAGCTGTTTCCTACTCCCTCTCCTGCTTTCCCTCCTCCGTAACCCTCGTCCCTCGTCCGTCCGTCCGTCTCTTCTCGTGAGCCTGTTGTCATCTTGCCAGACGCCTCTATTCCAAGCTTCGTGATCAACTTCACCTACACAGCAACCATGGCTGATCCTAGCTGGGGCGAGCATGCTTATGCTACGGTTCGTCTCTCCTCGTCGCTCTCCCTGTCGTGAGGGGTAGCAAGCTAACTCGCGATTGCGACTGACAGCTTCTGTTGAACGACGCCTATCTTCCTGGTATGTCTCCGTCTCTGGCCAATCCTCCCCGCAATGGTCTCTAACGAACGTCCAGGTGCTCTGGTGCTTGCCCACTCTCTGCGCGATGCCGGCACCACCAAGAAGCTCGCTGTCCTGGTCACGCTCGACGGCGTGACTGCCGATGCCATTGTTCAGCTCAAGGTGCGTCTTCAACCTGCGTCTTGGAAGCCTTGAGGCTCTCTCTATGCTATATGCATGAATCCATACATGCGTACACATGTGCCCAGGCACTCCAAGAGATCATTATGCTGACTTGCTTCACACGTCAACTAGACCGTCTACGACTACGTCCTGCCCGTGCCTCGGATCCGCAACGACAAGCCCGCCAACCTCTACCTCATGAACCGTGCCGACTTGCACTCTGCCTTCACCAAGATCAACCTGTGGAAGCAGACGCAGTTCTCGCGAATCGTCTACATCGACGCCGACGTCGTTGCCTACCGCGCCCCTGATGAGCTCTTCGACCTCCCCCACGCCTTCGCCGCCTCTCCCGATATTGGCTGGCCCGACATCTTCAACACCGGTGTCATGGCCCTGACGCCCAACAACGGCGACTACCACGCCATGATGGCCATGGCCGAGAGAGGCATCTCCTTTGACGGCGCCGACCAGGGTCTCCTCAACATCCACTTCAAGAACAACTTCCACCGCCTGCCCTTTACCTACAACGTCACCCCCTCTGCCCACTACCAGTACCTCCCGGCCTACCGCCACTTCCAGTCCAGCATCAACATGGTTCATTTTATTGGCCCGGACAAGCCCTGGCGCGCTGGCCGCAGTGCTTCCTACGGCAGCGCGGCCTACGACGAAATGGTCGGCCGATGGTGGGCTGTGTATGACCGCCACTACCGCGAGAAGGTAAGTTCCCGGCAAAAGCAATGCCTATAGCGAAGGCATCGAGGAGGCTAATGCTGCTACAGGAAATTTCCCAGCTTGCCAATGGCAGCGGAAACTACAACCAGGCCTACGAGTCCCAAAAGTAAGGCAATGCAATCCCCTCTCTTTGCCAGGTACACAGGCATGCTAATTCGCCCTAGGAACGCTTCTCTGGCTGATGTCAAGTTTGACACACCGGCAGGCGGCTCTGGCTACCAGAGCCAGGCACCCCGACAAATCTTCCCATGGGAGAGCCATCAGCCCAAGCCCACCAGGTCTTTCTACGGTGATGAGCCAGAGCTGCAGCCGCAGACTCCTTCTCGCACAGCCCCTGCTGCCAAGTCGACTGCTCGTTCCTCAGTAACAAAGTCTCCTCCCAAGTCTCCCGCGTCAAGGACGTCTGACAACAAGAGCGAGGCTGGAACGGGCTCTTGGACGACGTACTCGCGGACCAATGCTTGGGACGAGGTGCCCGGCATCTCCAAGTACGCCGACGCCGTTGAGAAGCACCACCGATCGAGCAGCCGCGGCAAGGAGGGCGAGGAAGCCGACGATGACGAAGAAGATGAAGAAGCCCGAGGCTTCAAGAAGGTTACCGACTTCCCCACTGAGACGGAGAGGCCCAGTCTGCCGGTCACACCAGCACCAGTCCCCCGGGGACGCGATTCCACCGGTAAGGTGCTCCCGGCCGCTGAGGGCGTGCCGCCACAGTCCGAATGGGTACGTAACTAATCAATCTTAAGCAGCTAAATAGATGTCTCTACACATATGCGGGGTGGCTGACGTGGAGTTTCCTGTCAAGGATCCCACAGCGCAATTAGAGAAGCTCGCTCAGCAGCAGTCAGCGATGCTATTGCGCAAGCTCGGGGGTCACAAGGAGGGCTTCTCGGGAGGGGTAAGTCAAGATGTGCCGACGCAGTCTGTCGGCTCCCAGACTCGCATCGCGCAGTCAGCCCCTGTCGTGCTGAGTCCACGGCCTGTCAAGGGAACAGCAGCGGCGGCAACCAGGAGCTTGGAGCGGCAGATGAATGAGGAGGAGGCCGGGAAATCATGACGAGAAAAGAAAAAGTAAAAAAAGCAAATGAAAAAAAAGTACGAAAATGAAAAGCTTACGACAACAGTAACGAAAGCGGCGGAAAGACATTTGTTCCTTTCTTTTGGATCTGCGTATTGGTTGGAAAAAAGCAAGAGAAAAGGGGTGAGGGTGGCTTACGTTTATACCTTGGAATCTTCTTCACGGGCATAATTGTTTTCTTATTTCCTGCTTGTCTTCCTTCTCGCCTTACTATTCCCCCCTCTCTGCATAGCGGTTGCACCAGCCTCGTCATTTCGTGGTGTTTGTCGACTTACCGTTTCATCGCGTGCTGTGCAGAGCGTGGCATTGAGCTTGTCAGCATCATTTTTCATGTGTCTTTTTGATGACTTACTTCATACCACATATACACACAACTTTATTTGGTTTTACTGATGAGCTTTTGATTCTCTTTTGAGTCTTTGGTGGCATGCCTGATACTTGGTTCATGTGATGTGTTTCGATGGCTGCGTTGACTTGAAGTGGCTATAATGAACAGACAAACAGAGCTTACAGTTTTGGTCCTGCTGGTCGCGGTGGTTGAGGCGCTGTGTAGAATGATGTTGTAACGCTGAGAGCGGATGGGCCAATGGCAGTCATGAGATGCCGTTCAAAGTGTCCTGTATCACGTTACGAGAACGATGTGGTGAGTATGAAGACCTGGGCACAACTTCTTTACCGCCATATGGGTGTAACACGTCCCGTCACTTGGATATGAAGTTCATACGAGGCAAGTAGTAGGACGTTTGGCCGCTGCGTGTATGTATGCCCTTTTTTTTCTTTCTCTTTTTTTGGGATCGCCGATGATGGACGTACAAGGTTAACAACTCGTATTCTCTTACACTGAGTATTACTGATTGCAATGGTTGGACTGCTTGGGTCAAGCGAATGGGTGTTGTTCTCCGGAGGTCTGCTGATTATTATTTTCCGTCCCCTTTTCACTGCATTAGTAGGTTAGGATAGTATGATGTTCTACATTTTATCAGACTGCTTAAACCAGGCGAATGAGTGTAGCATCTTAGGAGGGGGAAATGTTGATCATGGTTCTATCGTAGGGTAAGGCGATCGAGATGACGGTTCGTATTCGTGATACCCCCTTGTCACATGTTTGAGATTTGGTTTCCGGGGGGTCGGGTCGACAGAGCTTGTCTCGGCTCAATTGTCGGGACGAAATTCCTCGAGGTCGGAAATTGCAGGATAAAGCCAACGAGAAAAGGAGGTTAAAGAAAAGAAAGATCTTGGCTGTAGCAAGATATGTATGTATCTTGTCTGGTCTGGGATGCAAAGGCAAGGCAAGGTAATACGCTGAGAAAGGGAAAGACTAAACGTCGCATAGGTAGGTAGGATGATAGAGTGAGTTGAACTGACTTTGTCTCGCCTGCTTTCAGCTTAGGTATGTATGTAGGGGGGGAAGAGAGAATCTTATCAGATGGGGAGATTAGATTAGCGGAGATCAAGGTGACAAGTGACAGGATTTTGCGGCGATGTGACACGGCACATGGCACATGGGGTGGGGGATGGGATGGGATGGGATGAATCGGCGAGCTTGTACTTGTACGATGCTACCGGTAGTGATTTGGCTTGGGTAGCACTACTTAAGTAGGTATGTGTTGGGGATGCTTCACCGACGGGGACTCCTATGATCTACTTGTATGTATGTATGTATCTCTTGGGCAACTGCTTTTCCTCCTCTCTCCTTTTCAGAGTATTGCATTGACACTTTGTAGTTCGTCTGGCTACGTGTATTCAGAGCCTTGGTTGCATGTTGGTCTTGCAGGTATGCATCACGCACACAGTATTGACTGTATGGGGGCTAGAGCACATGATTGCAATCAGCTTGTTTGCTGGTGAACAAGCTGGTGATTCGTTGTTGTCTGCGTTGCTAACGTTTCATGCACCTGCAATGCTTTGCTACCCGACGACAGACTTGACAGAAGGGAAAAGTGAGCCACATGGGGCATTAGACCGTTGTCATATGTACGAGCGAGCTGCCGGTGAGGATACAGAAAACGACCGACGTCGGGGGAAGAACCCAGGACTCCGCAAAAGGGGAGCGCGCGGAATGTGCCATTGCAGAGATTAGATGGGATTGATTGATAAGATGGATCAGATAATTTTTTTTCGTTGGGGGTTGCCCGACGACGATGAAACCCCCCCTTTTTTTTTCTTTGCTGCTGCGTTGGGCCCCCTTGCTCTCCTGCGGGCTTTGCGTGTGTGTGTCTGTATTACGCTTTCGGGCTGGTATGGTATTATTAGTAGTGTTATAGTTGTTGTTCGGGTTGGGAATGGCGTGAGGGAGAAGCTGGTTTGCGTAACGCCAAGGGGGGAAAAACGCGGCGATACTTTTTTGCCTTTCTTTTGCTTGCTATGTAGCTGAAATTGGAATGAGGCAGGGCTTGATGATTTATAGCAGTTACTACTAGTAGCTGGCAAGATGAAAGAGAGAAGTGACCCTGCATTGCCATTCTACTGTAATACCATTGCCTCGTTCAAAGGCGCAGCTTGTTGAGAAATGCCAGGATGAGGGCATGTATGTGAAGCGGGCCCTGGAGCGGCGCAACATGACCTATGAGTTGCTAGTACATAGTCGGACTGATGAAGTACCTAGTAGTTAATATTGCACATACCTAAAATCAACAAGGCGGGGGAAACAGTTGAGTTGGCTTGTCGGGCTTCAACTGCTTGGCTGTCATACAGTAACGGGACAGTGTGGCATGCATGCATGTCTTGGAATGGATGTCTGCATGTACGAGTAGTAAGTATGTAATACGACAGCATGCATGCCGTCATTGATTGATAACAGAGACCAGCAAACAGCCTCTCGTGTCGTCTCACGCACCCAGTCTCACCTTTACTGTGTGCAACGCATTGTGCCAAGCCACCCAGCAAGCAAGCAAGCAAGCAAGCAAGCACCGCTGACAGACTCCGTGCCATTCCGCCCCGAGAGTTTTTATCAATCAGCCAGTATCAATCAATCAATCAATCAAATTAGATCGAATCAAAAGCCCGCATCCCTCACGCGTTCGATCCGGGTATTCATTTGGTGGCGCTCTGCCACGCTCCAGCCATCGGAGCCCGGTCCCCCACGTCGGCCAATCAGCATCGCGGGGGGGCAACCGGGCCACCAGGGCTTCTGCTGTGCGTGTTCTCGGGTTTCAATGGCAAATTTCACACAAGAGGCAACGCTTGAATGGGAAGAAGGAGGGAAAAAAAAGCTGGGTCGTGGGTTTGGGCGGGTCTGGGTGGGCTCCGTAGACGGCCGATGTTGGGGGGAGTTTGTTCAGCGAGGATCAGATTACAGTACAGTGCTGTGCAGTGGCTTGTCATGGATGGTTCCCAGCAGGTGGTGCGTTTTGTTTGTTCCCCCAGAAAAGCCTCGGGTAGCCGTACTCGGCTTTTCCACCCTCTTCTTTTCCTCGTGCTCGTTCTCTCCTCGTCCTTTTGCCTTTCCGACATCAAACCACCCGATCCCGATCCTCGTACGACTCAGCTGTCGACTCGTGCCCTGTGAGCTGTGCACCGCTGCCGCGCACGGATCCAATTCGCCGGGCCACTGCCTGCATCTCCCAGAGTCAGCCTCCTTTGCCCCGGTTTAGGTCGATCTTGGCTTGCTCATGCTATTACTTGACGGACTTGGCCGAACCGACCTCGCCTCTCTGATCCCTCGACTTCTGCAAACCTACTCAATCTCTTCTTTTCCTCTTCCTCGTCTCTATTCTATTCTTGCTAGTATTCCTCTGTTCCATCACCTCAACCCACCTCATCTTGCTCTTCTCGACACAATCGGAAGAAACAACAACGTGATGCAGTCTGTGCGAATGCAGAACCTGTCCCTCGGGACAAACGAGGGCATGCCTACAACACCAAAGGCAGAGTCAATTGCCCCCTCGTTGACCTACTCGGACGAGTCAGACGACCAGGACGAGCCCATTCGAGCCGACCAGCCTCGCCAGCGGCGCGCCTCCACACGACTGATTGCCCAGAGCGCCCGCGACATCCAGCGCATCACGGGCGAGACGACCGCCGAGTTTGTTACTCGCTGCTGCGGCGGCGGCTGCTGCTTGATGGGCGGGGCGAGGCCCGCCGGCGTCGAGTACGAATCCGTCCCGCTGCCCGATAACGAGGCGTTCCGGTCCCTCGGCCTCAAGATTGGCGACATCCCCAAGGTCCTGACCAACATTGTCGACCTCCCGGAGAAGAAGATCTCCTTCAGTTCGGTCCCCAAGGCCCCAAGCCCGTCCTCTCCCACGGACTCTGCCATTTCCCTGGAGCGCGATGGCGAAGTCGACAGCGGCAACCTCAGCCGAATCGCCATTGACAAGCTCCAGACCGTGGACACCTCCATTCAGCCTCCGCGATTCGTCCAGCCTCATCCCCCCTACAACGTCTATGCGGCCAAGATCCACACAGCGCGCGAGCTGACCAAAGCTGGTGCCGAGAAGCGCACCTACCACTTTGACCTGGATATCACAGACTATCCCGACGAGGAGAACACCGATTTCAAGGTGGGCGGTGCCATTGGCGTCGTTGCTCCCAACTCAGAGGCCGTTGTGGAGGATGTCCTGGACGCTCTCATGGTGCCGCGCTTCCTGCGAGACAAGCCCGTCCTGCTCAAGACGACTGGCGGCCGCTGGCCCACCGTCTGGGGAGACGACAAGCCGCGCGAGCTCGTCACTACCCGCCGAGATCTGCTCACTTGGTGCGCGGACCTGCAGTCGTATCCGCCCACCAAGGCCCTGCTGCGAGTGCTGGCCGAGCACGCGACCGCCGACAATGAAAAGAAGATTCTCAACTTCCTCTGCGCCGCGGAGGGCCAGGGCGCTTTCTGCGACTTCCGATCCGGCCCTAGCGTCACCGTTTCTCAGTTGCTGCACGCTTTTCCCAGCTCCCACCCTCCGCTAGACGAGCTGCTGTCGACGCTGCAGCAGCTCATGCCGCGCTTCTACTCGCTCTCCAATGACCCCCACGAGTCGTTCCAGAGGGGCGACCAGAAGCAGCATCGCCTGATCGAGATCGCCGTCACGGTTCATGAGACCGGCGACTGGCGGGGAGGATCCCGTACCGGAGTGGGGTCCGGCTTCTTTGAGCGTCAGGCCCGCAAGTTCATCGAGGCCCAGAAGGCTGGAGAGAAGACGGAGTTTTACATCCCCATGTTCAAGGGCCTGATGGCGAACCCCCTGGCCAGGCAGTTCAACGCCGAGGGCCCGATGCTGCTGATTGGGGCCGGCGTGGGCATTGCCCCCTTCCGAGGCTTCGTGCAGCGCCGCCTGAAGCAGGCCAACTGCGCCAACAAGGTGTGGGTGCTGCAGGGCATCCGCGACTCGCTGCTGGACGAGATCTACAGCGGCGAATGGGGCGTCCACGAGGAGGAGGTCAAGCGCGTGGTGCAGAGCCGCCGCGGCGAGGGCAGGTACGTGCAGGAGGAGGTGCGGAACCAGGCCGACCTCGTCTGGAGCATCGTCAACGCCGTCGACGGCCGCATCTTTGTCTGCGGCAGCTCCAAGGGCATGGGCGAGGGCGTCGAGGAGGCGCTCGTCGACGTGGCCATGGCCAAGGGCAACCTGGAGCGCGAAGAGGCGCGGAATTTCTGGCAGCTCAAGAAGGAGGCTGGCCAGTACATTGCCGAGACGTGGTGATTGATGCCTGTATTACTCGCCGAAATGGGGTAAAGTTGGACAATTTTCAACCAAGCTGGAAGATAAGGCACATAAACGAAACAGGGGGGAAAAACGGGTTAAAGAAAACCCCACAGATCTGGAGCGCAAGCACCGGAAGATGCACGTATGGGGGACGACGACAGAGCATTACGGAGTCGGGAGTTTGGTCTGTTTTTGTCTTGGGAATTGATCTGGTACATCAAATGTTATGCATGCCTGGGCTATCGAGGAAGAGGCATATACAAGGATGCATTGGGCTCCCTCTCGTTTCTCAGAGAGGGGGGTTAGTGGGCGTATCGGGTTATTGCATTCGTCTGAGTAGAGGTTCCTGTAGCCTATCGTTAATATACACTCATGAACTCATCCGAGAGGACGCAGACGACTTCCGAGTCGGCTACAAAGAGATGAAGTGATCAATTCCTCGGTCGAACTCGGCATAACCTGCCTGTACAATCATGGAGCAGAGAAGACTCGTCACAGTACAGTGATCTCGATAGTCATGACATTGGCTATGCTAGTACTCAAGTGCCCGGTAATAAAGGATAGCCAACGTTGCAGTCTCTTGATTATCGCACATTGTAGACTACCTACCAGCTATCAAGTCGGGTAGACGGACGGACGGACGCCCCAGCCGGGATGTGGACACTTGAGCCGCGCGGTTTCTTATGGAGGCGTATCTGCGACGGGGAATCCGGCATGTTGGGATAAGAGCGAGAAGCGAGGTGCTGGGGGGGAAGAAGAGAGCAAAGGGAAAAAAAAAAAAAAAAGGGAGTGGGGAGCAGATGATGAAACGGATTGGTTTTGTGATTTGGAAAATGGGATGGGGCACAATAGATGTAGTAGTTACTCGGCTTTGGGAGGGAGGACGGTTAACACACGTTGAGGTGATTTTGGGGAGGTGTGTTGGAAGAGGTGAGGGCGCGATTCGGGTTTGGATCAGATATTGCGTGACGGCATGTGGGTGGATGGGCTGGCTACATTACCTTGTGACGGGATTTGATGGAGGAGTTTAGAGGGGTTTGATGGAGGTGCGTGCAGTTTCAAGGATGCGAATCTTGGATATTGCTGTGGTTGTATTACATGTATAGACATGAGATTGCTGTATGGAGGCTTGGGAGGTCTGGATGTTTAATCCAGTGTGTTGGGTACCTTAGCTACGGTTCAGGGTACATGTAGATTGGTGTAGTGTACGACTCCAGTGGTCTGAGCCATATCGTCTCGCATGTACATCATCTGAAGGACGGTAGGTAGGTAGAGGACGACATTGTATTACATGCCTATCCATGTCATGTATGTCAAACATCCAACGCCACCCCATCAATCAACCACACATGAGCGTTGAACAAAAAGAGTCAAGTCACAAGTCGAATCGAGACTTGACCCCTGCAGCACCAGCACGCAGAACCTCCCACTTGGCGGGCCGAACGCCCGATTATAAATGCTTACTTAACCGATTTCCAACCTCTTTTTCTTCCAATTTTTGTTGAGTCCTCCTATTTGCACCGTAACAGATTCCTATTTGAACCGTAGTGGTCTGTGCCACCAACTAGACCAACCCCTAAGGTAAAATATCCCACACCCAAGCACCAGAATACAGTGTTGCACACTGGAAGTCTTCACCGTCAGAGATGTCATAAGGTAGAGGGCATACAGGATCAACACCAGGATATCTGCTGCCTCTGCTGCTGCCTCTGCTGCTGCCTCTGCTGCTGCCTCTGCTGCTGCCTCTGCTGCTGCCTCTGCTGCTGCCTCTGCTGCTGCCTCTGCTGCTGCCTCTGCTGCTGCCTCTGCTGCTGCCTCTGCTGCTGCCTCTGCTGCTGCCTCTGCTGCTGCCTCTGCTGCTACTTCTACTGCTGCTGCGGCCGCCTCCTTCGTCCTGGGATGATGATAAGTGCCGCTGTTAATCTCGCGCTGTAAATAGGTGGCCGGCCGCGATAAGGTCGGTTCTGAGGTCGGCTGAGGTCTGCTGTGATAGTTGCAAATACTGAAGCCGTGACCTTGTGTGGTGTTATGTGAAGACAAGCCTGCTATTAACTCACACTGTAAATAGGTGTGCAGTGATGGACTTGACGGTGTATACGCAGTAATTTTGCCCTGTGCACAGACCACTACGGTTCAAATAGAGATATGCTACGGTGCAAATAGGAGGACTCTTTTTGTTTGGCGCGCGGCTCTCAATTTTTTCTTTTTCGTGTGTGGCTTTGCTCCGAAGTCTTTTAGTGGGGGTGGCGGAAGGAATCTGAAGGAAATGGAAGACCCCCCTTGCTTGCATGGCGTGGAATCCAGGAACGAATAGTAGATGTAGTACTACATGCACGGGAGAAGATTTCCTCTTGTCAGCGGAAGTTGGACGTTTTGATGGCCATGTAATTTCATCAGTTGGTTAGCAGAGCCTAAGCCGGCAGATTCGGAACAAACGAAGCCTCCGAGTGATAGAATGAGCATGATAGATACATTGTACTGTGTGATAAGAGTCTCGGATCACGGCTAGGAGACACACAAGGCAAGACTCCACACCCGAGGCTTCGCGTCTCCGAGTCACGACGGGTTAATACCGAGTTTGAAGAGCGAAGCCACTGATCAATCTCCAGGGAATGCCAATACTATCCACTCGAACACATACTACTAGCAGAAGGCGAGTGGAAAGGGGCATGAACTTTCTTAGGTAGACACCGGAGACTGGGGTCGGTGCTTTGGCTCTGCTTTGCTCATGATGCCTAATGCCGTTTCGAGGAAGCCCTTCGAATCGGGTCCATTGTTTTCTGCGCTTTAACGGAGGTGGTGGTTACTAGTAGTAGCTCTTCCGTGACGGCTGCTACCCTGGTGGCGTCGTTTGTCGAGTGTGTGTGTGTGTGTGTGTGTTTCTTGTATGAGGTATGAGGTATCCTCCTTGATGTCACGACTATAACTACAAGTCATATCCCACCTCGACTTCAACTGACTTGTTCTTCTCCCCTCCAGTCTGACCAACAACAAGAATAACAACCACAACTTCTTCTGCACTACCGCAGCCCATTCAGCTCTCGAACCTCTTCGGCTCATTCCTCCTCTTGGCCTCCAACATCACAAACTCAACCACCACCACCGCCACTACTCTCCCAACACAACCACCTTTAAACAATCTCACAATGGCCGCCAAGCTCTCCGCCGACCTCCTCTTCCAGATGGCCAAGACCCGTCGCTCCATCTACACCCTGAGCAAGGACATGCCCATCAGCACGAGCCGCGTCCACGAGATCGTCAAGGAGGCCACCCTGCACACGCCGTCGTCCTTCAACGTCCAGACCAACCGCGCCGTCGTGCTATTCGGCGCCGAGCACGACAAGCTGTGGGACATCACCCACGACACCCTCAAGGCCATTGTGCCCGCCGAGCAGTTCCAGTCCACGGCCGACAAGCTCAAGCTCTTCAAGGCCGGCGCCGGCACCGTGCTCTTCTTCGAGGACACGGACGCCACAAAGGCCCTGCAGGCAAAGTACCCGCTCTACGCCGACCGCTTCCCGCCCTGGGCCGCGCAGTCGCTCGGCATGGAGCAGCTGCTCGTCTGGACCGCGCTCGAGGTCGAGGGCCTCGGCGCCAACCTGCAGCACTACAACCCCCTCATTGACCTCAAGGTCGCCGAGACCTGGAAGGTGCCTGCTCACTGGAGGCTCGATGCCCAGCTCGTCTTTGGTGGCAAGGCCGGCGAGCCTGGACCAAAGGACTTCCAGGACATTGACGAGCGCGTCAAGGTCCACGGTGCGTAAGCGGGCGTGTTAAGGAAATGAAGAAAGCAGGATACAGTTACAAGTTGCATGTAATGATGAATGGGAATGCATGGGCCGGAGTTATCTTTCATCTGTTAAGTCTCTAGACTTGCAAGTCATAGATGCAGTTTATATATATTGATATTAGATCTATCGATTGCCCCCTGTCGATCTTGGTGAATCTGTGTTGGTGAGACTGGGGAGATCTGGGGTGCATATGGGCTAGCCTGGAGGAGGAGTAGGATAAAGGCCCCGTTGACCAGATACCGGCATTCTAGGCGGTATTCGCTCTGCCTATGGAAAGGCAGATATGTCTCCAAGTCGTCGTGTTGCTTTAGTTTCGACTCATATCTTACTGTGGGAGGTGGCAAGTGCAGGGGCTTCTCATGGGACATTGTGGAAAACGTTTCCTATCTAAGGGGGGGTAATATTGGGGGGGAATTATGTAGAGTGTCCCATTGTCTCGCAGTCAATAATGCTTCGGGGTTAGGGTTATGTCTGATTATACTCCCAGGTCAAGCTTGGCGAACGAGTTGCAGTCGGTGTAACTCGGGGAGACTGAAGTGACTGAAGTGAATGTGGTTGAGCGTTGTGGTGAGGGATCCTCGTAAGTTAACAGCTGGAGGCTCTATTACTAGTGTCGAGTAGTACCAGAAACGAAGCCAAGGGTACAAGGAGGTAGTAACATCTTTCCAGATAGCAGATGTGAAGCAAAAGTGACATTCTGGTAGACAGGGTGCTCGGCTGCAAAATGGCCAACTACAGGGTGGGAGATGGTTGATCGGAGATTTCAACACCATACATGTCGACTTCAGGCTCCAGATACCAAGCTGCCACGATACATTATGGCCGTTGCATTAGGTACCTAAGGGAGAGTGAGATGGTACCTCAACACCCACCTCTATTCGACCATGGAAACGACTGAAAGCATGTCTGGGATCAAATCGCCATATCACATACCTGCATCTGCATTATTTCGTCGTCTTCGGTATATGATACGACGTCTAGTAGCGGTATCAAAGAAAGTGTGTCGTGTGCGATGCCCTGACAAGAATGGATATATAGCCCTTCTTTGGATCTGTCTCACGAACCACAAGCGTCGTGACTGAGGCTGAGTGAGTGCCGTCACATGGAAGAGAAACGGGGGATCTAGCACACGTGTCGCTTCTACTTCTAACCTGACCATGTTATAGTGCGTGTAAAAGTACTGCTACTTGCGTCACAATTGCAGTGACAGCAGAAAAAGTGGAAGGTTCAAGTCAATATGGCAGTTGCGATCATTGCCATTTCACTTTTAAAAAGAGACACAGCTCCTTCAGTGGTCAACCCTTTTCCTCCTTCAACATCGACGTCCCCTCATGGAGGAACAAGGAGAATCAACGGCCAACCTCGTTCCTTGCGTCGAGTCGCCGATGCGCTAGTTTCAGCGAATCTGTCGCAGCCGAAGAAACCTGTAACAAGGGGTGACAGATCTTGCTCGCTAATAAGCCGAGGCGAAACCACCAATCCGCCAGGCCTCCCCCCCCTGGCCTCGACTACTGGCACCTTTGCTATTTCCAGCCGACCCTCGATTTCATCAGTGCCCGTCTGCTGCTGAAAGCCCACAGACGGATTGGATGGCCCTCGTCCCTCTGCTGTTGGGTCTGACATGCAGCAGCCCGCACCATCACGTCCGATCTCTGAGATGATCCCCGCATGACAAACCGGCCGAATTCTCTCCCGGTCTGCTTCCAGGAAGCCCTTCTGGGGCTGCCGCTAGTGTCGGGAGCTGCTCTTCCCGAACAACTCCTGCGACATGCTTTGCCTTGTTTCAGACAAGCCCATCATTGACTGATGGCCGTTGTGCACGACCACGCGCCTCGCAATGCTACCATGGGTCCTCTCCCACCCTTTGAGAGGGTTGAGACTGAGGCCAGTGCAAAAGAGATAGAGTGTAACGTCGAGTTGCTTCGTTGCCGCTGTTGTTGGTCTTGCAGCTGCTCCTTTTCACATATGTGCTCTCTTACAACTTCTTTCATATTGGTATCCTCGTGCATATTTCGCTGACCGGGAGACTCCTTTACTTGTAGTCGACTTGGACCCAATCTCATGGCTGAGGTTGACGTCCATCGCTCTCAAATGATCGCTCCCTTCAAGTGCTAGTGCCCGGACCTGTCCCTCGTGTCTATCACAGCTTCAAGCCGATAGAGTGAGATGCCAGCATTGCCGCTCTACTAGCACCTATCCTCCTTGCGGGAGAGCAATATCCCTCCCTTGGAAGGCACCCGCGCAGAAGCCTCGTCTTCTCTGAGACATTGGAAAGATTGATCCATCCGCATGACGAGCTTCACTTCGTTTTCACAAACTCTGCGAGCCGGCAGCATTCGTGGGCTCTCGATACCGTCAGTCGGCTCAGGACATTCTGATTCTCAAACAATCGGCATGTATCCGCAGTCAAACTCGACGCCTTACCAACCAGCGGCTGCGGCGCCGACGCTCTTTGCCTCCTGGACACCTAGAGCAAGCTACTATGCGGCCGCCTTCGTTGTGTTTCTGGTTGCGTGGCTTTTACGGCCAAAGTCCCAGACTTGCAAACTCAGTGTACCATTCTATGGAGCCTCGAAACTGAAATGGATTTTTGACGCCGAGTCCCAGATTGTTGCAAGCTACAACAAGGTTGGAATTGCCCCCCTCAGTCATGCTGAACTTGACGACTTACTTGCCGATTCAGTTCCGGGACCAGGTCTACCAAATCAAAGCTACAGAGGGGATCCAGGCCATGGTTCCTCCAAGGTTCATTGCCGAGCTCAAGGGACTACCTGAAGACATTCTTAGCTCTACAGAGGCTGTAGCAGATGTATGTTACCCTCTTCATAATTCAATTTGCCAGCCTCTAATCAAAGACCAGGCTCTCCAAACCAAGTACACCAAGTTTTCACCGGGTCACAACGGAGACATGCTGTCCCTTCTCGTCAGGACGAGATTGACGCAGAATTTAGTCGAGCTGGTCCCCCAGCTCAAGGGCGAGCTGGAGAGCTACATCGCTACCGAGTTTCCGCCTTGTGAGGACTGGACTTCTGTCAAATGGCAGCCCTTTGCTCTGCGCGGAATTGCCCGACTGAGCGGCCGAGCTTTTGTTGGCCCCTCGTTGAATCGCGACGAACAGTGGATGGAGGTGACGATTAACTTTGCCATTGACGTCTTCATGTCAGTCATCAAATTGCAGCTTTTCCCAGAGTGGGCTCGGCCCGTCGCCCAGTATCTCGTATCGGACTTGCGCAAGATACGACGAGACATCAATACCGCAAAGTATCTGCTGAAGCCACTGCTGCAGGAAAGGATACGTGACATGGAGATTTCGAGCTTTCACGACCCCCCGAACGACCTCATGCAGTGGCTTATCGAGGCTTTGCCCGAGGAGGAGAAGTCAGACGTCCAAACTCACGCCGAACTACAGCTCATCCTAGCTGCCGCGTCAATCCACACCACAAACAACCTCTTGTTCGAGTGCATGGCCGATCTCGCCTCCCACCCTGAATTACAGGCCGAACTACGCGAGGAGGCATACCAGATACTAGAGGTCGAAGGGGGCTGGGCCCGCAAGGAGAGCATGGCGAAACTAAAGAAGCTCGACAGTTTCATGCGTGAGGTCCAGCGGCTTCGTGGAAACATCAGTGAGCTCCTTCTTTCCTGATATCTGCGCAAAGCTAACCCTGCATAGCATCCTTCATTCGCAAGGTCTTGAAACCAATCGACCTTTCAGATGGCACGCATCTACCCGCGGGAACAAGAGTACTCGCTCCCCAGGCCGGTATTTCTGTCGACGAACAATTTTATCAAAGCCCCGAAGAGTTCGATGCCCTGCGATTCTACAACATGAGGCAACAGTCGGCCGAGGCGAGCAATCGCTGGCAGTTTACATCCCTTTGTGACACAAATCTCAACTTTGGAGCCGGCAAGCACGCGTGCCCTGGTCGGTTCTTTGCCGGGAACGAAATCAAGCTTTTTCTTGCATTCTTCCTCATCAATTACGAAGTGAGACTGAAGAAGGGTGATGAGCGGCCGAAGCCGATGGCAATGGTAATGACAAAGGGGCCTGACGCCAATGCCGAATTTGAATTTAGGCGGCGGCAATTGGCAGAATGATTACGAGATGAAGAACTGTGGGATTTAAGTATGTATGACCAAGTGCGCATGGGATTGGACGGCAATATCAGGCGTTATAGCGAGGACAGGGTACACTTAAAATAATGATGAAACATGAAAAATGCTCAAGATCTCTTAACTACTTATTCCCCGCTGAAGATACCTATGTAGGATAAAAAGTCTGGAAGCGGTGTTAGAACGCTTGTATGTCATAGTAGTAGAAGAACTGCTGCAGATATTCTAGAGATTCCCCAAGTTGAGGAGGATATAGGAAAGTGAGGACGACATATGGAGGGGAGCCAACAGTCCACAAGTAAACGGCAAAGAAGACTCGGGACTCAAATGAAGAGAGAGCTTAGTAGCAAGAGTAAGAGTGTACTACCTTAGTAGTTATACACCCAGAGAAAGGTCTCCGGCATATAGGTATAGACTTGGAGAGGGAGGTCATCTATAATATCAGATAAGAGCCACCCTGTAAGGGAACGAAATATTTAAAAATGAACAACTGAATTAGACAGAGACGCAGATACCGTGATACACAACAAGATGATGTGCTAGCTGAAAGAAAAACAAGGTCGGAACATCCTTGGCTATAGAGTATGCAAGGAAGAGATGGCCCTGCCCTGCCTGGAGTCTTTATAAAGCCAATTTGTGGATATACGGAGACCTGACCGTCTTGCGAATCTTTATATAAGTACTCCGTACAAACGTTCTGTAGTTGCTCCAATTTCATCTAGACAATTACATCAGATGAAGGGGGAGGAGAGCAAGACACTCTGCGTTTTAGATGAGCAGCATTTCTTTTGCATTTAGGACCCTAAACACCCTATAAAACGAATAACAACGAAATGCTCATAAAGAAAAAAAAAAAAGAAGCTGATGTAAATCAAAACAGCAGCAGCAAAGATTTTCCTCCCTTTAAATCCGGAACGCCCCTAGTGCCATTAGATGTGTGAAATTGCATTTCCTCCCCCCCCCCTTTCTTTTTGAGAAATCAAGAATTGGTCGAGAGCCCATGGTATTATTCTTTTCTTTCTCTGGCGTGAACGAAGAATCGTGTCTCTCCGTGCGAGATCTCGTACAGTTATGTAGTGCAGCGGGTCTGTCTTTTTTTGGCAGGAAGAAAGAGTCGGTTCTTGACGAGATCGTGAGACTTTTTGACAGCTTTGGCGAAAGCCGGAAAAAGTTTCGACAAGGATGATTCTTTCAGTCGTCAAGCAGAGCTTTCCTACAAGCCCGGTGTATGTATGAACATGCTTCTTGGCGAAAGGCGGTTGGCTTATTCGTTGCGCATGTAGATACCTGCGACGAGACAGTGGTCACGCTCGAAAGGTTCTGGAAACATATATGTTAGCCTCTGTAGCCTTGATTCACAGCAAGAGCCGTAGGGTGCCTGTCTGGCAATTCAAAGGGGTTTCGGTTCCTCTTACCTAGGGTCAGCTGGTACTTGGGCTTAATAGACTCAGCACGCATCTTCTGAACCTCGCTGGCAAAGACCTCGGCGGCGGGGGCTGTGCTGTCGATACAGTTGGCCTTGATGGAAATCAGGACACCACCGCCCTGCTTGAGGAACCAGTTGGCGTTCATGGCAACGATACGGGCCTGGTCGGGCTGGGCAACGTCGGCGAAGATGACGTCGACCATGGGGACGACCATGCGGTAGCGGACGGGCTGACGGGCATCCTCGACAATGGGGACGACGTTGGGTCGCTTGGCAGCCATGGCAATGAGATCTCGGCCAGAGCGGTTGGAGAACTCGACGGCGTAGACGAAGCCAGTCGGGCCAACGAGGTCGGCAACGTGGGAGACGGAGGTACCAGAGGCAGCACCGAGGTACAGCACGCGGGAGCCAGGGCGGATGTAGATGTCATCCGCACCACCGGCAATGGCAGCGCAGAGCTTGCTTCGAAAGGGGTTCCAAAGTCGGTACTCGACCTTGGTGGTGGTGGTGGTGCCGTCCTCGTTCTTGACCTCCTCGTCCACGCTGATGCGCTTCTCGCCGTAGACGGACTCGCCGGGGGTCAGGTTGCGGGTAGCAATGCCGTCCTCCTTGCCGCCACGGACGACAAAGACGCCAGCGTGACGATGGGGCTCCTAGTCAAGCGAAACGCTTCAAGTCAGTCACAAGGTCCTCTTCGGACGCCTCTTGTCGAAGAGGATATCAGGTCTGGGGGGGTTTTCAACGTACAATGACGACCTTGGCACCGCCCTTCATGCCGCCAGCACCGCCGCGACCACCGCCACGGCCACCTCGGCCACCACGGGCAGGGCCACCTCGTCCACCGCGACCTCCAGGGCCACCGCGACCACCGCCGCCTGTTGTTGGATCTTTGTCAGTCCTCGATTCCTCACAGTCGCAAACGCCTCTGCACAATGAGCATACCTCGGCCTCTAACACCGTTGGAAGAACCACGGCCGCTGAAGCCGCCGCGACCACCGCGAGGAGCTCCTCCGCGGGCACCGCCGCCACGACCACCACCTCGAGCGTTGAAGGGAGCCATCTGGAAATGTGGGATGGATGTAAATGTCTAGAGTCCGACGTAGGGAATTGAGATACAGAGGCGAGAATTGAGGATCTGCTAATTCAAGAACCCGAATCGAGCAGAGCGTGTGTTTGCGAGACTGCGAATGTCCGATTTGACGCAAAAGGCTGAAGATGCCTTTGTTCGGGTCTGCCAAACACGTTGTTTCTGGGAGACTCTGCGAGAAAGAAATTTTTGAAGCTTTTCGCAAGAAGCTTTAGTCGCAGGGTCCACCCTCGGGCCATTATTGGCCAGGACGCTGTAGTGGTGGAGCATGACGCACCGACATTGTTCCGACAGTTTTGGAAGAAGAGAAAAAAAAAAAAAAGATGACAAAAAAACCAGGCTGCTGAGGTAATCATCACGTGCGTTGAAAGATGCTGAATCATCTCGCGTATCATGTGATTTGGAAGCTCATTTGTGCGCGCGAAATCTCAAGTTTGTTGCAAAATAGGTAATGCGATGATGATTTTGAGTTGGTATAGCTAGCTGTGAAGCATTGAACACATTCTGAATTAATTTACTACAATTGTCTTGATATTCATGCGCCCAAGTGTGGTGATTTGACGCCGTTTCCCTATACTCTCTGCTGGTGCAAACCGCAGTGACGTGCAAGTCTCCAAGTGAGCGCGCCACCTGATTGGACCAGGGCAGAGAAACCCTAACAGTCCCGAAGCGGTAAGCGAAGACTGAGGTCCGCCCAGCGCTCTAGGGCAAAAGTTCAGAATTTCTCAACTCCAGCCCGCGAACCCACGTCGTCGAATCAGTCACCACCACAGAAGCCGTCGAGATGGTGAGTGCCTGCCCCTTCTGCTCCCTCGCCCCGATTGATTTTTTGAAGAAGATGCTTGGAAAGAGGAGGGAACTGTTGGAATCTCCGGGGCTGGGAACTGCTGTCGGAGCATAATGTTGCATCATCTGGGTCAATCTTGGGGGGAAACATCATGATGGACGAGAAATTGTGGTTCTGCCACGAGGCCTCAATGATGGGGAGGAAAAATGAAACACCATGACTGACTTGTGCGCCCGATCGTTGCGGAAACTTACAGGTCCGATACGCCGCCCAAGAGATTCAGCCCGCGAAATCGGCCCGCGCCCGCGGTGCCTACCTCCGAGTTTCTTTTAAGAACACCCGCGAGACCGCCCAGGCCATCAACGGCTGGAAGCTGCAGCGAGCTGTCCAGTTCCTCGAGAACGTCAAGGAGCACAAGGAGGCCGTCCCCATGCGACGATATGCCGGTGGCACTGGCCGCACCGCCCAAGGTACGACATGAGAGCTGGGCGGGAAAGATGCTTGTCTGTCTTGTTTGGTTACAGAGGGAAAACCTCTGTAGCAAAAGGGCCAAGCGGAGGGTCTTCTCATTTCGAGAGAAACAAGACTTGTGAAGCGCTTTTGGGTGTTGGTACAGAACAGTCATTTGCTGACGGGATCTTTTTTTTTCTGCAAATAGGCAAGCAGTTCGGCGTCACCCGCGCTCGCTGGCCCGTCAAGTCCGCCGAGTTCCTCCTCGGTCTCCTGAAGAACGCTGAGGCCAACGCCGATGCCAAGGGCCTCGACACCGGTGCCCTCATCGTCAAGCACATCCAGGTCAACCAGGCCCCCAAGCAGCGAAGACGGACGTACCGTGCCCACGGTCGTGTACGTATACTCCCCCTCCTTCTCTCGAAATCCCAACAGCCAGCCGTCATTCTTATCCATATTCGAAACGACGCGTTACGGCGCTCACATACTTTGCCGCATCTCTACTTGTTCTTCTGGTCGCTAATCCGATTCATGCGCAGATCAACCCTTACATGTCCAACCCCTGCCACATCGAGCTCATCCTGACCGAGGGTGAGGAGGTCGTCCAGAAGTCCGAGGAGGTTGCCGGCCGCGAGCAGCTCCGCCTGACCGCCCGCCAGCGCGCCGTCCGCGCCCGCAAGGCCATCACCGCCGCGTAAATTTCTTAAATACCAAGGGAAATGGTGAAACGGGCGTGTGTTTGTGCTTGGTGTGTGCGGGAATAGAGATGGTGCAGCAGCGGTTCTTTATCTTTCTCCTTGGAACACTCTTGAGCAAAAACCGAGCTCGAGAGTTGTCTCCTTGGCAAAGGAATATGAAAGAAACGGACAAGAGGGTGAGGATACAAGGGCGAGCATGAATAGAGAAAACAGTTCCCCCTGTTTTTCTTGTCTCCCTCTTTTTTTTGTTGTGTTGATGAGAGGCAGGCAAAAAAAGGGAAATCATATTTTCGTGGCTTTTTCATCTCCTGGTGTATGGCAGGCTACGGGGAATGGAGGGTGTCCGTTGCATGGCAATCTTTTTCTAAAGGGAATCCAAAAAACTTGCAATGCATAAAACCCAATGAAATGAAATTCAAAAACAAAAAAACAAAAAAGCATAAACATCACCGAGAGACAGATGTGCATGATGACGTCGTACTCCTGGGCATGTGAATCCCGACATGGAGAAGTTTGAATTTACAGGTCCTCTATAGCAAGGGCACGCACAGCCGGGGTCTGAATGTCCCCTCATTAGATCCTTGAACGTGACGTCCCAGTCAGCGACATCTAGATCGCTACCTCTAACAAAGACTCATACCATCATCAGTCTTCTGGCATATGATGACCAGATCACAATTGCCTATCATCACTCGTCCTGTCCAAGCCATCACGGCTCAAGTTCCTTCAAAGCCGTAAACTCTCACTCAAGACTCAATGCGGTCTCATCAAGAGGCTTAATGCAAGGCAACACCTCACACAACCTTTGATTCTCAAACAAAACGAGCAGTGTTCTTCGTTTATAAAGCCGATGCCGTTTTCATAGTCTTACCGGTAACGATCCTCTCTATATTCCAGCACCAAGACAAGGGAAAAGGGGTATGTGGGGGGGTATATCCGCCATGTTCAGAAGCACAGCTGTGAACTCGTGAACAAAGCACATCACGGTGCCGATGAGTTGAAAGCAAACTGTCACTGTCGAAATTGGTTCTGGCTCGCGTAGCCTCTGCGAGGGAGTAGAGATAGTGAGGGTGGAGAAAGCTTCAGATATACCTTATCGTCGTTCATCGGAATGCGTGTGCCAGCCATTTCGACGCGCATAGCATAATGAGATGAGATTGACAAGAGGTCGAGATATTTTCCATGGGTATGTATCCACAATTTCTCGTCTCATAGGGTATCGTGTTCTTATATGTTTGTTCGCTCGTCCAATAACCTTAAGCAACAAAAGCTGTGTCTTGGGCTAGTCAGGCAGCCCGGAACGTGTGCTTTGACAATCATGAAAAACGAAATCGAAAAGAGAAAGGGCAACCCAGATCTGCCAGATGCCATAGTGCGAAAGATGAAAAAAGAGGGCCAATGGACAATGCAGGGAAGGGAAAGAATAGCGTGTGAAGCCTTGCCGTCATCTCCTTTCAAAGGCGTCATATACATCCGAAACTCGCTAGTAAATAAAGAGACATTAGATGGTCAGAAGACAAAAACCGTATAGACAACAAGGCAGAAGTGATCATCCGAGCATCTCAATGTCTTGAGCATCTTGGAGTTTCTCCACGGTTCCAGAAAAGCGGCCCATGCCGGGGTATTCGAATCCGTCGGCAACGGCATCATCGGACACCTGCGTGCTGTACACATTGGCCCAGCCCCGCTCCATCAAGAAAACCGTCTCGAGCGTCTTCCATTCAGCAGGCAAGATGAAGGGCAGAATACGGCCAAGGAGCTTATCCTTGCAGTACTGCATAGAGTGGAAGATGTCATGCCGAAGGCTGCTGATAAAGGCGTGAGCGGCCGGGCCCTCAGGAGGCAAAAGTGCTCTGAAGTCAAGATTGCGGACGTCAACAAAGACGTAGCCGCACGATTTGAAGGTGATGGAGCTCAAATTGTACTGGGCCTCGTCAACAGCGAGCTGGTCGGCATGCGGAAGAAAGGGGGCAAGATCCTTCTCTAGGGGTAGAGTGAGGTCCTCGGGCTTGATAGTTCCATCAACCATCGATCCGGCCGTGTCGCGGAATCGAGGAAGCATGCGCATCTTGATGCCGGGGCTGAAATGCTCGCAGAAGCCTGCCCAGGAGAACGGCTCCGGCAACACAAGTCCATCGCTCTGCTGCTCATCGGATGGTGCCGGAGGCGCCGGGGCTGGCTGGGGGAACATGGCAGCAGCCGGTTCTCCAACAGGGCCCGCAATCATGGGAGCCACGCCGCCAGGGAAGATTGGCGGAAGCGGGAGGCCAACATCCTCGGCAACCTGGGCAACGTTGACTGGCTGAGGGGCGAAGACGGGCGGCCCGGAGAGGGAGACAGACTCAAAGTCCAGCCGCTCGAGGGAATGCAGCGCCATGTTGCGTATGGTTTGCGTCAAAACATGCGGCGAAGCCCAGCAGTTCTTCAGAGAAAACTCCCTGACATAGGGTAAGTCCAAGAGCCTGTCGGGATCTTTGGCGCCATCAACAGAGCACATCAGTTCCGGAGAATCCACGAAAGGGGCCGGCAGAATATATTGATTGCGTTGATAGGGGCCCCGGGCAAATTCGCCGCCGCAGATCCACTCAAAGTGAAGGGTCTCGATGTTTTGCTGCTGTCCAATGTAGCAATTAAGCAGATTGTATACCTTGCGCACGGCATCGAGGGGAGACACGTGTGTGTCGGCGACAACACCAGGAGAGGTCTTTGAAATCCGTCTCCAGTCAGCAATGACAGCCAAGGAGACGTTCTTGACTCTGGGAATGCTCTCCCAGAGTTCCTTGCGGCACAGGATGTGGACATGAGCGCTTGGAATCTTGGCAATGGTGATGTTGGTCAGGTTGCTAAAGCAGCCATCTTGAGCGTTGTCGATGATGCTGATCACATAGGACTGGATCATGGCACGATGTGCCCACTCCAGCTCGAGAAGTAGTTCCTTCTGTGCCCGTGTAAGGTTGGTTGGGATAAGAGGCTGTCGACTGTTGGAATCTGGCGCGGAGTCCCGCGAGGGCTGGTTCTCAGCTCGGCGCTGGCGATGGGGCGAAGACTGCACCATGGCCACAGCCGGCGCCGGAGCCGGAGCCGGAGCCGCCGGAGCCGCTGGAGGAGGAGGAGGAGGCGGTGGTGGAGGTGGAGGAGGAGGGGGATGAAGGGGCGGGGCTGCGTCGGCTGTTGGCATCGCAGCGAGAGCATTGTCATAGAACTCAAATGGGTTTGGCTCTATGTTAAAGTTGAAGCCGTGGTGCGGTTGACCGTATTCGTCCGGGTCCTGGCCTTCCATATCCGGAGCTTGGACATCCGCCTCTGGAATATCCGCCTCTTGGATATCCTCCTCAGGAAGATCCACCTCATGGAAGTTTGGCTCTTGCGGTTGCACAATGTGCTCTGGTTGCGGTGCCGCCTGCAGCTGGTTGAGCCACCGCCTTCGACTGGCCCGTCTATCCTGTGCAGCCAGCGGCGGCGGCGGCTGCTGCTCCTCGACGAGAACTTCTCGCTCATCGAAATCGATATTGGATAGTGTCACGCCCTCGGTCTCGAGCAGCAGGTCAATGGCTTCGTGGATATAGAAGCCAGCGAATCCGGCGTCAGCAATCATCTTCTCGAGAACTCGGCGCTTGAAGTTGTCATGCTGAGCAGTGGCACTGCAGAGGTCTCGCGGCATGCCGTTGAAGCCAGATACGGTAACGGCATCGCCCCTATCGGAGCGACCCTCCTGGCGGAAGTAGCTGGTGTTGAATACAGGATCGGGATTGTTCATCTTTCGCACAGCCTGATCAGGGCCGACAAGGAAGCCCAGCCCGGCATCGCAGCAGAGCCCCAGGTTGGTAACCTTGGTCAGACAGCGCAGGGCCTTCTTCATGCTGTCGGTTTCATCGGCTGTCTGCTCGAGGCCCTCAAGGTCCCTGTAGCGATGATATGTGGCGTGGGGCCATCGATAGATGCCCCAGAAGGCGGGCACAGCCTCCTGAGCGGGCTTCACGGGCGGGTAGGCCAGCGTAAACTCGTCCAGCTCGAGTGACAGGGCGAATCGAAGGATGTGAGGGCCAAATGATTCGAAGATGCGCATGCCATTGGAGAAGAGGCGTGACGCGATGACGGTGTTCTCGTCGCGGTCGAGGCTGGTGTAGAGCTCCGAGCGGAAGGGCACGACGACATTGCGGAAGTACTGGGCAGAGACCTTGGCCTCGAACTCCCTGCACACGAGGCGAAGCGTCTGGATCTCGGCCCGGGTCAGATAGCGAGTGATGAGCTCGAAGATCTCGACCGGTAGCTGAGCCATTGGCCACGATGCGATGGGACACGGCGGGCGGGACGCAGCTTCGGGGGGCGGCGGAGACGGTGCAGCGCTCTGGAGGCCAATGCCGAGCAGGCTGAAGGCGGATGACAAGGCGAGCAGGGATGGACTGGCGCTGGCGGTGCGGGAGGACGATGCAGAGGAAGAGGCAGGCGAGGGACTGAGGTTGCGTGAGGTTGATCGCAGAGGCCGTAAGGCAGCGGCCGTGGCGGGGCGATTTGTAGCGGTGCGCCGCGCACTAACAGCACTAACGGGCGCTGTGGCTGGCGGGAGTTTGTGGCCTGGGCTCTGGCCAGCCACACTCAGGCCGCTGAGGCTGTCGAACAGGTGCAGCCCCAGCAGCCTGTCGATGGACAGGGCCGAGCCGATGAAGGGCATCGCTGGCAGCTGGGACGCGGTCACGAGAGCACATGTAATGGAGGAGGCATCGGGAGACGCTGGATGGGGAGGTGCCAAACAGTTTGTTGATGAGAGAAGAAGAGAGAGATTGCTTTACTAGTAGTAGCACTGGTCGGCAGAGACATGAAGCACTCTCTCCATCCGTCAATCAGCTGGGATGGGCTCTCCCTTGAGATGCAATCACGGTCAGCTGTGATGGATTTGCCATCTCGGCTTGACTTTAGTAATATCGACATCAGATGCAGCTCCTCCCGTACAAGTACGAGTACCAATAGCCTCCTGTCCAGCCGCCAGGTGCGTAGGTACTACTACTACAGGCGACGGTAGTAATACTACCTATCCGGCTTTGTGAGACATGGTGTGCTCTGCCGTGTTCTGCTGAGACAAGCCTGAAAACTTGCAGGTCTGGCCTTGGACAGGTCCAGACATGGGCAGACACACCTAAAGAGGAGAGGTACTGTATTAGCATCTACATAAGGTAGGTAGCTGGTAGAGCCCACGATGAATTATGTTGTCAGCTTGATGCTTCTCTGTTGGTTGATCGACGAAGCATCCACGAGTAAAGGCAACATGGGAAGGCGTCGGGTTGTAGATTTGCACGCTGGAGAGGTCACAGCCTGACCAATGCCCAAGCCAAAGCAACATGGACCCAAGTCAAGGCCATCCATCGACTGTCCCCCATCCCGCCCCAAATCGATAATCACCGGCCTTCTCCAATCAGCTCTGCAAATCCCGAAGCAGGAGGCCACAGTTGGACAGGCCCCCATATGACGATATCACATGCCCTGGATGACTGTGACGGCCACCCTCCCGGTATTACCTGTCCCTGCGCATCGACTAAGACTGTCCCTTGCACGGACCCGGCACTAAGCGATCCTCCCGGGAGTCACCACAGCGCGGAGGCGGCGGGGATACAGAGGGTCCATGCCCTGGAAATGGCTCGATTTAGCGCCAGAGCAGCCTTTTAGCGATGCTGCTAGCGGCCGCGGGTCAAGGGCCGGGAGCCACACGTTACTGCGCGTTGGCAGATGCGTAGCGATACTTGTAATTCGCCGCGTCTCATGGCTGGACAGCGAGTATAGAATCTTTGTCACTAACATGTCGCTTCGCTTAGTACCAACCTAATCTCGATGCGGTCTCCAGTCCCTTTGAAGTTGGACTTGATGCCTGTCTGTATTTTCACTTTGGCGGACATTGTTTTCGTTGAAGATTCCATTGCTTGTGAATTGAAGGCCTGAACTTCTGCGCAATGTCCACACTTTGCACTCTCAACCTCTTGCTCTACCAGCCTCATCCATTCTCATTCATGTTTCAGAGATTCCCAATACGAACAGCGAAGTACAAGATGCGCTCAACCTTGGCTGAGTGTCAGCTCGGAGCGGCACCAGCAACCAGCCAACTTCACCAGCTGATTTCATGACAACATACGGCCATCTTGGTACAACTTCTTGCAGCATCATCGTTCAAAAAACACAATCGGAGACGCTTTTGCCTCCTCAATCAGCTAGTGTGACGTTGCATCTTGTCGTCCGCGGCGCCCAACAGTGTCACGGCCCAGCTCTCGATCTTACTGATGGACAGGCACTCTGCAGCATGGTACCTTTGGTAGCAGACAAGCATCTCGATATATTACAATCAGCACAGGTCCAGAACTTGCTGTTCATTCACTTCAATTACAACATATTCAACTCATTGTCTACTAAGGAGGTACATCGAACTGTATATACATTGGCACCACTCATAATCCATATCTTCAAAGAACAAATCGCTAACCGACCCCCCCAGATCATTAATGATATACGCCCAGCCTAATTCTCGAGGCCAGAGGAAAGAAACAAGACTATGATATACAAGCAACTCTTGACCAGGCAATAACATCCAAAAGATAGCCGCACTCTACCCACCATGTCCATCACCAACTGTCACTGCTTCTTGCTCAGTTGCTGCCCCAGAACCAGTACCTAATGCAGAATGTCAGCCACCGCAACAAACTCAAAGCGGTTCATGCAAACAAGATGGAGGCTTACACTGCGGAATATTGCACTTGAAAGTTGGCCGCCTGGCCCTGGCAGGTAGCCGGCGCGCTGCCTCCGGCCGTGTTGATCCGGTACACCTCCTTGATGCTGCCCGTGGCGCCGTCCTTGGCCGTCAGCTTCAACCAGGGGACCGCAGCCTCGCCACCGGGGCCCGGAGCCGAGCTCGCCGGCGCAGCGATGCTGCTGTTCTTGGCGCAGGGGACGGTGCCAATGCTCAGGGCGGGCGTGTCCAGGTTGAAGAAGGGCGTCGTGCTGTCGAGGAAGAAGTGGTGGCCCGACACGTCCAGCTTCATGGGGCCGAGGGGCCCAACAGCGGCGGCGTCGAAGTTGAAGTTGACGGCCATGTTGGGCACCTTTTCCAGCAGGTCCTGGGAGGTGCAGGCGACGTAGCTGACGTTGAAGAGCGTGGCCAGGGCGCCGGTGGCGACGGGCGGAGCGTCGGGCTTGCTGGCGTCGCAGGTGTAGTTTTGCGTGCCGCGGCCGACGGCGACGTGCTTGACGGTCAGGTTTGCGGATGGAGGGGGGAGAAGCCCGTCGACTGTGGATTTGTCCTCGTCAGCCATTGGCCTCATGTCTCTCGTCGAGGCTCTCAGCCCGTGTGGGGGGTTTCCCAAGGCTGAGATGGATTCGAACACATGGGAGGGGAATGGGGGGGGGGGATCTTACCGGAGGGCATCTTGGCCTTGGAAACGTCACACAACTGCGCTGTCGGCTGCACTTTGGCAATCTCCGTCTTGGAGGCAACGAGGTTGAAGTACTCGGTGAGGGAGTTGATTGCCGAGGCGGGATTCTTGAAGTCGTTGAGGTCAATCTTGGGCTGGGCCGGGGCGGCGCGAGCTCCGAAGACGGCGAGCGACGAGACCAGAATAGTTGAAGGACGCATTTTGTCTGTAGGGATGTAGGTGATGAATGTTTTTGTTTTCTGTTCTTCTTTTTCTGTTTCTGTTCTCAAGTCCAATAACCAGATTGGTGAATGATGATGATGTTGGTAAGATTGTGATTGATTGAAGCCAAGGACCAGCCGACGATAGTAATGATGTTGTTGTTCTGTTGTTTTACCGAGACGTAAGATAGAAACGTAGTAATAGAGATGATATCCTGGACCCAAGAAAACCACAAAAGGAAAAAAGAGAATAGGAAACAAAAGAGAAAAAGAGAAAAAGGAAAAGGACAAAAAAGGAAATGGTAATAATGCAAGAGACAGTTCGAGCAAAAAAGGTGATGATTCTACCAGAGATGAAAAAGCCCCAGAAACAAAGCGGCCACCCAACCTCTTTTATAAATCAACATGCGCAAACCGAGTAAACCCCATGTCTCACTGCCCCGAGCAAACTTCGTCTTCCCTCTTGCTACTACATACTACTACTGTACTAGATCATGCGGCCCCTGTCAATCGCTTGGTCGTTTGGCATCATTCATGGGCGTTCGTTCGGTTTGCTGTTTGCTGGCCACTCGTCATGGGACGGAGGGGAATCTCAGCTGGGCGGGAAAGCCATCATCATCTTGCCGCCATCCGATCCGGCGCCAAAAGAATCAATGTTATGCACGTAATAATTAATTGCTTCTAAATAAAAAGAATGAAGGGATAAAAAAAAAAAAGAGTGGTGCTTTGGTCGAAAAGCGATAATACCACCACCCAGAGTAGCCGAGGACCGACGAATTACAGCGTGAGAGTATTACCAGGCAAGCCAACAAGGGAAGAGGACCAGACAGGTTTGTCCCTTGTCTTGCTGGGCACGTTACCGCCGAAGAGGTTGATTGGCCGAGACATGTCGATAGTTGAGGCGCGCATGACAGGGATTTGAAGGCCTGGTAGGGGTTATGATTGGTTCCAAGAGGGGAATGAGGTTGCAGCCGGTTCTATCTCTAAGCGCCTGGGCTGGTCGAAGATTGAATACTAGAGCGGGTTCAAGAGACGGGGGATCTTTTTTGGTTCGGATGAGATGGCAATGAAAGGATGGAACTGAGCTGCGGGAATGTCAAGATTGCGGTTGCGGTATGTCGCATGTAATACAGTTGAATGCATGCGAATCGTTGTCTCCTCTTAGCGGTGTTTGTTCGAGGATGACGAGGCTCGGTAGAGAGCATAATGATGATAGTAACATGCAGAGTCCGAGACAACAGAGACAGCAGCACATGATGCCATACAGCGTCGCCAAGGCACGGGTTCATATAGTCGTACTCATCTTACTCGCATCAATTGGCTTTCTCGCACAAAGAAACAAGATATCATCGCTTCTTTCACCATCTCTCCTGCAGAACAAGCCATCCAAGGCCCAATAGATGCCAATCCATCTCCTCAAAGAAAGCCCATTCCTCACCACACCACACCACACGAATCTCCATCGCGGCTCGCCGGCTCTCTCCAAGCGGGCGGTTACACGCAGAAAATAGAAGCCAGAAAGCAAAAAGAAGAAGAAAAAATCGAACCATTTTCTTGTTTCCACATCCCCTTGTCCGGCTGGCCTCCGCTACCAATGAGAATGACCCAGGGCCACGGCGTACAGAAATAGAAATCGGAGATCTCGCTGCTGCAAGGCCAATCATCCTACCCTCTCGCCTCTTCCCGATCTCTCTGACTGCAACCCACACCCTTCAAACGCCTGAGTCTGTTTGTACATGTATAGTTGTGTGTATGATACCAGCTGGCAGTGAGTTGGGGTGGGTTTTCGGTTGTCTCCATTGACGTTGGCTCTGCTTTGTGCCTGGATTAAACGAGGGTATGCTGTGCAGGAGGAGGAATGGGCCAAGATCCTTGGCTGTCAGTTACAGGCTATATCATCCAAAGCAGGTCCCTCGTTGTCCAATCGATAGATTGCCCAGACTCAGGATAAGTGACGCGGCTATACTGTGCCTACTATGAATATATTGACTGCGTAATCTCTTCAGCGTCTCCTCTTTGGGCCGCGCTCAGTGGCCGGCGTCTAAGCAATTTATTCACAGCAGCGCATGCTCAACAGTATGTCATCCTCCACCTGACCAAGTACGCTCGTTCTATACCTTCACTACCTACGTCTCTCAAGATGGGCCATTCAGAGCAGACTATGACTCCCGTGCCGAGGCATCAATCTGGAGACTGGTTGCAGATATCAGGCACATGAGGCGCCAAGTAGCAAACATATCCATCTCTATTCCACCGTGACAATAACCCCCTTCTTCCCAAAAGCGCGACTCCAACCAGCAAACAGAAGAATCAAGGCTCCGCGTGTATAATACATGTGACATGGTCATGTCCAAATCAACAGAAGCATTCTCCTCCCATCACCCCTCTCATCTCTCCACCACCAAAACTACCCCCAGTCCTCACCCATCAAAGCCATCCTCCTGCCAATCGCCATGGCCTCCGCTTGGCGCTCCTCCCCCTACTGCCCCTCCGCCAGAGGCAGCCCCCGCCGCGGCTGCAGCTGCCGATGACCCGAAGTTGCTCGCGTGCCTCTCCAGGTCCGACGTCCCCAGCCAATACAGCGAGAAGAAGACGAGGACGTGGAGCGCCACGCAGTACGCGGCAAACAGGTTCCTGCTTGTCCGCGACGCCAGAACCATACGCGTGACCGAGTACACTACCCTCTCAGGGAGACTCATGCGCCGGTATGCCCGGGCAGACTCTCGGCCGCGGAATGCCGCAAATGGCGAGATGTTGGACTCGTACGCCTTCCTGTACCGATCCAGCTCCATGCCGGGGTTTCCTGACCCGCCAATTGTGACTGTCGATGGGTTGGGGTTCGTTGCGTAGGCCGATGAAGACGAGGTTGTTGCCCCCCCTCGGCTGTACGTCGACACGTACCTTGTCTTTTCGTAGAGGTTCAGGTTGTCCTTTTGCAGAGCAGCCACTTCTTGACGCAGCTGCTGCACAACTCGATGACTTTCTGAAAGCTCCTGCTCCAGCTGAGCATTCCTCTTCCTGAACCGGTCTCTCTGCGCCGTCACCATGGGGAGGATGCCGGAGCCTCCTCCCATTGGCTCGCGCTCTCCTGGCGCCGTCCGAGGATCTATCCCGCTGATGATGGATGATGTGGGTGAGATCCTTCCCTTGCGCCCCTGCGCCCGGGTGATGTAGGTGCCCGCAACGGACGCACCGGACGGGAACGCATTCGCCCCTTCTGCCTGGAGGCTCTCCAAGTCGCTCTCCAGCTTCTCGTTCAGGTTCTGAGCCTTCTCCAACTCTGCATTGGTCCTCGAAAGCTCCTCTTGGATATCCTCCAACCTGCGCTGCAGATCTTGATGTGACACGCGAAGGATCGTCAGCTCGTCATTGAGCTTCTTGTTCCGTGCCAATAGCAGCTTTTCCAGAGTATCCCCTTTGCTGGCGACACCTTCCATATCATGCGCTGCCTCGTCGTCATCACCCGTCGAGAACTCGATGCTCTTGAGCACCTCGAGCTCCTGCTTCACTTCTTCATAATCGGCCCACTTGTCGACCTTTGCCTTGAGAGACTCCTTTTCCTCCCTTAGCAAAGCCACCTCCCGCTCTACAGATCGTAGCTTGCTGTCGAGTTCTCGCTTATATCCTTCCTTTTCCACTCTCGCCGCTTCCAGTTTGCGCACCAGAGACGAATTCTCTGAGCGCATGCGCATGTATCCAGGGTCGTCCTCCAGGGATGTTGACTGGGTCTGTTGCGATGACTTGGCCTGGGCCAGCTCGAGTCTCATCTGCTCATTCCGCGCTTCGACCTCGGCCAGCCGAGAGCTCGTCCTCTCCAGATCCACATGGAGCATCTCCAGCTCTGCGTTCAAGGCCTGGGTACGTTGGCCATCCTGGTCGTCGCCGCTGGCCTTCCCCAGCCGCTGGTTGACTTCGTAGTTGGCCTTGACTTCGCTCAAAAGGCGCTCTTGGTTCGCAATCTTCTCTTCGAGCGTCTTTTCCTTGGCCTCCCAATTATCCTTCTTCTCGTCCAGGACGGCAGTCCAGGACGCCTCTACTTCCTTGACCTTGCTCTCCAATTGGTCTTCAAGTTCCTTTCGCGCAGCGCGCTCGCTCTGAAGTCGGGACTCGGATTCTTCGAGCTGCGCCGTGAGCTTTGCGACGCTCTTTTGCAGGTGCTGATTCTCTTCTGTCACTTTTGGTAGCGTGTCTTCGGACACGAGCATCGAATCAACCGATGCTTCTAGTAATGGGTACGGATCGGGAGCTTCGGACAGCGAGCTGTAAGCCTTGAGAAACGCCGAGTTGACCGACTTGGAGTGGTTCGTAAGGAGGTCGATGAAGGTTTGGTATGCTGCAGTCACCTCGTGTCAGCGTTCTGTCTGTCACTCTTCATGTAACGCGGGCTTCGTCGGCATCGGGCTAATCGCACCTTTGAGAAGCCCTTTGATCTCTGTCAACTTTGTCGCATCGTCCAACTTTCGAAAATCCTTTGTCTTTTGCGCCAACTCCTTGCGCTGCACCGTCGAGTCCCGCTGATACGTGACGATTTCCGATGCCGTGTTGTCGAGGTTGGAGATGAGGTTGGTCAGGTCGACATCTGCGCACCACGGTCAGACGATACAGACAGTTGAATTGCTGCTCCACCAATATGCTTCACGTACTCCTCCACGCCGCGATGGCATGCGAGAACTTGTTTCCCCCGGCATCAGCATCAGGGCCGCTGCTCTGCGCCACAGCCGTCACCGCGGCAGCCCCTTCGACGTCGGTGGACATGGTGCCTGAGTTGTGTCCGTTAGTCTCTGCACAGCTACCGGAGGGAGGTATCGATTAGTCGTCTGAGCATTGAGGTATCGAGCTGTGCAGTTCGAGGGTCGAGGGCTGGCGCTCCAATGGCTGCTGGAGATTGCGTGTGTGTGTGAAACGATTGACGTCCACGGGTAGCCAAAGTCATGGAACATTGGAAGGTTGTATCGATTGAGTCTGGCGGTGCCTTGCGCCAGCTCCCAGGCGCTGATGCCCCGTAATTACAGCGCAGACAGCACTGAACCGCTGGCTGCTACAGGCTCGCTGCGGGAGGCTAGGAGCGCCCCACCTCAGCCTCGCCCCGGGCTACGTAACAGTCAATACATGTAGCTCGGCAGCTCTGCTCTCCAGAGCTCCCGCAACGAAAGGCTGGCGCATTCGTCACCACCGGACACCACCAACAGTTAAGACCTCACCCCGTCAAGGCCCTTTTGCTCTATCCTCCTCTCCTCACGCAGCTCGCACCGGATCCTTCATACAGGAGCGACTTTCCGCCAGACATCATGATTCCGGTGCTCAGATGACACCGCCAGCAACCGATATCCTGTCATGACATCCAATGGCCCGGGTGGAGGGGCATCATCGTCATCCATGGCCTCGCCGGGCATCGCCGCGGATCCGCACGACGGGCCCTATGTGTTGCAGCCGTGGGTAGACTCGGTGCCCCTGTCGGCCGACGGCTCTCAGGACGGCATCAAGATTAACTGCGTCGAGTATTACGGTTCGTGCGCCATGTCCTCTGTTCTCATTCTCAACTGCCGCGGCAACCTGTGTGTGGTGCCATATTGCTAAATCTCTGGCCTCAGATGGCAATCTCTACGTTGGCACTTCGGCCGCCGAGCTTCTACACTTTGTCAGCATCCCTCCAGATCCCTCCGACAGGCTCGGCCGGCCGGTTTTTATCCAAGCCTCGAGGCTCTCGCCGGCCTTTGCCGAGAACACCCCCTCGCGGCCCGGCGTCCAGCAGATCCTTCTATTGCCTCGCGTGGGCAAGGCGTGCATATTGTGCAATGGAACAGTCACCTTCTACTCTCTCCCGGAGCTGAGTCCGGTGTTTGGGTCGAAGCAGGTCAAGAACTGTAACTGGATCGGCGGCGTCGACCTGAACGAGGAGGGGCAGGGTGACGTCGTTGCGAACACGGGCGAGACGGTGACGGTTCTCCTGTCTCTCAACAGGCGAATCCAGGTTGTGAAAATCGATGAAGACGTGCGCGCTGTCAGGGTAGGATACGGTTCCCACGCCATCTACTCTTCAGAGCTTGCACTCACATCTTCCAGAACATCGAGTTTGCTGGCACCACTCTTTCTGTACGGCGAGACTCCATAGCATGCGTGGCCGATTCCAAGACGTATGCCCTCATCGATGTCAATCGGCAACTAAAGATCCCTCTCATGAACATTTCATCATTGGACGAGAACCCTTCTGCCTCTGCCGAGTTCGGACATGTTCTCAACATTGCCAAGGACGCAGGTGTCGGACGGAGTGCCTCTTCGAACCAAACCCGGCCACCGAGCAGTTCGCAGGCCCATAGCCGAAGTGCCAGCTTGGGGACCGCCGCTACGCCTACGGATTCATTGAAGCCCGACTCACAAGGCGCAAGCCCGCGGCTCCCCATCTCACAAACGCTTTCCCCTCCAGGACAGCCGTCGAGCCCCCAGCCCCCTGAGCACAGTTCGACGCCGCCGCCGCCTACTGATAAACCCCTACCGGCGCCTCCTCCATCCTCCAGTCCAGCGCCGCGGCCTGCAGCCGCTTTACTGAAGCCACACATTACCTCGCCGACGCCCGAAGAGTTCCTTCTGGTCATGGGCACCACTCCCTCGGATCCCGGCGTTGGCATGTTCATTAATCTGGACGGCGACCCTACACGACCAACGATCACGTTTGATATATACCCTGAGCAAGTCGTAATTGACAGCAGCTCATCAGACGAAAGTGCCTCCACTGAAGATGAGGATGGATATGTATTTGCGTCCATGACAAAGGATGTCGATGGCATCCCTCACAGTGGAGTAGAAATCCAAAGCTGGAGTGCCGGTAGTGAGGCACACCCCCAGAAACAGTGGCTAGTAGCCAGTGATGCAGAGCTTGAAGGGAAGTACGGGATCCGCACAGTTGCGAGCAGGCATGAGACTCAATCCGAGGAGATTGTCGAGAAACTGAGCCTGAAGAAATACATACCATTTCCAAGCTTGACGGAATCTGCTCCGACGACATCCTCGCTCAAGTCCTCGGATTCTAGAACCGCCCTTTCGATTGAGCGGCTGGCGAAGGAGCGAGAGCTCTTTGAACGAGACGTTGACTCACAAGATGGCGAGTCGCTTCCAGAAGGATGGGAAGCGGCACGGACCGTGGAGGGAGAGGAATTTGCCCGTCGGCTTTCAAAGTCCAGGACACGCATCGCTGTATGGCGTGGCAATCGCATATGGTGGGCCGTCCGGAACCCCTTGATTGTTCAGCTCGACAAACGGCTAGAGGCTGCCCGCTTGCTACAGCAGAGCGATGGAAAGGAGCTAGACAAGCGTTCCATCATCATGGTGCTGTCAAGCATTCGCGACCGTGAGCCAAAGACCGAACTCGAGTTTACTACATTTGGCTACATACAACAGAAGGCGGGAGTTCTTCTCCTGATCAATTTGCTGCTTTCCTCATCGGACAGAGAAGTGTCGGATGAGGAGCTGGCTGCGTTGCAGGAGGTACTCGTGGAAAGCAAACTCGACCCGCGGGTTGTTCTATCCCTGATTCCTGGAGTTCGAAATGAAATTATAGAGGGCCGTAAAGGCATTTGGATTCATGGCGGTGTAAAAGAATCGCCCGAGGCGTTTTTGGCAAGCCCCGAATTCCTAGAATTGTCTCAGGGAGGCATAAGGGGGCTTCAGCTCAAAATTCTGCATTTCCTCCGGCGCTATCTGCAAGCTTGGAGGAAGATGAAGGGCTTTGGAAGTGTGTCAGTCGAGCCCGAAGTCTTCCGCACTGTTGATGCAGCATTGCTTCTGGTCCTGCTGGAGCTTGATAGGCATTCCCCCAAGGGCTTGGGAAAGGGAGGCGCTGTCAGGGCAGAGCTGGGTGCTCTGGTAGACGGCGGCATGGATTGCTTCGACCGGGCTGTTTCTCTCCTAGAGTCGTACCACAGGTTCTTTGCTTTGAGCAGACTATACCAAAGCCGCAAGATGTCTGCTGACGTGCTGGCGACTTGGAAGCGCGTCCTCGAAGGAGAGGAAGACGACGCTCAAGAGCTGATGGACGGCGAGCAGAGGGTACGGGAGTATCTCAGCAAACTCAGCAACCAGGCTCTCGTCCAAGAATACGGTCTCTGGCTGGCCAACAGGAACCCGAAGCTCGGTGTGCAGGTGTTTGCCGACGACAAGGGCAAATCGCCCAAGTTTGAGCCCACCAGAGCAGTAGAGCTGCTGCGTGCCGAGGCTCCGGGCGCCGTCAAGTATTATTTGGAACACCTTGTGTTTGACAAGGGCTACGAAGCCTACGTCAACGAGCTCATCTCGTACTACTTGGAGATTGTCATTGACGACCTGAAGTCGCCCGAGAGCCAGGAGACCGTCAAGGCCGCGTACGCCGCCTACAGGGCCCTGCAAAGCCCAAAGCCGACGTACAGGCACTTTTTGACGGAGAATGCTCCCGAGGACGACGAAGTCTGGCAAAGCCGGCTTCGGCTGCTGCAACTCCTGGGCGGTCCTCACGAATACGACATTGCCGCGATAAGGGAGCGCATGGACAAACTATCGGGCGACCTGCTCGTTCCCGAGACCATCATCATCGCAGGGCGAGAGCGCAAGCACGAAGACGCGCTGCGCCTCCTGGTGCACGATCTCGGCGACTACGACACCGCCGTCTCGTACTGCCTCCGCGGCGGCGCCACCATCTACTCGCCCATTCAGGGCCGGCGCGACAGCATCCCGGAGGTCGAGCAGCAGCGCCGCCTCTTCCAGGTGGTGCTCAGGGAATTCCTCGCCATCAAGGACGTCAGCGACCGCGTCGAGCAGACGAGCGCCCTGCTCGATCGCTTCAGCGGGTGGTTCGACATTGACGACGTCCTGGCCCTCATCCCGGACCGGTGGTCGGTCGACGTCATTGCCGGGTTCCTCGTGGGCGCCCTACGGAGGCTCGTGCAGGAGAAGAACGAGGCCGTGATGGTGCGGGCGCTGAGGGCCACGGAGAATTTGCGGGTGAGCTATGATTTGGTTGTCAAGGTTGGGGAGAAGGGGGCTACGGTTGAGGAGGCGCCGACGGAGGAGGTGCAGGAGTAGGTGTTGGGTTCTTATTTTTCCCTCTTTGCATTTGCGAAGCGGTTTCAGTTGGCGCTTCTTTATCTGAGATGATCTGATTGTTGAATATTGATATCTTATGTATAGATGAGCGATGCACGTTGGAGGTATATATTCCTGATGAAAAGAAAACCCCATGTTTATATTGCTATTAAACGTCGCCATGACATACCGTCGGACAACGTGTTCACTCAAGCATAGAAACAAGGAGCGAGTGATGCATAGAAGAAGCTATTGTATTTAATGCCATCTGCTAAACAACCACCCCAAAACGCCAAAATGTACATAAAACGGGGTCAATGGCGCATATGTTTCGATGCCCATTCCCGAGTCCCTCGTGAAAGTAAATGCTAGCTGAGTATTGACAAATGATCTGATACACATATTACCCCTCCCTTGGCTTCGAATTTCACCGAATTCAAGTCTCTTCATCCTCAGCCTCTTCCATGGTAACAGCCCTACCTTTCCCCTTGTCGGACGTTTCTCCCTCAGCATGCCTTTGCCCAGTCTGCTCGAGCTCAAGAATACTCGGTTCCCGCGTGAGGTCTACTGTCGGCAACGAGTCGTGGGCACCGTTGCTGCTTTCAGGTGGAGGGGTTTCCATGTCCGCTGCTGGCGCGGCCTGGGTGCTTGCTTGGCTGGCCGTGTCTCCTTGCTCGAGGCGAGAGGTAGAACCGAACAGCTGGTTGGATCCGCCCCAGTTTGGCATCATTGGGCTAGGTGACACCACAGGCAGAGAGTCCGATGAAGGGCCAGGGTTGGGGGGCGTGTCTGCTCGCGGTGTCGCGGGTTGGGCTACGGGAGCAGGCATGGACGAAGAATCCGCTGGCACCGACTCGTGGCTGCTGTGTGGCACTGTCGGTGTTGGCTGGAGCGAAGACGCCGTGCTTTGGCCTCCGGCCGTGTCACCAGGGAAAGGCACACCAGCGGTCTGCGGTGGGAATTGAGGTCCGGCTGGAGCATTGTCTAGTCTCTGCAGAGGCGTCAAGGACCATCCCGGAGGCAGCACTAATCCTTCCGGCAAATCGGGGCTGCCAGCAGGAATTGCCGTTGTCAAAGGGCCAGCTCCGTGCCGAGTCATCAGGGGGCTGCTCATTCTTGGAGGCAGAGAGGAGGGATACACTTGCAAACCTCCAACTGGAGGCACTCCCATAGGCAGGGGCGGCAGTCCTACTGGAGGTAGGCTTGTTGGCTGAGTGAGCGACACAGGCAGTTGCCCCTGAGCGGTCTGTGCGGCATCCTGCGGCTGTTGTCGTCGTTGGCGAAGGCGTTGAATTTCGGTATTGAGCAAGTTGGCAATTTGGAGCTCCTGCTGTGTGGTTTGCAGGTTCTGTAGTTCGCGTTGCAGCATCTGCTCCGCTTGCTGTAGAAGAGTTCCAATCTGCTGGTAGCTGTCGCCAGATGGGACTTGCTGAGACTGGTTCTGAGGAGCCGTCGTAGAGGAGCCTTGTCCCTGATCGCCGGCAATTTGAGGCATCCCGAATTGTTGCGCAAGTTCACGAACTTGCTGGTCATTGGCTCCAAATCCAAGCCTAATAGGACCAAAGGTGAACACACGAGCTCGTCCTGCATCACCCTGGGCTTGACGTGCAGGTACTGCGCCATTCTGTCCGTCGCGGAGCGCATTGTTGTTGCCATTGTTGTCATCGTCATCTGCATCGTCGTTGCCATTGCCCCGTTCGCCTGGCCCCCGTCGCGGCGCCTGGCCGAACTGGAGCCTGAGGGCAGCGCGGCGAGCGTTGGGAGATTGAGCGCGTTCGCCCGTGACTGGTCTCCTGCACGTTGGGCAGACCTGTTGCCGTTCCAGCCAGCTCTTGAGGCATCCAAGGTGCAGAATGTGGCCACATGGAAGCTTCTTGGGGCGCACGCGGTCGATAGTGCCCGCGTTGTTCTCGGGATCCCACAGGTGCATCTCCTCACGGCAGATGATGCACGTGTTCTCTTGTGCAAGATCGCGCTCAGTAGCATCCGGGTACTTGTTCATCTCTTGGATAGCCCGTCTGTACCGAAGGAGTGCGTTGAGCCTCTTGAGGAAGTCGCGTGTCGTCATGAACAGATCCCTCATGATATGGATAGGAAGGCCATAGAACATGAGAAGCATCATAAAGAAGGAGACGTAGATACCCAGCTTGACCATATCTGTCGGCGGACGTTAAAGATTTGAAGACACAAAGCGAGCTGAGAAAAGTTCTTACCAGTAATTAGGTCCAGCCAAAGAACAAGCTCACCCTTTGCCGCCCAGCCCGGCACCTCAATGTCCATTTCGTCAATGTCCTCTGGATCTGGCAGAGGATCTTGGGATTCCGGCACTGGCTCTCCAGCCGCTGCGGCCTGCTCCCTCTCACGAATGATGGCCTCTCGCTGTCGCCTGACCTCTTCCCTCCGCTCCATCAGGCGTTTCTTCGTCTGCATGTGGATGATGCGCTGCTCCGTAAGCGACACCAAGTACCGAGCCCCCGTTCTCCAGGAACAGGTGGCCAGGACGGCAAACTCAAACAGGAACATGACCATCATGTTCGGCCTGGCCTGCTGAATGACGGTGTTGACAGCGTAGCGAAGAATCCAGATGTCGTAGAGGAAGCTGGCGGCAAGGGAGATGCTAAGCCGCAGATGAAACAGGCGCGGATTCGCAGGAGGTTGCTGCTCGAGAAACTCAACGCGGCCATCGCCGATCCATCCCCAGACCTTGCCCGTGACCAGCGCCGTGAACATGACGAGGAACCAGGCCCCAATCTCCTCGCGGAAGATGGTCATGGCCAGACACGTCTCGGTGATGGCGAACCATGCTCGCTCGGTGAGCTGCTCGACCTCGATTGCGCGCAGCGTGCCGAAGCATAGCTGCGTCAAGGCGTAGATGAAGCTGCTGTACAGCAGCAAGGTGAAGTTGACCAGAACCTATGCCAGATATCACAATGAGTTAGCACACGCATGAGTTTGCCACGACGAGGACCAACGGTTCACGCACCAGCAGACAGAAGTTGCTCTGGGCAAGATAGACCATGGCCGAGTAGAAGTTGGCGCGCTGATGGAATGCCGAGAGCACGACGGCGCCCGCCAGGGCTGTCGAGACCTGAGAGAGTCGATCGCGTTAGTCTTTCAAAGTTCGATGATGATATCTGTTATGGAATATCTGATAGTGATGAGAGCTTGAGGATAAGCTTCAGTAGAGCATATGAGAGCACATACCCCGGCGTACCAGCCCAGCCGCAGCTTGAACATTTCGGGAAGACGAAGAGTTGGAACTTCGATTGGATCGTGTGCTGCTTCCAGATGCCTACATTTCCATCTTCGAGCCGGTAATCGCTGATGAGCCGTTGAAGCCGCAAGTTGGGAGACTTGCTTAACAAATGCCAGAGCTGGAGCTTGATGCCACGTTATTGATAGCGATAAAGCTGCGGATGACGCACGTCGTTGAAGAGGCGCACGTGATTGGACTCGGCAGGCTTCCGTGGCTTAGCCGGCTGCGTGCCACTGCCGGCTTGTGGCTTACCAGCCGCTTGTGGACGTCTATAGTTGTGATGCGTGAGATGCGGAAAGTTTGTCGATCTTTGGGAGAGGGAAATATATTTAATCTCATGATTGGGTTTGATTTGTTTGTCTTCTTTGTATGCCTATCGTGTTTCTTTACCTGATACTTGTGGTCCTCGCTCGGGGGCGGGACAATGCCATTTCACGCAATCAGGTTCAACCTCATAAGTGCTTCGTAGGACACGCCCAACTACGACAACAACCACCGCACAATCACTTCACAGGTGGATATAGAAATAGGCCAGCTTTACTCAATATAAGCTCGCAGATCGTGGTGTTGATATCATATTTTTGATCTACAACATGCTCACATCCGCAGCAACGTGGATTCCAAAGAGTAAACCTTGAGTTACGTGCTTCGAGTGTCAGCTCACTATGACGTCTGCGTGCAATTGTGGACTTGACTAACATCAATGATATCGTTCGCTTCTTTAGCCATACCTTACTTGAACAAGAACCGGTTCTCACTACCCCATCCAGTTTACATATCCGTTTTGACCTAAATGGAGCTCGCAGTTGCTCATTCCCGTCACTTTGGATCCGGCATCTCACCAGGGAGATGATACCCTTGTCTTACACACAACACGACGTCCTATTGCCCATCTTTACTCTCAGAAACACCGTCACTCAGCTCTCAAGATGCTTCCCATAACCCGACCATGTAGTCACTACGAAACTTACAAAAACAGCCAGATATATCTGATATATCTGCAAATGTAGCCCGTATAGGCCATCCCCCCTCACGGCAGTTCCAACCAAACAACCCCCCTTAGAAGATCCCAAACCTCCAAAACACTAGACTACTAATCGACAGATCTCTTCCAAACGAAGATCAAACCAAAGCTCACCCTCCATAATCCCAACTGCCACGCGTCAAGTCTTTCCACCCCCCCGTCCCGCCACCCAAACACCCCAAAAACAGCACCATGACTCTCCCAAAACAGGATCGAACCATGCTGGGTCCTCCCCGTTTCAAGCCAAGGCACCACAGCAGAACTACCGACTTTGCCCAAGCCTATCGTATATTACCATTGCATACGTAAATTTTCTCCGCAAACACACATCTCCACACATGACTTGTATGTAATAGTGCGAGTACTTGAACAAGCAAGCCAACCCCCCTCCCCGGTATAGAGTAGACACCACACCCACACAAAGGATAAACAAAGGAAGCCCTGTCACAGGATCACCGTTTTTTCGCTTCAGGGGGGGCTCAACCTAGGCAAGAACAAAAACCACTCAGTGTAGCATTCGCGGAAGATATGCCACCTGACAAGGTATGTCGTTTGCCGAACAGAGCAAGGAATCAGATCCTTCTACACCAACTCAGGGGGGAGGGGGGAGGGGGGGAACTAATATGACATCTCCTTCATCGAAAGGGCGCTCTTACTCGTCACCTGTCCAGTGTCCAGTGTACTACAACTTCATGGAAAACCCCATGACAATACTGGAAAGGTGAGCCTTTCGTAGACACAAATTAACGACTAGTTTACCAGTCTCTCGGCTCGCCCAAGGCCCGTCAAAAACGGTCCGAGTTCTTATCATTAGCAGTACTCCTAGTCGAGAAAAGAACGAGAAGCCCCGAGAGAGAAAACGGGGCACTCTCCCAGCAAAGTAAACAAAACGCCACGCCCCCAAAATAGGAAAATGTCTTAGGAGATAGGAAAATGACTTAGGAGGCACCCCAAAAAAAAACAAGCGAAAAATTTCTCAGACAAAGAACCTATTACGCTAGAAGACGAGCTTTCAAATGACGTGTGCTAGCACCATTTTCAGGTGGGAATCACCCATCATTTACCTACTTGTTAGTGAGTGAGTGAGTGAACAGAGTGGCTCTCGTGCAAGGCGTAGTTCGCAGAACTGAAACGTCAAGGTCTCCATGTTCTTCCCATCGAGAGGAAAGCTTTGTACTCCTGCTCATACAGGTACATACTACTACCGATATATAATAGCGTCTGTGAGTCAAGCAAAAGTCAAGGGCCAAAGATAGGAACAAAAGGAGAAGAAAAAACGCCTAGTCCATCACGATTTCGACGACACTAGCGGTTAGTTTCCCCCACAACCAGCAGAGGCGGTTACACCCACCAGTAGAGGAGGAGGAGGAGGAGGAGGAGGACAAGTAGGTATGTACAATGAAGACCCCCTGCAGCTTCACTTCGACCAAAAACCGTCGATCAACTCCAACAAGGTGCACGAGTTATCGTGTGTACATCCATGGGAGACGAGACGAGACGAGACGGTCTCCCACACACCCCCCTCGAGTGTGGAGCTCAGAAGCAAGTCGATGACACCAGAAAAGACCACTCACCAACCACTCAAGACAGGATGATGACTTGCACTGGAAAATCCCACATCAAGAAAAAAGGGGGGGGCGGCAGAGAGAACAGGAAATCGTGCATCACTACTAGTAGTACTACTCCATACGTACATTACACCTGCGTCACAGCGTCGACAACGATGACCTACCACTGAGACACGCAGTTACAGGACTTATATGCTACTAGTACTCGTATGTAATACTACATACATATCTGCCCCCAACAGGCCCGGACCGAGGCCATGGAGTGGACCTCCCCTTGCTTGCTTGCCTGCCTGCCTGCCTGCCTGCCTGCTTGTGTTCCTGCAACGAAAGGTAAGGGGGAGGGCAAACTACGACGCGATATGAACTGTGACCTTGTGCCGTGGCTCAGGATCCGCGACGCGTGCAGCTCCGGGATGCCTCGATATGCACACTCGTGTCCTTTGTCAGTGGAGGACGCGGAAGCCTTTCCGCCAAAACCACCCCTGTGCTTCATGGATAATGTGTATATTATATACATCACATATTCCACGTGTGCGAGATGTATGTACGTATGTACATCCATATACGTGCGTGTGATGGCACGGATCATCCAATATGGATCATCCTTTGACAAGGGGGGGGGGGGGGGGGGGGGGGGGCTCTTCCTCGAGAGAGAAGATGATGCAAACTGGAGAAGCTAGCATCTAGACTATTTGGTCTGGGTGTCCATGGGTTCGTTCACCTAGACTTCGCATGTACTGTACGTACAGATACATACATGCATTGCTTCACAGACTCCCCTCTACAACTCCATCTCAAATCCACAGAATAAGGCATGGGCAAGGGGTTAGCCACCAGCAGGGATCGTGCCAGTCTGCTTGTTCATGGTATCTGATGCCGCCTAGCAATGTAGTATCTCCGAACGCAAATCTCTTCAGGAGAGCCAGTGATTGGTACACAAACGAAATACAGCGGTCCATCCCTTTCTCCCTGCCTAAGATAAGAGAGCGAGGAACGGCAAAGGCAATAAAGTCACCGAGAAGGAGGACGACTCATCCGGGCAGTCAATCCTTGTCGACCAGATGGACAAACTGGGTAATCCTCACCCCTCTCTCCAGAAAGGGAAGGGCTTTGAGCCTGAGCCAAGGCACGAAGAGATGCAACTACTTACTCGGTGCGAAAGGGCGAGATTCATGTGCCGGAGAGAGGGCAAAAAAAAAAAAAAACGCCTAGGTGTGGAGTCCTAAGCTGCTGCCGCATGGCTGCTTGCATGCTGCATGCACATGCACTGCTCATGTACAGTATTACGGTGGAAGAGGAAGTTTTGGCGATGCAGAAATGGGGGGGGACGGGGACGGGGACGGGGGGACCGGGTTCCCAAGTCGAGAAGATCCAGATCCCACCGTCCATTGGCCGAATTCCCCTTATAGAAGGGTGGGGGGGAGCAAGATTGCTCGAAGGAGTGGACAAGAAGGAGGATTAAAAATAAGAAAGAAAATAAAAATAAAAATAAAAAAGCAAGAAGGGCTTGCTTGATCCATCGGCTAGAGAAGATGCCGGTAGGGCAAAGGCACCCTCGACAGCGAATCACCCCTTCTCTCCTCTCAGGGTACGACATCAACGACAAGCCACCGATCGTCGCTCTTCAAATCTTGGGCATCACAACGGAAATGTGGGCTGGAAAAGGGAACTGCAATGGGAATTGGGGCGGGAGGACAAAAGACCGAATCCCAAAGTCCGTCCGGAGGCCCGGGGAAAAGGGAAGAAGCAGTCCGTTGGGCCGCGCGATTGGCCGGCACTCCGGTGGCCAAACTGACCCCTGACCTGCTGAAAGGACAAGACGGAGCTCACAAGTGCTCCGTAGAGACGCGACAGATGGAGACGAGGCATCTGCGAGCCGCGGCATCTCTCTCGACATATCGTATCGTGTCTGCATGCGTGTAGTAATGTGCCAAAAGCGTCGACCGGTGCGCCCGCGCGAAGGATGCATGTACCACTGAGATAGATAGCCTGGACTGCATCCTCCGTACATACATCTTGCATGCTGCTGCTGCTGCTGCTGTTCAATGTGGGCTAAATGAGGGAGGCGTATATACGTACGTGGTATGTATATGTGTAGTATGTGTCCCATCATGCAACCACCGCAGTGATGCAATGGAATAATAACCAACGCCGCTTTCCAATTGAGCGAGTGAGCGTCAGAGTGTGAGCGCGCGTGTGAGTGTGTGTCGACTGAGTGGTGGTTGTCGCCCTATGACTGGTGAAGGGCCGGTGGAACCTCATCAGGCGCTGCTGTTGCATCGGATGGGCGATGAGCTGCACGTTGTGCATATTCGATCCAAATAGGAAATCAAACATGGCCGCCTCCACCAGATCATCATACCTGAAAGACAGGCCGTCGACGAATCCTCGTACGACGGTGTCCTCCGAAGAGGCCCGGGCAAGGCCCAGGCCGACCCTTTTTTTTTTTT